TATATATATATGTATATATATATTATATATATGTATATATATATAGTGTGTATATATATACATATATATATATATATATATCGATTACTGAAGATATTTTGCTTTATATATATTTATTGGAGGGCATTGTGGATAGCAAAATTAACAAAATAATATTTTTGTCTATTAGAATAAATTTTAGCGAAGATATTTGCGTAATTCAGCGTAAATTTATATTTTATTCAAATTAATTATGCATGCTTCTTCCCCCCGATCTTTACACTTAAAGGTGTGTGTGCATGTGTGTGTATAATATATATAATTATATACAATTAAATATACATATATATACATATGACATATATATGTATTTATATACCTATAATGCAATTATAAATACGTTTATTTCTATATTTAAATTGAAGATATGCACAGAAGTCTCTAACTACCTCACTGTGTGCCATCTACAGAATCTTATCTTTTATTGTTTGCATATGACGGCTTGTCCTGCAGCTTTTCTTATTTTAATTCATTTTAAAGTGTTTATTGAGTATTGTGGTGCACTTCTATTTCAAAATGGTGTAAAAAAGCCGCAAAATAATCGGGAAAATCTCCTCCTGCCAGGGGGGCCCCCAAGGGGGCCCCCCAAGGGGCCCCCCTCCCTCCTCTTGGGCCTTTGCCGCTGAGTTTTGTGGGGTGAGGGGCCTGGGTAGGGCATACTATATGATTTTTTCTTCTTTTTTTCTGTGTATAGTAATTAAATTAATTTTATTGTATCTTTATATCATTTGCCTCCGGCGGTTGCTGGGGGAGAGCCGAAGGAAGGGGCCTTCTTCTTTTTTTGTTTGTCTTCGCCTTCGTTTTGCATCTCAGCAAGCTTCATTTGCTTGTCTACATTTACTTGAGCCCTCCTTCTTCTTCTTTATTTTTTTAACTCTCCGACATAGAGCCGGAGGGGGCCCCCAGAGGGCCCCCCTAGGGTTGCGGTTATATCTGTTGGGGGGTAGTTGTTATTATTATTGTATTTGTATTTAATTCTTTTTTCTTATTGTATATGTTTAGGTGTATAATATAGTGTTTATTAGTGTGTATAACAATGGCGGTTTTGTCTTTGTGTGCAGCTTACGTTTTATTTTTTTCGTCTTTGTTTGCTTTCGCTGGCTTTGTCTTCTATAGTGCTAAACAGGTGTCTCTTAGGGGTTTACTGTCTCCAGGGTCTTGGTTTCTAAGTGCCCCTGAGTCTGTCGGTTGGGGGGCCCTGGGGCTGTCTCTTTATGCTTCTTTTATGGGGAATTGGGTGTTATATCTTCCTCCTTTAGTAGGGGCTTTGTATGGATGGCCGGGCATAGGGGGTTACGCTCTCAGCAGCTGTCTCCCTTATTTGCTGCTGCTGCTGCTGTCTCCTCGAGTGTGCAGCGGCTCTGGGTCCTTCTGCAGCTGCGACTTCTTAGGGGATCGCTTTGGCTGTCTAGCACGGGGTGTCTCCTCAGCTGTCTCCGTTTGCATGATGTTTTTAAATCTCTGTTCGGAGTTAACAAGTGTGGGGCTGTCTATGTCTGCGCTCTCTGATGATAATTTTTCACTCCCTTGTGCTGTCTTCTTTGTTTGTTTGGTTCCTCTGCTGTATGTGGGGTTAGGGGGCGTGCGCTGTAGTATTATAAGCGATGTCTTTCAGGCTGTTGTAATAGTGCTGTTGTTTATTCCTCTGACGGTGTATTTAGTGTGTTTCGCTGGGGTGTCTGTCTCCGAGGAGACAGTTGGAGCTGCGGAGACACCTGAGATGGCTTCAGCTGTCGTTGCAGGGGCTGTCTTAGTGCTGTCTATTTGGCCTGTCTTTCTATTAGATCAAGGCATATGGCAGCGGCTGCTTGCAAGCAAATCTTCTAGGGAGATGCAGCTGGGGTTGCTGCTAGCAGCAGGCCTAGCGGGGGCCTCTGTGCTGCTGTTTGCTGCTGCAGGGCGAGCCTGTCTCTCTCCAAGTGAAGCGCAGCAAGGAAGATCTCTCTTTGCTTTTGCTGCAGCACATCTTCCTCAACCTTGGGTGGCTGTTCTGTGCGTACTTGCGGTTGCATGCGTTGTCTCTAGTGTAGATACCTATCAAGTAGCGGCGGTGTCTGTTATTGGCAGGGAGTTAGAGAGACATAAAAACTCCTTTAACTGGGCCCGGCTAATGATGCTTCTTCTTAATGTTCTTGCTGTTGCGCTTGCTATTTATCAAGTGCCTCTAATGAAGCTCTTTATGTGTGCAAACTTCCTCTGCGCAATTCTATCGGGGCCTTTTCTGCTGTCTGTACACCCCAAGACCACCTCTTGGGGCTTTCTTGGGGGGCTCCTTACAGCAGCGGTGGGGTTGTTGTTATGCGGCCTTGCAGCAGCAAAAGCTGCACATACACCCTTTTCTTTCTCTTTCTTTGTGCCTGAAGATATCTCTACTCTCCCTTATCTCTTCGCATTCCTCGTCGCTCCCCTTGCAGGGGCAGCAGGCACTGCTATTATAAGTTTACTGGATAGACACCTCAACAAACGCTCTTCCGAAGCAGCAACAGCAGCAGAAGCAGCAGCAGCAGCAGCAACAGCAAGCGATACAACAGTCTCCTTCACCCCACTTGCTACGAAGTCGCAACCCTCATCAGAGGGAATATCAAGCAAGGAGTTTTCAGAGCAAGACAAACAACGCAGCAGCAGGAGCGGTAACAACAACAACGGTGGGAGCAACAGCAGCAACGAAAACAACAACAGCAACAGCAGCAGCTGCCAGGCCTTTCACCCCTTCAACATCGAGCAGCAAGCCGCCGGAGTGGAGAATATGGCGTGAAGTGTTTGGGGCTTCTATCACCCCTGCATGCATGCATGCATGCTCTGGGCTAGAATGGCTCTAGAGGTTTCTGTAGTTCGGGGCAAAGGAGACTGTCTCCTCCCTATACACCTGGCTGTGTCTCCTAAGAAGCTGCATGCACAGCCAGTGAGCGTTTTGTGCTTGTCTCTTTGCGTATCTGCAGCTGCTGCATGCAGTGGCAAAAACAATCTCTGTCTGCGTTTTTTATGGGCTTTCTTCTAGACCCATGCACATACACCCCAACTCGCCGCTTGGCGGCTAACGGGCCCCCGTGCGTGCGCCCGAGGCGCAGAAGCCTTTGGCTTCTAGAAACAGCTGCATGCATGCAAATAGGCCTGCATGCAGGGGCTCTGCTGTACAGACACCTCAACTTCTTACGAAACTATTTATCAGCCTCCCCCCATTGCGTAGTAGTACAAAGAAACACCCCCATCCCTGCATGCTTGCATGCATGCATGCATGCATTCAGGGGAACGCATGCATGCAGGGGAACGCATGCATGCAGGGGAACGCATGCATGCAAACATGCATGCATGCTTGCATGCACCCCTTATGGCTGTTTGTTGATGGGGGGATAAGTTGAACATAAAAGGCCTCCGCGCTCCCAGTATTTATGGGTGCGGATGCGAAGGAGAAGGGCAGCGACCTTCAATTAGGTGTACACAGTTGGGGTGTATAGGCAGCTACTGCAACAGAAGAGGCTCCTAACGAAGGAAGCGACTTCTTATTATTCCCTCATCGCAGCCCCAGGCGCTTCCCCAATTTGTGGAGGCTGTACAGCACCTGCAACGAAAGACAGCAACGCACTGCATGCACAGACCCCCATGTAAACATACAACCCTGCATGCGCGCATGCATGCATGCATGCATGCAAACAGCTGCATGCATGCACGTGATCAGCTGTACAGACACCTCATCTTCTTGCAAACCGAACAATCAACGTCCGCCCGCCCTATGATCCGAAAAAACACCCCCACCGCTGCATGCATGCGTGCAAGCAGGCATGCATGCATGCAAGCCCCAAAAACACCCCCAGAGTGTCTTACCGAGGCTCCAAGGCCCGCGGATACGGCGTTCTTGAGGCTGCACTTAAGTGTGGGGCCGAACATCAACTGCTGCAGGCCCCGCTGCAGGGCACTTGGGGGCGGGGGCTTCACATGGGGGCCCCCTGTTTTGTTGAGGGCCACTGGGGGCCCCCCCGAAACCCCACAGAAGAAACCTGAGGAGCTCCTAAGCGGACGGTGAAAGACTGCATGCAAACAAATACCCAGAGGCAGCAGCAGCCTGGAGCTGGGGCTTTTGCTGCATGCTGCAACAAGAAGAGCAAACAGTCCAGGGTTTAGGGTTTAGGGTTTGCTCTTACCAGCTTCTGCCCTCTGACGGACAGACAGAGGAAGCGGATCATACAGAGCCGCGAGAGCTGCAGGTGACCTGTCTTGCTGCGCAGGAGAACCCAAGCCCTAAACCCTAAACCCTAAACCCTAAGCCGTAAACCCTAAACCCTAAACCGTAGCCTTTCACGAGTCTCATGTATCAAGGGTTTACCCGGATGCGAATGCGGCGGAGTTCAACATCTATAGGCGAGGCTTTGTCTCTTATATCTGTGGGGCCCCCTCCCTCTACATGCGCGGGGTTTACGAGCCTTTGCAACAGAGGGGGCCCCCCCAAAGCCCCAAGGGGCCCCCCAGTACCCAGGGGGCCCCCCCCTTCCACCTCCAAGTGTACGGAGGAGATCTCCGATAAGAGCGGGAGGTAAATAGAGCACAAAGAGGGCCCCTGTCCATTGACCTAAAGGCCACGCAATCAACGCAACCAAAACAAGACGCCTTCACAAATATACACCAAGGGGGCCCCTTACGGCGCACTCACGAAACTCTCACGGGGCCTCTCAGGGGGCCCTGAAAGGGCCCTAGGGGAACGCTGAAGTGTCCCTTAACAAGCCCCTTGGGGGGCCCTTAACGGGCCCTTGGGGAGCCCGTACGAGGCCCTGAGGGGGGCCCTTATAGGGCCTTTGGGGGACCCTTAGAGGGCCCTGAGGGGACCCTTAGGGGGCCCTGATAAACCTAAACCCTTAGGAGACCTTGAAGGGGCCCTGATTGGTTGGGCCCTGATTAGGCCCTGTGGAGTCTCTTATCGGTCTCTTGGGGGTGTTCGAGGTGTCTCTTAAGGGGACAGTTGCTGATGGCGTGTTCATTAGTTGCGGTGTCTGGTCACCTACAATGGCTTGCACTTTGTTTGGGTCCTCAGCAAAGGGGACTCTGAAGTCTCCTGTACATCCACCCAAACACGCAACAAACAAACAAGCAAACAGGCTAATAGAAGTCTCCTTAGGCGAATTACTGTCTCCTTTAACGGCCCCTACAGTCTCCTAATGCCTTCTATACTCTATTAAGACCCATCGGCATCTAAAAAGAGAGACGCTGATGGGCCCCAGATGATGATGATAGGGCCCCTGAAGCTCTCTGTTAGGGCCCCTGAGGGTCTCTGTTAGGGCCCCTGAGGGTCTCTGCTAGGGCCCCTGAAGGAGTAGGGACAGGTAAAGGCTGGGGTGGAGACAGGCGTGGTGCTGTCTCTGCTCACCTTTATAAGAAAGGGAGACTATCTCCTTAAGGAGACACTCGAGGCTAACTCCATCAGGCAGCAGCAGCAGCGCCAGACGCAGCTGCAGCAAGCAACAAAACCACCCGAACCCTAGACCCTAAACCCTCAACCCTAAACCCTAGTCGCTCGGCTTTTGAGTCCCCAGCTACAACAAAACATGAAGCATTGGAGACGGAGAAATAGCGGGAGGAGACAGACACAGAGACAACACCAAAGAGATCGCGCAAATAAGCTTGCAAGAGACATCCCAGACACCCCAGCAACAGCAGCAGGCACAACAGCAGAGGCAGCAACAGAGCCAGCAACATATATATATATATATATATATATATATAGGCAGAGGAATACGCCAACAGCAAAGGAGACAGCAAAAGAGACAGAAAAGGAGACAAAGTAAAGGAGACAGAGAGACGGAGACACCCCACATACTGCGTTGCGTCTGTTGGTATTTAAGGCCGCTTCGAACTCTTCTCTTCGCCTGCTGTCTCCGCACCAGTTGATAGAAACCTGCACAGACACCCTATATATATATATATAGCTATATAGATATATCTAGTATGATATATAAACATAAAGACATAGCTTTCATTCGCATATGCATGTCTGCATAAACCTAATTTATGTGCACAAGAATCCATACAAATGGAGCTGCCTGTACACCCGAATAGGCACGGAGACACTTGAATGTGTGCGGAGACAGCCGAACATGCGCGTTGTCTGTCCCCGTGCTTTTTAGCTGCTGTTGCTGCTGGGGGGCCCCAGTGGAGGGGCCCCCAACAGCAGCAGCAACGAAGGGAGGGGGCCCCCTCTCCCTCACCGGCTTCTGCATGCGCCCAGCAAAGTAAATATGAGTCCACTTATTTAAATCTTCAAAGACAGACTCCGTGGGGGCGACGCCGTACTTGCAGAGCTAAACAGAAACGCAAGTGCAGCAGCAGCAGCAGCAGCAGCAGATTAGGCAGCTGCTGCGGATGCGCCTGCTGCATCTGCAGCAGCAAACGCAGAACCGCAGCAGCAGATGCAGCAGCTACCGCAGAACTGCAGCAGCACATGCAGCAGCAGCAGCAGCAGCAGCAACCCCAATGCCACGCACTGCGGCAGCGCGAAGACACCCGCGCCGAAAACACCACAAGCAGTAGCAGCAGGAACAGCAGCAACTGCAGCAGTAGCGCATGCATGCGGACCTTGGGGCTGTCAAGACCCGTGGGGACCCTGCAATTAAAGAGGATATGTACGCCGGAGGCCTTCGTAAGCAACAAAGCGGCTTCTGCTGCTGTTTGGAGACCCCCCAGAAGCGAAGCAAACTCAAAGACAGAAGAATAGTGATGAAGGTTTGCTTTTAAGTTGTCCCTATGCCACTGCAGCAGCTGCTGCTGCGGCACGAGCAGCAGCAGATCTCCCATAGGAGACCCTCCCCTGGAGGAGCTGGTGTCCCCTCCTTGCCTTGAGGGGGCCCCTATGGGGCCCCCTGGCTGCTGCTGCTGCTGTGAGGGGCCCCCATCTGGCCGCACGGGGGGCCCTGGAGAAGGGGGCCCCTGAGGGGCCCCCGTCCGTTGAAGCTGAGGGAAGAAGCTGGAGCCGTAGCAAATACAACACTCTACAGGAGGCACATTTAAATTGAAGGGGATGCAGGGGCTTTGCTTTGTTGCTTGACCTTCTTTGGGGGGCCCCCCGTTGCTGCTTGCAGGAGCCATGGGGGGCCCCCCCGAAGGTTCAGTTCCCGCTGGGGGGGCCCCCTATGGTTGTTGTTAGAATCCTCCCACGCAACAGAAGAAGAGTGGCGGGCCCCTGCGACCCTCTAGACACTGAGGGGGCCCCCCTATGGCGAGGCCCCCCCTGGGTCCTGGGGGGCCCCCTGGGCTCTGCAGGAGGATGCGTTGGGGGGGCCCCCTGGCCTGGGGGGCCCCCCAGCGATGCGCAGGTTCGGGCGGGGAGGGGGGCCCCCAAGGATCTGCTGCTTGTTATTGGTGCTGCTACATAAAAAAGTAGTTTTAAATGCTTAAAACAATAAAGAAGGGGCCCCTACTCCCTATACACTGCACTGAAGGAACAGCCATCTCAGGCGGGGGGCCCCCCGCGGCTGCTAAGGGGTCTCAGTGTCTGTCTTTGTTTGTACTGTATTTGTAGACAAAAATATTAATAAGAAAGTGAGATAAAGGCATTCTTAAGTGTTTATTTAAATGCACACGATAGAGATAACGCATTGGGCTTCAAGTGGCCTTGTTTGCTGCTATCGCTGCTGCTGCTGCTGCTGCTGCTGCTGTTGCTGCTGCTGCTGTCGGGCCTGAGGTTTTCTGTCTCCAATAAGTGCCTGTCTGTCTGTTTTTCTCTATGCTTTCTTCTGTCTCCTGTCTCTGCTGAGTTGTTTTATTGTATTAAACAGTTTCCGTCTTATTAATTAGAGAGTGCTTCTGAAGCTGCTTGCGCTTGCGCTGCTGTCTGTCTATACACCGCAGCAGACAAACCGTTGCTGCTGCTGCTGCTGCTGGCGAGTTGCGGCCTTCGGCGAGCTGTCTCTCTCCTTCGCAGGCAGTTAAACCCCTGCGTCTCCTCTCATCACTTTGTGTCTCCTCCGCACATCATCTGTCCCTTCTTCAGACCCTGTTTTTAATTCCTTTAAGCGCAGCAACCCCCGAGACGGCAGCAGCAGCAGCAGCAGCAGCAGCCGAGCAGAAACAGCTGCAGCAGCAGTACCAGCAACAGCGGGGACAGCAGCTGATCTTGCTGCATCTGTCTCCATTGTGCTGCAGAGCCGCACTCCATAGAGCGTCGAGGGTGTATGTTTGCTTGTCTGTCTCCTCTGATTGTATGTAGAGGCACCAGCTGTCTCCCTTTTTAAAGACATCGGAACTTTAAAGCATTTAAAGCCAGCAGCACCACCACCAACAGCAACAGCAGCAGCAGCAGCAGCAGCAATTAGCAGCAGAAGATGGGGATCGTCTCCACTGAATCTGTACCCGAGGCCCTCCTCTCTGTTGCAGAGAAGGCCCTCAACTCGCAGCCCCTCTTCTTGGGGCTTTCGGTGCCTCAGCTTACTCGCATAGCTCGCGAGCTGTACGTACACCTCAAAAACAACGGCAAAGACACTCTGGCGCAGCAGGCTAAAGTCCTTTTGGAGCCGGAGGCCATCGCTAAGGCCCTGCAGCAGCTGCAGCAGCAGCAACAGCAGCAACCACAGCAGCAGCAGCAGCAACAACAACAACAGCAACAGCAACAGCAGCACCACCATCATGCAGGGCCGTGCTCCGTCACCTCCTGCCCCTGTTGCATGCACAGAGCTGCGCTGTTGGGGCCCCAAGCGGCGCCCCTGCAGCCGCAGATTGTCCCCGTGCTGCTGCCGCAGCAGCAGCCCCATTGCACACTCCAGCTGCCTTTGCAGCTGCAGCACCAGCCAAGCATGCCCTCCCAGCAGCAACATGAAGGGCACGCGCAACCCCACCCGCCACAGCCGCAGCAGCAGCAGCAACAGCAGCAACCAGAGCAGCAGCAACAGCAGCAGCAACAGGAGGTGCAGCAGACGTCTCGAAAGGCCTGCATTGCTCGGCTGTTGTTTGCCCTGATAGCAGCAAAGTTGGCGCGTGAGGGTATGCAGCACTTGCAGAAAATGAGCAGCAGCAGCAGCAGCAGCAGCAGCAGCAAGAGCAAGAGACAGGTGTATGTTGCTTCTGATTCCGATGGGTCTGGCATAGGCTCTGTCTCTGTGGAGGGTCTTGCTGCTGCTCTTGCCCCGGAGAGGGGTTTCTTTGCTGGGATATCGCAAGATTTGCTGCTGTCCCTGCAGCGAGTTGTTGCTGCTGCAGTGGATGGTGTCAATGCAGCAATGGGTGCAGCAGGGTACGCAGCATGGGGCTCCCAAAGGGGCTCAGTGGGGCCTCAGGGGGGGCCCCGCGGCGAGCTGGGGGGCCCCCCTAAAGAGCTTCCTCCTCTCTATAGCTCAAAGGCAGAGCAGGGCAAAGTAGAGTTAAGCGAGCATGAAGAATATGCCGATGAACTAGTTAAAAAGCTGCTGCAGATTAAAAATGCAAGGAGTCTGGCTTCTCTCAAGTTGCTGCCGCCTGTACACACCAACAAACAGCAGCAGCAGCAGCAGCAGCAGCAACAGCAGCAGCAGCAGAATCAGCAGCAAGGCCTGCAACAGAGGCAGCGAGACCTGCAACACAGCAAACAGACAAGGGGGGCAGACAACCAGCAGCAGCAGCAGCACAAACAGCAGCAGCAGCGGCGCGCTAGTGTAGCCCCGCAGCCAGAAGCGGACGAAAAGGCTCTCGATGAGGAGTTTAAAGTATGCCAGCACTTTAGGGTTTAGGGTTTAGGGTTTAGGGTTTGGGGTTTAGGGTTTGGGTGATAATAATAATAGCCCTGGGTGTCTTTGCTTGTTTTGCTGTTTTATTGTTTGTTCTTCTTCATGTTTGTACTTCATGCTGTACCCCATTTGCATGCATTGTCTCCTTTATTTTCTTGTCTCTCTCTCTAGTCTTATGGCTTGAGAGACACTTGGGGTGTCTCCTTCTTCCCCCTCCCTCTTGTGGGGTGTCTCCTTATCTCCTTTCCTTCTTGTGGGGTGTCTGTCTCCTCATCTGCTTCGAGGACAGTTGGTTGTCTTGTTGAGGCTTACGTAGGGCAACCTTTTATGTGTCCCTTGTGCTGCCTTGTGAGGTGTCTCCTAATATCTTTCCCTCTTGTGAGGTGTCTCCTTGTCTCCCCCCTTTGCGTTTTTTGAGGTGTCTCCGTGTCTCCTTCTCCTTCTTGATGGCCGGTCTCCTTGTCTTCTGTGAGGTGTCTCCTTGTCTCCTCGTCTCCTCTCTTTCTTGTGAGGTGTCTCCTTGTCTCCTTTTCGGGTGTCTGCTCAGGGTTACCTTCGCGCTGCTGAGCAGCACAAGGGCCCCAACCCCCTTTCTGTGGAGCAGCAGCTTGCCTTCTACGGTTTATATAAAAGGGCTACTGCAGGTCTCTGTCCCTCCAAGCAGCCTTCGCGCTTCAACATACGCGAATACAAGAAATGGGTATAAGCAGCACACCCCGCTCGAGATAGCTAGCTAGCTAGCCAGCTAGCTACTTAAACGGCAGACAGCGAGCCAGCTACCTAATGGAGCACGCAGCCAGCTAACCAGCTAGCTAAGGAGGCAGACAGGTAGCTAGCTAGCTGAAGAGGCAGCCAGCTAGCTAACTAGCTCAAGGGACAGTTAGCGAGCCAACTAGAAAAGGAGACAGCTGTTGAGCTAGCTTCCTGAAGAGGCACATAGCTAGCTACCAAGATAGACGGGTAGCTAACAAGCCAACGTCCTCCCTCCCTGCCTACCTCCACTATATTCCCTAGACAAATACGCATCTGGCTAGCTAGCGAAGGGTGTAGCTATCTACGTAGCTGGCTAGCTAGCTAGCTAGCTGGGGAGACAGCTGCGTAGCAGGCTGTAAGATGCTTAGTGGCCCATGGGGTCTAAGGAGTCTCCACAGAAAAGATTTGTTTTGGTTTAGCAATAAGGGAGTAGAGGGGGAGACAGCAGCTCGTACAGGAAGTGCCGGAGACAGCTGTCCCTTTATCCTCCGCCCTTGGGGTGTACGTACACCGCAAGCCGACTGTCTCCACTGACACAGGGGACTGATGCTGCTGCGTGCGAGGGGTGTGCAGGAGGCCTGGAGGGCCTGCAATTCGTTGTCTGCATTGGAGGCTAAGAAAGAATACGTAAGGCGAGCACGCGAGCTTAAGAAGCTGCATGCGAGGCTCTAGGTTGATGTGCACATACACCCGACATCGGCGATAGGAGACAGTCCCGAAGCCAGAGTCCCTTGGCTGGAGACTGCTGTACTGTACAGACGCTGCTGCTGCGCTGCAGCAGAAGACAGAAGCAAACGCAAACACAATATATGCGAGGGTAGGCCCTCCATTAGAGACAGTCTCCTTGCTGGCTCCCTGTACACCGCATCAACGTACACAGCAAGGAGAGCCAGATAGCGTCTCTCTTTTCTTTGTTTTGTTTGTTTTCTAGAGCTCAACACATTGTGCTGGGCATATATATACATATATATATATATACGCAAATATATATTTATATATCTCCCCCGTCGGAGGCGAAGGCCTCTTCTTAGGGTGTACGTACACCTGACTGCTGGGTATTATTCTAGGCATTAGGAGTCCTGCTGTTGTTTGCATTTGTACATGTTCGCAACACCCTGATAAAAGAAGAGGCAACTACAAACGCAGAGAGGTGGGGTTGTTGTACAGGGGAGAAGGGACCTCAAGGGCCTTCTGTAGGCTGTCATATGGGGTCAGAGGAGACACACAAGGGCAATTCGCCCTTACAAAGAGGATATATATATATATATATATATATATATATAGATATATATATATTGTGTATAGGTCTCTACACGTATGCACGCGTATGCAGATATATGCATGTACTTTTTGAATTGGTCGGTTTATATATATATAATGTAAATTATATACATTAATACAAATATATATATATATATATATATATATATATATGTAGTACGTATATATAAATTCAGAGAGTTTCAACGAGAACAAGCAGAGGCAGACAAGGGGCCAAAGGGGTTTCAGGTGTAGGTACACCTCTACACACACCAGGCACAGTGATTGTAAATGCACCATAAGGTCTTGAGGAGACACACAAACACAGAGAGGAGACAATTCAGCAAGGGGGAGGATACGCAGAAGGTGTCTCCTTTTGTGTGTCTCCTCCCAACAGGTGTCTGCGTGTACATCCCGACACGCTGCTGCTGCTGCTGTTGTTGTTGCTGCTGCATAGGTAGCTAGAGAAAAGGGCCTCCTTAGTGCCTGTATTTGCCTTGTTGTATAGCAGATGCAGCAGGGGGCCCCTGGATACGCTTCTGTCTCCGTAGGTCTCTTGGGGGGCCCCCGCTGGAGACTCAGAAGGCTAGCACTTCCTTTGTCTTTAATGTGTCTGCGTAGGTTTGTTTAAAGTTGAGGTGTATACGGTGTATGCAGGTGCATATACACCCGGGGCCCCTAAGTGAAGGAAGGGCCCCAAAGGCGAGGTGAGCGAGGAGCGACAGGAGACACAAAGAATGCCGTCTCCGTTTGTCTGTCTCCTTTTTTTTACGTTTTCTCTCTACAGGGGTCTCCCTTTATTGTTTTTTTATTGTTTAATCGTCATCTATATAATCTTTATATAGTATTCCCCCTAGAAGGCAACGCACACAGACAAACCCCTGAAACAACAGGGCACAGGCGCGAGCCCCCAGCCTTCGTACGTTAAAGGCCTTTACTTGGGCCCTTACAGCCATCAGCTGTCTCCTATTTGAGGTGTATGTACACCTCAACCCTCTCAATATCTCACTGAAGGCAACAGGCTCTTCTTCGGTGCTCCCCTGTGGGGCCCCCAGCGCCCTGCAGCAGACAGAGCAAAGGGGGGCCCCCCAGCATGAGGGTACAAACATGAAGGAGGTGGGCCCCCGCTAGCAGCAACCAAAGGGGCCTCTAGTTTATCTTCTGTCTCTTTAGCTGCCGGGGGCCCCTAACTGTCCCTTCTGTCTCCAACCTCGGGGGCCCCTGAGGGCCCTCGCTGTCTCCTTTCTCCCCTCAAGGCTCTCTGGGCTGGCGTCATGAGGCCCTGCAGCCACCATGGTGCCCTCGAGTCTGCGTCCGCTGCAGCAGCAACAGCAGCAGCAGCAACAGCAGCACCGGCAGCAGCTGCCCGTCTCGGGCCACCACCTAGGGGTAATAGTCCCCCTACCTTCTCTCCACAGCTGCTTCGTGCGGCTTAGGGGGCCCCCATCTGCTGCTGTCTTATGGAGGCCGCAGCGGCACTTCTGTCGCGTGCTGCAGCTGCAGAGGCTCTCGTCTCCGGAGACAGGGGCCCTCTATGAACGCATAGGGACCCCCCCAAAGGCTTTAGCAGATATTGCTGCCTCTTCGGGGGCCCCCCAGCTGTATGTAGGCTGGCTAGGTGCAGGCCTGGGCCCTGCGGAGGCTGCCCTCTTGCAGGAAGCAACAGCAGCAGCAGCAGCAACGACAGCAGCAACAGCAGCAGCAGAAATTCTGCCGCATATAGTGTATATCGGGATCGCTGCTCCTCTCTGCTCCTCCCTTGGCCTCAAGAAGGGGGAGCGGGTGGTTGTTGCTGCAGTTGATGTTAACCAGCTTGAGCAGCAGCAGCAGCAGCAGCAGCAGGCTGGGGGTGGTTTCTTTCCTTCTGCTGTAGAGGTGGCGCCTCTAGAGCGAGAGGACTGGGATGCAGTACAGCTGCATGCAGCAAGTCTAGAGGAGGAGGTGCTGCAGCAGGTGTCTCTTTGTCTCCCTAATCAGGCCTTCCCCTTGTGGATAAGAGGAAGCCCTAAGCCCTTCTTCTTACGTGTCTGTACACCGCAGCAAGAGACGGAGACAGCAACAAGCGCAGGAGACAACAAGGGGCCCCCCTTTCTGCTACTCAACCAAAACACTGAACTACACGTGAGGCCCCTTGCTCAGGCAGCATTTCGGAGGGCCCCTGCTGCTGCTGCGGAGGAAAGAGAAGAAGGAGGCTTCAATGGAGACAGCAGCAGCAGCAGCAGCAGGAGAGATGTCGTGAGGGTGCTTCCCATGCAGCAAGAAGAGACGGAGGAGATAGGGGGTAAGCACGGGTGTTCATCTGCGGCTGATGACTGCTGCTGCTGCTGCTGCTGCTCTCCTCAAGGGGCCCCCGAAGGCCATGCAGCGTGGCCTTATGTATGCTTGCTGCATCCTTCTCACGTGGAGGCGCTGCAGCAGCAGCAGCAGTGGCTGCTGCCAGCCCTCAGGAGCAGATACTTCCCCCTACGGGAGAGGGAGGGGACAGTCTCCTCTAGGGGACAGAGGGAGAGGCTGGAGAGACAGCTGGCGCAACTTGCAGCAGCAGCAGAGGGTTTGGTGGTTGTGTGTGTGAGGGGTGCACCCTCGCGGAAGGGATCTCCTGGCAGCAGCAGCAGCAGCAGCAGCAGCAGTAGGTGGCAGGGGGGCTCCGCGGTGCTGCTGGCTGCTGCTGCGGCGAATGTGCCCCTGGGCTGCATGCGGCTACCAGCTTTCGTGCGGTGTCTGTACAGCTGGAGCTTGAGCAGCCGCGTGTCAGTGGAAGCTGTGACTCAGCTGCCGACCCTCCCCTCTTGTCTGCTGCTGACGCCGATTGTCTCCTCTTCTCTGCTGCAGCAGCATGTATCGGGGGCCTCGGAGGAGACAGACAACAGGGCCCAAACACACAGCAGTGGGGCCTCCCCTGCTGTCAAACAATCTGCTGCTGCTCTCCTTGCTGCGCTGCTGCACACCAAAGAAGGTGCAGCACAAATCCTTGAGGCCTTCTTCGCTCTCTCAGACGCTCCAGCTACAAGCAGCAGAGACCCGGCGCCTGCAACAACAGCAGCAGCAGCAGCATCAACAGCAGCTGCTTCTGCTGCGTGCAGCAGCGTACAGGAGAGTGAGGGGCAACGAAGCGTGGAGGCTGCAGTTGCTGCCTTTGCCTGTTTGATGGGCCGCCTACTCTGGGACGGAGGGGTCCTTCGCCTCGAGCTGAACCTGAACCCACAAGTCAGGCGCACACTGCTCTCGCAAAACAAAGCAGAGACACCCCAGCAGCAGCAGCAGCAGCAGCAACAGCAGCAACAGCTGCTGCTGCAGCAGCAAAGCACAGAGGCGGCTGATGGGGGCCTTCTTCACGGTATTCGCAGTTCATTGGGGGCCCTGCCTGCGGTACGTTTAAACCATTCGGTTGTATCAGCGGAGGGGTTTGAGGGCCGCACACAGGATGGCCTAATGGGGAGACACTTGACGGAGAACAAGGGGGCCCCTGCAGAAGGGGGCGCCTTGGAGTCCTTGTTGGTAGCTGAAGAGTTGCAGGAGCTGGAGGAGGGCCTGGGGGACTTGTATGTCTCTCTATCCGGCGAAGCTGCAACAGACGGAGAGCAAGAAGCAGCGCCTCTCAGCTCAGCAAGCAGCTCCCCAAGTCCAGAGTACGAAGGAGACAACGAGGGCTGCTACGCAGAGCCCAAGGTATCCCCCCACATGCATGGCCCCCATTCACAGCCCGAGGGGCCCCCCAAGAGGCAGGGGCCTCCAGAGTGGGCTCACTTGGCAGCGTTCTGCAGCGAAGTGGAGGAGCTTCACCCCGAGTGTCTCCGCGGGCCTCGTCCCCTGTGTAAGGAGGATTTGGAGACAGCCTCTGGCGACAAAAGTGTCTCCTCAGTGCATGGCGGCAGCCGTGCAGGCCACAAGGGACAGTGTGGGGATCTATGGTCGAAAGAGATGGAAGGAGACAGTTGCGGACATGTGCGGGTATCTCTAGATGTTCTCGTTTCTTTCAAGGCAAGTGATACAGGAGAGGTCTCCTGCGACGCCCCCAAGTCGCTGTCTCCTTTCTTCAGTGCTGCTGTGCCTCTGGCCTTTGCCTCACTGCACGACAATCAGCCCCACATCTCCCCGCCGATGCATGCAGGAGAAGGGGGGCCTTCTTGTGTCCTTTTAAACTCTTCTCTAAAGACTCTTGTGCAGCAAGGGGGCCTTACAGCCCAAGTTACCTGTCCTCTCGTGGTGTCTCTGGGGCCTGAGGAGGAGACAGCGACGACTGTGGAAGGCCTTTGTCTCCCCCTGAAGCTGGGTAGCGCGCCTTCCCCCAAGGAGACACCGTGGGGCCTGCAGCAACGCAGAGACAGGCCTGACAAGAAGCCTCCGGAGGAAGAGCATAGAGAAGTGTCCTGGACTCATGGGGCGAGGGGACTGCACCTTGTGCTTAATTTGCAAGCAATCGAAGCAGCACAGCGCCTTTGGTGGCTGGCGCCCCCATCTGTCTGGCTCTGGGGCCCTGCTGCCTTGGCAGCTGCAGCGGATAGCGGGGGGGGAGCGGAGATGCAGCTGATGCAGTTGCTGCAGCAAGGCTGCTTGGAGGTGCCTGTGGCGGAGGCCCGCTGGGGCCTTTTCCGCAGCACTCATGTGTCTCCGTTTGGTCCCCTTGCGCAGCTGCTGCATCTCAGCTGCTCTAGGGGGCCATTTCTGCACGACTTCGCTCGCCTCAGAGCCTTTGGAGACAGGCCAGAAGCTCTAGCCAGAGCAGGTAAGCAAATCTGCGGCATGCTCCAGCCCCACAGCGGCTGGCATGTTTTGGGTTGGGCTGTATGGGGCTGTATAGTGCATAGGAGTTGTTTCTTTTCTGTTGCTGCATGAATGCAAGCCAGCGGAATGCCTGCAGCTTCTCAGCAAATGTTTGTCTCCTACCAGGAGACAGCTTTTTGTTGTTACTTCCCGGGGATGAGTGCGCACCTTCTTCTCTTACCAGTTGACGAGGCAGAGGCCTAGCGCAGCAAAGGGGCAGAGACAGACACCCTTGCCAAAGCCTCCATAGCCCACAGTGTCTTCACTGTGCCTCAACGGAAGCCTTTCCTAGTGCATGTGTATGCTGTGGGCCTTGTGCGTCTCCGCAGTGTACAGACGGCTGGGAACTGTCCGGGGCTGTCGTTGGAGGGTGGAAACACCTGGGGGCCCCACTGCAGTTGAGCAACACTTCGCCAGGGCCCTGAGCCGTCTGGATCTCTGCACGTTGCTTGTAGGTGGAGCAATACAAGGGTTGGTGGGGGGGGTCGAGAGTTGTTGGGAGGGGAGGAAGAAGGCCTTGAGTGCATTTGGTATTCCAGTTCCTGCATGTGCATGCATGTGTATGCTTGTGTATGCATACATGCATGCACAAGCATACACATGCATACACCCACATGCGCGCCTCCCATTAGGAGAAGAAGTTTTTAAGCTGATCCCAGCAGCGTGCGGTGCGGCGTACAAGGGCATAGGTCTCCTGCGTCTGTTGGTTGTCTCTTCCGTCAATGGAGACAATATACTAGAGGGGGCGAGACTGGCTGTGGCTATTGCTGTGTTGCTCTCTGCATGCATGCGTTTGGCAGGCGTGCGGCCCCCGGGGCTGCGGGCGATCTTCTCTGTGTCGAGCCGTCTGCATCGACGTAACGCGTCGCCTCGGTGTATTTAGTAAGGCAGAAGGAGACAGGGCGAAGGGACGAAGCGCCGCCAGTGGACGCTGTGAGCTGTACATACACCCGGAATAGTGTGGGGTGTTATGCGGTTGCAGCCTTAATTCTGCATTGCCGACTGCTGGCCCGGGAGACGATCCCCTCAGCTCTGGTTTTCCGAATTCTCTCGGCTGCATTTGATGTCGCGGAGGCCAACAGTCCCTCTTTGCTGGTGCTAGACGACCTGGTCGGTGTATATACATTGCAACAGGAGACACTGCACTTCATCGTCATCCCCGTAGCTGCGTTTGCTGCTGCATAGGGGTTGCTGAGGTGTTGCACGCGTGTTGGATAGCTGTACAGACGCCATAGGGCGAGCAAGCAAACAGCATCTATAGCGGCGTTTTGTGGATTAAAGTTTTGTTTTGTTGCCGCCGGACTGTAGGGTGTTTGTGTGTTGTGTTGCGGGAAGACAACCGACAATAAGAGACAAAAACAAAACGCTGAAAGGACAGGGTATTACGGTTTTGTTTTGTTTGCAACTGCAGGATGTTTTGTGTTTTTCGGGGGAAGAAGGAGGCGGTGGGCCGACTGTGGCGGAGGCCCGAGGGGCGGCGATTGCTGCTTATCTGTGCGATATGATTAAAAGGGTCTCCAGTAGGGTTCGCGGTGCATGCACAAGCGCCTCTGTAGATGCAGAAGAAGGCCTTTGCTGCAGCATTACCCCAAGGGGACTACAAGAGACTGCAGCACGGCGGGTTGTAACTATGGCCACTGTAGTCGACGCTGCAGCACTGCACCCCCTCTTATCACAGCCACTGCTCTTTGGCTGCTCCCCCATTAACCTCCACTGCGACACCTGTATGCCACACAGAACTGTCTCTGCACTGTCTCCTCTCCTTGTTACAAGGCCCTCTGCGCATGGTCACTTACGCACGGGATACCGTTGTGGGGAAAGGAGACAGGCCTAGCCAAAGGAAACCCAATTGTATCTCTGTATAAGCTGATAGACGTGTATATCTGTACAGGTGCATTTATACGTATATGCATATATACGTATATGTAGATATATACTTGTATATTTGCCTGTACTACGTTTCCTCTGTGGAGCTGTATGTATGTCTCGGTGATGCTCAATAAGTTGCTTGCGGCTGCCTCTGTGCATGCAGCGACTGTTGGCGCCCGCCTAGAGCTGCTGGAGAGTCTGCTGCACGCAGCCCTGGCCCGGCCTGGTGCATGCGCCCAGGGTTTGTATGGCCAGAGCTCTTGCTTCGACGTGTCGCACGAGACAGAAGTCTCCCCGAGTCCAGACACCCCATTAGAAATGGAGGACGTGGATATGTGGGAAATTGCAAACCAGATCGAAGGCTACAGTCTCACCGACCTACAGGTACATCTCCTTGTCCCCTTCCGAAGCGCTACACGTGCTGAAGTTGCATCCGCTAGACACAGTGTACGCAGCTGGCCAAGATGGATGCCTTTCTGTTCACCTTTTAGTCTGCGGCGCGCATGTGTCGTGTGTCCCTTCTTTTTTTCTGTTCCTTTTCTAGTTTTGCATTATATGTTTTGTTTGCTTCCGTCAGGCCCTGGTGTCGCGCGCCATTGGGGAGAGTCTGCTAACATTGCCGTTGAACCCTTCGCCAGGCCGTCCGACTGCCGGTGTAATTTGGGCTTCGCATTTCCGTGCAGCTTTAAAAGATTTCCGTCCTCGAGCGACTCAGTGGCAGTCATTCATTCAGTGCGTGCAGCTATCGGGCAGTTTTCTTTTGCAGCAATGCATGATCGCTCGCTGCGTGTCCTGCGTTCACGCATCTTGGTTCTTTTATATGCTTTCTCAGTGAACCTGTGTGCATGCTGCTGGGTGTTCGAGGAAGTCAGGCATTCAGCTGACCTAGGGTGTCCATGTTTCTTTCAGGACGGATCTACGTTACTGCCACGTCGGGGGATTGGACAAAGTGAGTGCGGGACTGGGCCCTTAAGCTGCACTGAATTTGTATTTATATACGCGTGTTTATGTGTATTTACAAATACGTAAATATGCATTTGTACCTATGGATTTGTATCTATGCATATATATGACTCAATTGCCTTTCTGTGTTGGTTGAGGACTGCAGGCGAAGGAGGATCTGCAGGACTTGTTGACCCTACAGCGGCGGTATCCTGTTTTGCTGAGGGCTTCGGGCATTTCAGTGCATCAGGGTCTGATGTTGGTGGGCCCTCCTGGGTGCGGAAAGACCCACCTTGCTCTCGCCGCCGTGGGGGAGGCGGGCATCCGCTGTATTCAGTGAGTGCAGGTGCAAACACAGCGGGAGAGAATTTTGCAGTCTGTTCGTTTTCTGTCTCCCCTTATAGGAGATAACACACTTGAAACGCAGGCTTCCACTGGAACGTAGGACCCGCAACACAGAGACCATGTAAAAAGCTTGCTGCTGTTGCTGGTTTTGCGTGCAGCGTTAAAGGTCCCGAGCTGCTTGGGAAATTTATCGGCGCCAGCGAGGCATCCGTCAGAGATGTGTTTCAAAGGGCGCAGGCGGCGAAGCCTTGCGCAATTCTTTTTGATGAAATTGAGGCTTTGGCCACGAGGTGAGCAAGTTGCCTTCGTATGTGTTGTTTATTAATATTGGCTATTCCTTCAGTTTTTGTTTCTTATTGCCGTGCTGCCCGTTTATTGTTCTGCTTGCCTTTGTTCGCGTCCTTTTCGTCTGCTTGCTTGTTTATTTGTTGGTAGTTTCTGTTTGCTGGACACCTTGTTTGCCTGTCTGTTCGCCTGGCTGGTGCTGCCATATGCAGGTCTGAATGAAGGTATCATATCACCAACCCACCCAACTCAGTAAATTTGGCTGCTGCTCGTTGTGTGTGTCCACAGGCGTGGAGGCGACACAACAGGAGTGACTGACAGAGTGGTCAATCAGCTCTTGTGTTATTTGGACGGCATTGAGGCGCGCCAGGTAGGCGTGCATGCAGCATTTGGAGAGGCTTCCCGGAGCGGGGAAAAGGCCTTATAGCATCGCTTGAGAGACATACCTGCAAATGCCCTACCTCATGGATGGGCGCCAGGGGAGAATTGTAGCTGCCGGACAGCATCCAAACGAAACAGCAAGTCACATCCCGAAGGGAGATTTTGCGTTCAGGATGTGTTTGTAATTGCCACAACGTCTCGTCCCGATCTTGTTGACTCTGCTCTGCTGCGTCCTGGTCGATTTGAAAAGGTGAGTTAGGCGTACGCTTGTCATAATCTGCCTTCAATGGTGTGGGCTTTGTGCTTGACGCTTGCTGTGATGCAATTTTCCCTGGTGCTGTTGCTGTTGTTGCGCGTGCTGGCATTGCTGTTAGTGATGTGTTTTCCCTTTTCTATCTTGTGGAGGAGAGAAGTTTTTAATGGGGTTTGCTGCATGCGCCCACTTCTAGGTCTGTTTTTGCGGAATGCCCGTAACGGACAGTGAGAGGATGGGAGTGCTGGCAGTAGCGCTCAAGTCTCTGAACTGTGAGACTTCGCTCGACATCAGCGTCGTGGGGTCAATGCTGCCATGGGCGTTCAGTCCGGCAGATATTCAGGTACTGGGAACCCCTCCTTTGGCTGCAATTCATTGAACTTGGTGATCAGCTTAGGCGACTAAGAAGAAATAATGCGCCTTTTCGCAAGCAGCTCTGAATTGGAGTGTGTTGTCTTGCACTGTATTGTGTTGTCCTGCAATCTGTTGTTTTTTAGGCAGCAGTAAATCAGGCACAGCTATTCGCCGTTCAAGAGGCTCTTGCAAACTCTACAAGTATGCACGTACAAGCAAACGTTGCATGCATTCTTGCCCGTGCGTATCCGTAGTCGTCGGCGTAGCCTAGAGAGTGTAGCGCTTCTTTAAAGGGTCTCTAAGCGCTTGTCGTTTGGTTTTGCAGTTCGAGAAGATTCCAGGGAGCCGAAACGGGCTACAGTCACCACGCAGCACATTGAAGCCGCCCTGAGAAGCTGCAAGCCTTCCCTATCCGTGCAGGTACGGCGTAACGGAACAATTGCGTTATTCAGAGAGTCCTGCATTTTTCGCACCCTGCATTTATGTAGGTGAACTTGTGTGGTGCTAGCATCGCGCGGCCGTCACAGGAACTTCAACGCTATCATCGGTACTGTCTTCCTTATTTGAACAAGGCCTACCAAGAGCGGGTTCAGGCAATCGAACGCCTAGTCGTCTCTTCTTCGTCGTCCTCCGCACAGAAAAGCGCAAGCGGTGTCACTGGATCCGCTCCCATTTTGAACGACGGCATAAATCTGTCGGAACATCCCGAGGAACGACAGGAATATTTGGAATCACGGGTTCAGAAAAAGAAAGACGATTTGAAGGACAACGGTAGCCCCATTCCGCATTCAGAACAGGATGCCGTAGGATTTGGGACGGCTCCAGACTCCGTGTCTCACTCTAGCCTGAGTTCCTTTTCTCTTGATGCTAACGGGCATAAACCATGCACGAGTGACCAGGAGAATGCAGCGGAGGACAGCTTTCAGTGCATTATGCATGGGCCGGCGCGAGACCAGGAGGCTGTTCCACCAAAAAAGGGACGCCGGCGTGCAAGATGTCGAGAAAAGCTCACGGGTAGTCGTGTAGCTTTGGCGTGAAGTATCTTTAAAAATAGCGAACAGTTGAGCGCTTGCAGAATGCCTGCGGCTTACTATTCACATATCTTTGAATTTTCTTGGTTCATTTTACCGTACAGCACTCGGGCTGAGGAAGCTGCAGGCGCTCTGGCGCTCGCGCGTTCACCACCAACAGGGCTAAAATAGGCTGGTTTAAAGCGTGATGGAAGAACCCGCTGCTGCGCAGTTGGTCGAGGCCTTTTCACCCCAGACAAGCGAAAGCGCACAAGAACGGTTGTACACAAAGTTTGCAAGGGCCCTCGTAGAGTGAGGGGTAAGCGAGTGAGGTGATAAGCAATGCCAGACAGTATTCGAACAGTTTGTTGTATAGTGAAAGTATCTTTGGAGCTGCATCCGGGCAAGGAATGCCATCCTTGCTGGCAACCCACGTCGGCAGTCCACATCGGATGAACGAATCCTTTTATTTGCTCGTCTTCCTCGCCTAGAAAGTAACTCCTCAGGCAAATTCCTAGTGCACGGGTGGAGAGTGTGCGCTTGAATATGACGTACATGCTGTTTCCCTGTGTGACTCAGTAGCAGTCAACCCACAAAAGTTTAAAGGGCCCAGGAAAGTGGCTCGTGGTAATTCCTGTTTGATTTCAAACTATTCACCCTCTTGTTTTTTCTGGCTTTACATTTTTCAACGGAGCGAATCGCTCAGCGACTGTTGGTTCGTCTCGTTAGGAGGCAGTGGGCCAGCTCGAGGTGACCTTGGTTCCACCACGCTGGTGATTTCGCAGAAAACATGCCGAAAACGTCTTGTTACTCTTGAATAAAGTCAATTTTTGTGCATTTATGCATTTTAAACCTAGTTTTATTGTTGGTCTGGCGTACATGCTGGCAGAGTCGGATAGACGGGCAGTGAATGAGCAGATAGGCTTTGGGTCCAGCAGCGAAGTTTGTGGGGCCCAGTCGCCGCTGTCCAAAAGAAAGCTGCTGCATGGAAAATGCATCACTAAATCAACAAAATGGAAATTTAGTGGGTATGAGTGCCACTTTCACCGAACTCTTAATCTTTTCGGGAGGTTTGATGTGCATGCGCTGGACATTTGAGCCACAGGTCCCAGTGCCGTGGAACATCTCCATAAGGCGGATCTGTTAACACTCTAGAAGCCTTGAACGGCAGGTGTTTTCAAGTTATTCGCAACAGGTCGTGTTGTTTTTGCAATCAAAACACGAGTTCCTTGTATACTTCTCGTGGGGTGTGCGAGGAGTACGTTGTCGCGTTGAATTCTTCTTGCACTGCCGAACATGAAGCTGCTACTTTCGGCTCTATTTGTCATTTATTTGGTGTTACCACTAAAAGGGTCATCCTTGCCGATCTCTGTTCAAGCAGCAGAGCAGGGCAGCATATCCTCTCCAGCCGTATCTGCGACGAAGCGTTCAATTGGCGAAGCTGACAATGCTGCTGACGGCGAAACTACACTAAGATGGTCTTACTACACTCCTTTTTCCGAGCTCGCCCCTCGACAGAAAGTCATGGGTGTGATTAATGCTATCGCTGTCCTGAGAACCAAAGCTTCCCTCCTCGAGGAAATGAAACACGCATTTGAACCAAGGACAACCCCCAAAAGTCCAGGAATTGTCAATGGTGGCTCGCTCCCTGGACCGGCGCTTGCATACGGGGATTGCCGCTTAGGGATACTTCCGTTTGAAGTGTGCAGGCATCTCGGCTTTCTTGACAGTGATCCAATGGTTGCTCCCAGCTCCACGCAGAGCAAATTGCTGAGGCTGGTAGGAGCCAGCTCTCTCGTGGCGTCCTTCAAGAAGGGCCAAGTATACTTCACTGACGACCCTCACCTGAACGCAGTCCTAGGACCTCAGCTTCTGGATTATGCAGTGAGAGCTCTGAGCTTGTTCTGGAATTCCCAGCTCCTCAGCCCAGCTTTCGATGCAAGAGGGGTAAACTCGGAACAGATCAGGCAAGCATTGTACTACGCTGACGCCTTCCTATTCCAAACTGCAACACAAGCTAAACACATCATTCGTTTCAACCGGTCGGAGTACGACGATGTAGCGAGTTGGCTGGCACTGCTATTCTCGGACGCCGAGCCAAACGCTAGTGCTCACCGAGAAGAGGAACCCCAGCCAGTGGAAGAAGATGATGGTAGAAAGCCCTCAGGGGAAGCAGCAGCGAATCGGGAGGGTAAGCAAGAAGCCGGTACTGTCAGGCCAAAAGCAGAAGCGAATGCGAAAGGTAAGGAAGAAGCCGTTACTCTCAGGTCAGCTGAAACACCTGCTCCAGTGCCCTCTGGCCAGAAGGAAGAAGAAGGTGGAATGTTCGGTGGCTTTCTCAGCCGATTGTTCACCTCACAGTCATCCAAACCCTCTCAGTCCCCTGCCTCGCCACCAGTCCAACAGTCGACACAACCAAAGAACGCAGAACAGGAAACATCACCAATGAGTTCTTTCTCCGCTTTTGCCAGCTCTGTCGGCGAAGGCCTGACATCAATCGTGACTAGTACAGCCCGAGGTGCTGCTAAGCTCGTCCAAGGAGAAACCCCTTCTGCTCCTTCTTCGGGGCCCAAAGAATCCATTGTTGATAAGGTGACTGAGGAGCGCGTCAGCAGCATCTTAGACGCACTTCCCGAAAAGGTACATGGCCAGTTCCGATGAGCCGTGCACCCTCCTGTACGAGTATGAATTGGTAACCCCCATGGCATGCAAGCAGCTCAGAACTGCACTTTTTCCGTATGCAGGTGCTCCTGCTTAATTTATACAGGTACAATACCCTCATGTGTTGCGAAGTCGCACCCTTCCCCACTGTATCCCCCTGACCATTTGGTGGATGCGCTCCACCCAGTTCAGCCCCTCTGTATAGGGCAACAATGCATGTCCCATCCACCCGCCAAAACTACTGAAACAACTAGTGCTTTCTACCGTTCCACCCAGTACCCAATCTAAGTTCTCGATTTGTGCCACTTGGCCTTTTCTGAACGCAACTGTGCTGGATACGTGCCCACTACGCTACGCCTGTTCAATTCCTTCAACGCAATTGTACGTCCCAAATGAGAGGATGCAACTCTCAAAGCTTTAACATCAGTCAATCTCTGACAATTGCGATGCGTTTTGCGTTAAGAGCTTGTAGTGCCAGTGCACAGAGCGTGGTGCAGGCACGTCTTAGTAAAATACTGGTACACTTGCTAAGAGTTGTCAGATATATCCTACGACGTCGCTACGGCAGAATGATGACAGTCATGCCTTGCACGTCCAGCGACCGTTCTAACAGCTCGCTACCGTGGGGAACATTCATAAACTAGGCACTCAGAAGTTGTAAGTAGCAGCATCGCGCCACTGCACAAGTATCTCGACAAGCTGGTCACGTTCCTTCTGTGACTTGGCCCGAAGCGGCAGCTCAATGCCCGATGGATTGTCTTCGTTTGGTGGGCCGAAGATGCAAAGACAAATCTTCGAGGTCACTGCAGACAGAACAGGGTAGCGAACAGAGAACAATGGCACTGCAAGTCTCCAAATGCGTAAAAACGAACGAGCAACCCAGCTGCGTACGTCAATTCAAAAGCACCGGCAAGCTGACAGAAACGAAACTAATTCAAAGTGGCACCGAATACGCTAAGTCCTGCAGCTGCTAACCGCTCCTCGACTTCTTGTTCGCCTTGACAAGCGCAGGGTGCGACAAGCCCTTTGCAACGTTTCGGATCCGAACAATAGGCACGCGGTTGTTCCAGTCCGTTTCATTGCCAACATTCCACTCGAAAGAGCTGCGAACAAGCAGCAAAAATGTTGCTGCACTATAGCACGCGCGTAGCACAGCGGAAGGGGGCCTGTTCTGCAAGATGAGTCACTTACTTGAGGTCCTGCGAACTACGCCATCTGATCTTCTCTGCATCCTTGTCGCCAATGTACACTTTAAGTTCGCCACCCTTACGAAGGGCTTCTTTCACGTGAACCGGTAAGTCGTGTACGCCATTAGGATATGGGTCCACATTCCACTGCGTAATGTTCATGTCCAATTCGGTTACAGTGGACGCAAAAGCGTCCATAGGATCGAGGTCTGCGTCAATTGAACAAGCAGCAGAACATGACTTATTGCCGTTTTGCTAAAATGACGCCTACGAGGGAAAAGGAGGGGCACCCAATTCATTCCCTACACTCACTTGAGCCCAGCGCATCCAGTGTCTTCTGGCACTCATCGCGAATAGCCTTCTCTTCGGGTTTCTTGTTCCCTATTTTTGATATGCTCTGAAGCAGCAGGGACGCAAAAACGACGGCAACACACGAATAATCACTGGGGCATTGCCTCTTGAGAGCAGCGCGCAAACCCAGACTGTCACACAGCGCGTACCGTTTTGAACGCCGCCACAAGTTCCCTTGTCTTAATGCTCTCATACATGTCACCCGATGTCATTGCGATTGAATTGACGATGATACATGAAAGCTGAGCAAGAGACAGCTCCCCGGGGAAAGAATTGAGGGCCTGCATGATCATGAGTTCTCCTCCACTCCCTACAAAAGAGTCCTGACCCATCTGCTCCGATACGAAGTATGCAGCCACACCTGCGTCGAAACAGTGCTCACGAGAAGTACGCGAGCTGACAACAGTAGTGAACATAAAGCGCCACGCAAGGAATCCGCCAAGCCATGCTAACCACACCATATGCAAAACGCAGATATGCGAAGGTGTGAGTTGGAAATACCCATGCAGAAGTACACATGCAGCGGCTCTTACCAAGAGACACACGCTGTAGACGCAGCTGTTTCGCATGGCTTTCAGAACCAGCGCATGCGCAAACAGCCTGAATAATTGCTCCGATCATGACCTCATCCATCCCCATGTGATACCAACCACCTGCGAGCCACCGACGGAATGCACCACGGGTTGAATTGGCTGTCCACACAGAGTTCCTACAACATTTCAATCTTGCACTGCCGTGCAGCCCTGCAAAATGTACTGTGATTCGTACCGTAGGCAGCATTTGCAAGCTCCTCGGGGTCTGGCTCAGCTTCTCGAGTTTCGCCATTCTCGTCTGGCACAGCACCGGACTCCTCAGCTGCCTTCGCAGCTGCTTCATGCAGCGCCTGCACGGCCGCCGCACGTTCCTCTTGCGGCCTTGTTGTCAAGGCGAGGAGGCAAAGCAGAACTCGGCAAGCCTCCAGCATGACCATGGGCTGGTTTATCGACTTGCAGATGACATTCGCTACGGTTGCGATACCACCTGGAGGAGCAGAAGACAAAAAGCAGACAGCATTCTCAGATGAACACAGAAGATAATCGGCAAGGATACCAAGCAGCATCTGATCGTCCACCTGAAGCAACGTCATCGTACCCGCATTGCAGTACTCGAAAGCAAGCTCCTGCGACCTAATGATGCGCCGTGTGCAGCGGAGGCCACCCACAACAAGATCGGTAACCTCATTCCCCTCAGCGTCAACATCCACGCATCCGACAAGAATGGAAAATACATCAGCCTCCACCATGCGCTGAACTGAAGGCATTAGTGAAGACTGGATGCTCAACAAATGAATGCCTGCAAGCAAAACGTCCACTCAGATGCAGGATCTCGCGTTCAACCTGAATGTTGTTCAATTCGAAGTGCACCCTCTGTCCCCCATACGGAAAAAATGAAATAAGCGATGCTTGCCTACCCAGCGTCAGTAGTCCTACGTCATAGTCGAACTGGTGAATAATGCGAATTGTCGTTTCAATTCCCCCATTGTCAGCAAACGCTACGGCATTTTCTTCCAATCGGCAAAGAGATGCTTCTATATCTAAAAGAAGCATTAAAGCCTTCGTATCCTGGCGCCCCTGACTCGCAACCTGAACGAAAGAACAGCAACAGCCAACAACAGCAGCGAAGCAGGTTTTTGTATAGTTCAGTCTCGTGAGACACTCGTAAACACATGCGACAAATATGACAGCAGCAGCTCCAATGGAAACTGCACTCCACCTTCCGTACAGTGGGCCCTGGGAACCTACCTGCATGCACGGTAGCAAACAAACACCAAACTTCCGCATGTTATTTGGGTCATTCTCCATCACAAGGTTGGCCAGAGTACGGCAACCTGTTTCAAGTTGTGCATCCGGGAAGTCCCCAGTCAGATTGCTTAACCACGCGCTGTAGGCATTCTCAATTCCTGCAAGGCGATGAGCGCAGGACACATGACTAGCAGTGAGTTGCGGCGCCCAAAAACCAGTACAGGCAAAATATTTGAGAAGTCTGAGGATAGTGGCTCACCAGCGTCCAGGAATGGCTGGATATTTGGCGTGTACAGAGACAGGTTGCTAATAGCTTTGAAGAGCGACTCCAAACAGCGTATAGCAGACCGCTCCGTCGAACCGTCGTAATTTGAAAGACCCTGAGAATGCACGCAAGTTCCCCCACACAGTCGCTGTGTCAAAAGAAACATCAGTTGTGCCGAAGCTATACTAAAAGTTAGCATAGTCTTCCATGGTACTGGCTCCTCCTCACCTTCACGAGAGCAGCCGGGGCTCCATTAGTACCAAGATGGTGCTTCATTTGCTCATTCTTGTAAAGCAAGTTGCAGAGCAACACTGACGCCGCATTGCAAACATCATATTCTTTGCAGCGCTCGTTCAAGACACGAACGGTGAGATCTGGACCTCCCAGCTTGTGGAACAGTTCGGTGTTCTTCTTGTGGCCAATGCAAATGTTCGCAAAAGCGAGACATGTGTTCGTAACTACTGCTGTCGCCTGCGGATTCGCAAGGGACCGCTGAAGTAATTCGTTGCATGCCGCTACGCCATCCAGCTCTCCAATTTTGGTCTTGATCTCCGGCACCACTGCCAGCGAACCCAGCAAGAAAAGGACGTCCGGCAGCAACGCTATGTCCGAGTTGAGATTCTGCAGCACAACGGGGAAACAAAAGCCACAAGTATGAGGTAAAACTTCCACATCCCTTCCCGCGGACGAAGTATACAAACAGTGCCATCAGGGTCTGCTTGAGCGAGCAAATGTTCACCTTTACTATAGCAATCAAGCGCTGCAGCACATTAGCCTTCAGCAGCTCGTCAACATGAGCATCTGAGACTATTCGCCTCATGGCACGGAATACATGCCTCAGCAACGCAGTCGAGTACAGGCCCTTGTCGTAGTCATTCCAACACCGGATAAGCTCAGAGACAGCGTTCGTCTTGTTGTAGAGGTTACGGTTGACAGCAGTGCGCTCGACAAGCAAAAGTCTAGAGCACAAGTGCTCCTCCTTCCTTTCATTTGATAGGGTCGTGTCCTTGTTTATCCTGCTTACTGCTTCCGTTACGATATTTGGACAGCCTACTGTTCTTGCAGCATCTTGGGCACAGGCCGGATTCTTGCAGCCAGCAGCTAGGGCCTTGACGGAGTAGAGAACAATTTCTTCATCTTTTACGCTCTTCATAATCGACAGTTCCATCTTGACGAAGTCCTGCTGCTGCAGTGCTTTGTAGTTAACTGGGGAAGTCGCGAAAATCTCCAGCGCCATGTTCCCGTACTGGTGATCAGCACCGATTGGTGTTTGCCAATCAAGCTTTTCGCCGTTGTACATAACCAATCGGCCGAATACGAACTCAAGCTCCTCTTGCAAAACTGCAACCTCCGGAATTGCGATCGAGAGTGACGACGCGACACGGCCGTTCAAAAGGTCGTAGACATCCTTGCACGTCTTTTCGTGCGGCTGGTCGTCCGCCATGGCTTGGCGAATCATGGCCGTCTTCTTCTTTAACTCGACAGCATCTTCCGCTCCCCCAGCATCGCAAAGAGCGTCTACTCTGTTCAATGACTCTTCCACGCCATCAGTTGCTAGGAGTTGCCTTCCGTTGCCCTCAGTTGCACACAGCTGCATCAGTAAGTCGCAGTATGCATCGGCGCACTCCGCATTACTCGCTATAGTTGCCTGGGCCTCACCCGCAGCCAGCAGTGGTATTGCTTCCTTGATCGTGCGAGCCGCCAAGTTGGCATCGCTAGCTGACATGGCTGCAAGCGCTCGGCAAGAATCGCGGAGAACGCCTGGGTTATCTGGATAGTCCTCGATTGCCTGTATAATCAATTCAAAGCCCTTCGAACGCTCGACTTCACAAACCAGTGCGGCGGCCCCAGCTGCCATAAACACCCGGCAGACAGCGCACAGCATAGTGGCACGTGCCTCCTCTGGGAGTTTCTTTGACTCCTCTTCGGCCTGCATCCTCATAACGAGCTTTTCCAAGGCCTTTTGCTTGGAAAGAGCATCCCCGTACGACTGAGAAAGGATCAGACGTTCCACCAAGTTTGCATAAGCAATCATGCGCTCCTGGCTAGCATTCGCTCCACAAAGCGTTTCGCACTCCCGCAACGCAGACCCATCCGCAAACTTCGGAATCGGATCCGCACCCGAGACAGCTCCATTGTATGCAAGAGCCCCAAGTAAATACATCCCTGATGTCACGACAGCGTCGCTCTGCTGGTGCTGCTGCATCAACAGCAAAGTAAGGGCGACTATGTCGCCCGAAGATCCGCTCATGTCTGCAGACAAGAAACAACCCAAAGCACTCTGCAAAATACAGTACGCCATTACGCCATTCGAACGACCCAATGTGGAGGAGGTGTTGAAGGGCATGCAAGCAACTTACTCTGTATTACGAGCGCAGCTCCATTTGCATCCTCTGCGAAGTATCTCAAGAATTCGAGAATGCGAGCAGTCGTCTCTGCGTCATTCTTATAGGCTTCCAGCAAGGCATAAGTTTGCGGGAGAAATGAAGGTGCAACCTCCTGAAGTGTAGGCATGCTATAGGGGTTGGCAGCACACGCAGCAAGGGTTCGATATCCTGGGACCAGGAAGCCCTTGTTACTGTCAACCTGCCCAGAGGCGATCATGGAGGCAAGCTGATGGAGCAAACCACTGCTTGCTACTGCCCATGCTCCATAGGAATCATTAGGATCGTCGAAGCATCGGTCGCAAAGTCTCCGTGCCACAATAGCCACGTGTCCATGAAGTCTCTGGTCTTCCGGTGCCATCTGAAGCACAGTCGTGAGTGCCGTGAGGCATTTTTCCGTGTGCTGCAGCGCGTCTGCTGGATCGTCAAGGGGGGCAGCCAAATACATGGCCAACTGCGCACACAGCGCGTCCACCGTCGCCACTGTGTTCTCGTCGCCGCTCTCAACTGTAGAGATAATCTGAAGCATGATGCTCTTGATCTGTTCATCCGCACCCATTTTGGCAAAGAGCTCGCCCCCAACCCTTGTGATATCCTCATCATCAGGGTGAAGGCGCATGGCGTCTGCAACTTGTCCCATAGCGCCAAGCTCCTTAAGAACGGGGCGGTCTTCGCGTGTTGTAATGCAATTCAGTACACTCAGCAACTGATATGCTGTTGCGCCGCTATTTTTCTGCTTGTCAATCGCAGACGTGAGGATCATACATGGAGCGCGCACATCATTTCCGTAGAAACGACGGAGGTCATCGTGCACACCCAGCAGTGCCAAGGTTGTTGCTGCCTCACGGACAAGTTCTTCGTCGTCTCCGTAGTTCTCGATGGTGGCATACAGCGCGTTGACAGCACCGGCATCACAGATCTTCACTGCTAGGGAAGGATCGTTGCATGTCTCAACCAATTCCCTGAGCGCCTTGATGGCCACAAGCCGATTTTCCCTCTTTGGATCTTCGCTTACGACCTTAACAAGCCTGTTGAGAAGGTTATCAAAGTCAGGCTGTGCCACTAAGGCTGCGACCCGCGAAGGAGTTGTAGCCAAGGCCGCAAGGCACCCACAAGTCGCCGCAAGCACTGCTGCTGAGTCCTGGTAGTTGTCAATCCCACTACAAAGAGTAGCAACAACATTGCGCTCGAACGCGACATCTGCCGACTTCCTGTCCGTCTTGACCATGAGCCGCAGAGCTTCCAGAGAGTGAAGAGCGGCTTCCTCGGAATGCACGCACTTTTCAGTGCCATTCACACCAGAGTATATGCTCAGCACGCTCTCCACATTCCCCGTTTTGATGCAATGCACACACCCAGTCCTCACCGATGCCATTTGCTCAACGGCATGTGCGATTTCCGACATCGTGGCAACATACAAATCATTGCCGAGAATATCGTATTCCGTTGCTCCCAGTGCGACAGCCTTGTTCCCAACAGCGTAGTTTGCAAATCGTTCAAGGTCCGCTCCAACGCCAAGACGGGCAGCGATCTTTGCTCCCTCGGCAGACACCAGAAGCTCGTTCAGCTCGACAAGAGCTTCGTGCATGCCCACCATACTGTTCTTCTGCATGGCATCCTTGCACTCCGCAACTCTTTCTGCAATTTCTCTCTCCAGAGCGTCCACGGGCATGAGCAGGGCCAAAAGAGGAGCAATAGTCTTCTTGAGGTCCTTGCTCTTAGAGTGGGTTCGCATCGCCACCTTCAAAGCGGAGAGAACATTACATCTTTTCATGACTTCGGCTGAAGACGGGTCAACCTTTGCGCAAGTCGCTAAGACTGTGAATCCTGCAATCTGAGCATCTAGGTACATCGGCGACTTGTTGAGATACTGCACCACAGCGTTGATGCATCCAACTTTGATGAGCACTTGCACGCCACCGCCGGAGTCACACAGAGCAAGGTAGTTGAGGGCCTCAAGGCAGTTGATCTGGGAACGCCTGCTATCTGCGTATTTACGCATAACTCTCATTATTGCCTCAACTGCAGGTTCAATGTTTTCCTTGCTGATCCTGCTGGTAGCCGCGACGTCCCTCGCACCCGCTGTGCAGTGCACCAAGATGTTGTCATCAGGCTCCTCGAGCTCTACAATGCGTTTCACTGGAGGAAGGCACGCGATTTCGCACATGCTCACTAAGACAGGGGTAAGATCTCCGTCCCCATTCACCTTGATGATCTTTACCGTTTTAAGCCCTGCACGAATCACGCGGCCTTGGCCCTCAAAGCGTGCTCCGTCAATCCAGTTTTGAACGCCCTTCAAAATCGTTTCCGCTGCAGGAACCAAACGCGCACAAGTACCACCGCACACTCAATAACGTATGTCTTCACATCAGCAATACATAATTGCAACTAGCTGTCGGCGTACCAGCATTCCTAGCCTCGAAACACTGCCGCAGATGGCTAACGCGACTGAGGCCGGCAACGGCCGCCAGCGCACGATAAGCGCGGTCAGGATCTCCCTTTGCCGTCTGGATAGCAGTATCCAGGTCGCTGAGGTGACGATTGCAGTCATCCTCCGTTGCAATCACGCTCAAACAGTTTACACCGGAGTTCACCAGTGCCTCATTCTGCTCGTGCTCAAGCATTGCCTCCAGTACGGCATCAGCGCATTCAGTGTTGGCCATGCATGTCTTCGCGTCTGCCACTTTTGAAAGTTGCTCATAAAGCTGTACAGCCCCCTGAACGATGGTGGCGTCCTGGATGTTTGCCCGAATTGAGGCGTTAACACCCTGAAAGCCGCTGTACTCCAAGATGCTACGGACACTGGTCAAATTGCCGGCCAAGCGGTTAAGGGAGAGGATCGCGTTTGCCTGAAAAGCCGTATCTTTCAAGTGGTAACTGCAGCACATTGCGCAGATCTCCACTGCCAGGTTAGCCACCATGTGTTGATGAAGCTCAGCATGCTGAGAGCCTGCGCGTAAATTCATAAACAAGCTCGACACGCCGCCGCGCTAAATTTCCATTCATTCCCCTCACAGGGCATATCTTTTGCTTTAGCCAGACAGCCTTAGTCCTCACCAGTGGCAACCAGCTCCATCGCCAGGGGAGCGAAGTCAGAGTTCTCCACATGTTGGTACAGCAGCGGAAGGACCGTCGCGAATGTCTGATACTGCACAATCTCGCTAGCAAGACTTTCGCGGGCAGCGAGAGGAGTCAACGCCATGCAGAGAGCTCCCAAACACTCCAAGTTATCCGTGCAGTAAGAAACTGCGGTTGCTAGGGTGGCCACTGCTCCTGACTGTACCATCGAGTCCACGTTCGTCGGATTTGAGGCAATGCGAGCCAGCATTTTTGCCGCCCCACCGATCACCTTGTAGATTTTTTCCGGGCTTGATTCGATTTGTGTAAGGCTGCTGTTGATGAGCTCGCACAACAGAGGGATACCTCCAGCGCGCACAATCTCGTCCGTAAATGATGAGATGTACGACATGGATCCAAGAGTTGTTAATGCTTCGTCGTGCTCGGGAGAGCCAGGTGAACTAGACTTAAGAGTCGCCAGGCATTGCTGTAGCTGCTCTGGTCCGATCATCGATGCCAGGGCTGCCGAACCCTTCGAGAAGGCCCCCTTCTTGCTCCTATACTTGTCCATAACGCCAATGCACTGCTCCAGTACTGTGCGCTGCCCCTGACCCTGTTCTGCCATATGCCTGCAGGCGTCGAAAACCGACTCAACACACTGCACTGCAGGTTCAGACATATCCCCATTCGCAAGACAGAACTCTAAAACCTGACCCATCCCTCCCGCTGCCGCCGCTGCCTGGGCTCCTGAAGGAGAGTTCGTGGCGACAGCAAGAGCCGCCGCAACACGCGATGCCGTCTTCATGTCCACCTTTTTCGAAAAAATTGCTAACAGTCCCGGCGCAAGGGCTCCTCCGTCCAGAGGGCTCCCCATGCTGTGCATGTTCTCAACGAATGTCATCGTGTCCGACACGGTTTGTGGTTCGCTTGGACCGCTGGAAATGTCCACAAATCAGCACATCGTCGGTCAGAAACATGCCACACTGCCTGCGTGCTTTCACTAATTTCGTTAACTGCACCCAACCGTCAGCGACATTCATGCTTACAACTTGTGTAGCCGAAAGAATGCTTCCTAGAAATGAGCGTAAGTGAGCTCACCTGTTGACAATCGCGAGGCAAACAGCCCCTCCATGCGTAGCCAGAAGTCCAATGCGTCCAGCGTCTAGGTCACTTTTACATGCGTCAGACATAGCCCATATGACTCTCGAACAACAGTTCATAAGATCCTCGTCATCTGGAAATGTTTCCACTGCCGTCTGCATAGCAGGGAGAACTCCCTTGTCCATTGCATCTTGGGCATTTTCCCTTAAATGCACACGCAGTCAAACGCCACAGAATTGTACATACATTGTGAAAGACTGTGTTACAGGCAACTGGTCTACCGTGCAGCCTGACAACTGTATATCGCCTCGGATCTCACTGATAGAGCTGGTTGGTAGGACTGCAAAAATCGGATAGAGAGCGCAAACCGAAAAGAAGCATGCGCTTGAACTTCTGATGTTGAATAATTCCTTGCACCGCGGTCGCCACCCCGGCGTCCGGGCTTCTCTTAACTGAAGACAACAGAATGCGCATGCCGCATCCCCGTGTAAGCTTCGCTAAAGCAGTGGAAGAGCCGCTCCCCACGGAGTAGGAGCTTGCTTCCATGCCTGCAACGTAATCATGCTGGTGTATACAATCCAAATGATACAGATACGGTCATAACTCGACATGAAGGGAGCAAACTCTGTGTACACTTCTGCACATAGGAATGCCACGTGGGACGCAGGAAGGCATTCGTCCTTGGGTTCGTCTAGCCCGTTAGAAGACCCCAACAGATTCAAAAGATGACTCAAAAACGTGACGAAAAGCACAAACACAGCAATAAGGACCTCCGGTGCTCGAAAACTTGCTGCCAAGTTTGTGTAGCTTGGGGACCCCCAACACGTTCGCCCCAGCTTGTGGGCAAGAACCTGACTGACGTTTTCCCGCTACCATCTTGGCAAGTCATTTGGAGGTTCCTCCTCAAAGAGCAAGAAGCTGAGACCGTATCTCCTGAGGCAGGAGGCGGAAGACTGACAGGAAGCACAGTTCCCTTGGGGCACGCGTTAAACACGCGCCTGAGGAACCGAAAGTTCAAACAAGTTCCAGAAGAGCTAGATATAGTGACGAATACTTTGAATGTGCGATTCTGAACAGGCGTTTTACGGGGAACAGGACGCCGCTGACAGCTCTTCGGGCTGTCCTTGGCCTGGCTGGCCACGGCTTGCTCCTGCGGCACACCGCCATGCAGATGGACAACGTCTACGGACGTCAGAAAGACCGTACGGTGCAAAATGATCCAAGCGTTCTAGAGTATCTTGCTTGTTTATCTCATTGTATAGAGATCTCTACTCAATGTATAGGTCTCTACGTTAAAAAGCGAGAAGCGCTCTGCACCATCGGTGAACGGGTCAAGCCACCGAAGTGCCGTGGCTACTCTTCTACTACCCCTAGGCGCTTAGTGGTTAAATAGTATGTGTGCGTGGAAAGTGTAAGTATCTAAAATTGATTGAAGGTGACAAAAGGCGAAATACCTCTCCGTCCAAGCATAGCAGGAGAACTGGCGTGGTCCTGTGGGAGGCCGGTGGTGATGGAGGGGAGGGCTGCGCAGGTATACATGTGAGGTCCTCGGGTACCTCTTAGATTGCAAAAAAAAATATTTTTAAGCCAACCCAGTTGCGATGCACTGCCATATCTGCATCGAGATTTTGGTGTTGCTTATGGACTCGATCGAGGTTGGGCGAGTAGTGGTGCTATTGTGTTGGGGGGACCGTACAAGGTCCAGCAAAGTTGAAAGCAGGGATTGCTGCAGGAAATATCTCACCAGCCGATGCCCTCTGACGTTCGCACCTGCGAGGTGTTGCCTTTGCTCGTTGAAATGTTGCACTCGCCCATGTGGATTCACTGGTTTGGTTCAGAAGAATGTTCTGAATTCCTGCGTTAGCATGTTTGGAATGAACCTACCTATATCTTCTCCTACATCGCAAGGAGGGCTAGAATACATTGCTTTCCTACGCTTGTATGTGTTTACGCACAGGTGATCCTCTGAAGGAACTGGCTGCGCTCCCATCAATTATCCCTTGGAGTTACTAGTGCGAGCAAAGTTCTTTTCTGGCTATTTCCACTGGAAGCAACTTAGTCAACAGGGTGTATTGGTTGAAGTGCCCTCATCCAGTCCTTTATCCCCTGTTATCTTTCTGTAGGCTATCTTGATATACAGTCACTTCTACTGAGACTGGCACCAGCCCGTCAGACTCCTAGTCCCCCCTTGGGTTGGCACAACAAGTAAAATTGACTGCTTTGTCCAAGCTGTGTGGAGCAGAAACCCATTAGATCTCCAAAGCAACTGCAATAAATAATATCACAAAGTCAGAAAAACGAGTGCTGCTATTGTTTTCGCTCCTGAGTTAGCTGGCCATATTAGGGTTGCAAAGGAGGTCTTATTGTTGGTGAATTGGACTAAAAAAACGCTCATGTAAAATAGAGATTACTCAGCACTGTATCACGCTGGAAAGACACGGATAAGACTGCGTTCCACAGCCGTATTCGCAAACTGTATGCCACTTGGGCCTCTGAATGGACATTCTGAACTGTAGCAGCAGATCGTTCCAGATTCCGTGGCCCCATTCAGTAGGTGCTGGATGGTATGCACAGGGGTGGCGTGTTTAGGTGCAGTCATAAGAAGGATCACATGCAGCTGCGGCTTGCTCTGTAAAACTAAGTGGGAAGCCATGGCTCGCGAATCCGCACGCGTATGCATTTTCTGCAGATAATTTGCTACTTAGGGTTTCGTTTCCCTTCGCCAGGAGTCAAGCCATATCCGGCGAAGATCGGGGCCATTTTGGGGTGGTCCTACTCTTGTACACTCGCAAGGACTTTCAGAAGTTCTTGTGGCTCGCATCGCACAATCACAATTTAATCCATGGATTGATCCGTACGGTTTTCTCTTCCGATGGATCTATTCGAGAAGAACAAAAACTATTTGTCCCAATATGGAAGGTGGAAGAGCTCGGACGCTTTATCGTCTAATGAGTATCAGGATTCGCGATCCCTCATTGCGAGAGGCAGTTCTTCCTACAGGCCGACGGCAGTGACACAGCTGTTGTTATGATGCTGTTTCAGCAAGACCACTCGAAATAGCCACGCAATAATCGGCTTGTATCCACATTGGAGTGGAAGGGAACAGAAGGAGTTCCTCATAGTCTGATGGGGTGTAGAAAATGTCGAGATTGGTTATGCGACAGGCCCATTACTCTTCCAACCGGCCGTCAATCTCTGACAAGCATGAAGTGCTTTTCTGAGTTCACTAATAAAAGAGTTGTGCGGTGGATATTCCGGCTAGCGCATTGCGACTTCACACGATTGTATCACCAACGCAGTCGTTTATGCACTTTCTCGACTCCCAACCGGCCAGACATTCTGTTACGCAACTGCGCTTATTTTGAATTTCATACATTTTTTCCGAGCTGCGCCCTTCTTACTCAAATGCTTATGGAGCCGTTGTCCTTGCCAGTCTCAACACCAGACGACGGGAAAAGCGCTGGACCATGGCCGGCGATCTCTTCTGATCCCAGACGACGCGTGAAGTTCATATATTATTCGTTCGAGTTTCTCCTTCGCAACAGACGTTTTGCAAAATATGCAAGGTCGTGGAATACCTTGCGATGGTTGGGTCAGCAAAGCAGTAGAGCAACTGGCTCTGGCTTTTTGGCTGCGTACGACTGGAGTATTTCTTCACTAGTCCGAAATGGAAGCAGAGCAAGCAGCGAGACGCTGCCAAAACCAAATGCTTGCAGAGAACTACGATTCCTTAACGATCGGAAAAGCCACCCTAATGGATATGAACTTCAGAGGCCCTGATAGCATTTTCGCTGTTGTGAATAGACTCCGCAAATATGCCCATTTCCTCCCGTGTTTGGGGCACTCAAATAAGTCCCCTGAATGGCTCAGAGAATGACCGAAATTCCCTTGAACTATCCTCCCAGAACTGTAACAGCTTCAGCATGAGAATGAGCAAGAGCTCCTGGAGGCACGCGCAAGAACCAACAGCGGGCAAAAACGACGAGAATATCACATTAACTTGCTAGTGAACCGAAAACCTTAATAGGTGCCTGAGGGCGATTTCTGCGAAGCAAAGCCTTAGGAGCATCTACTTGCTCTCCCGACACAGCGGTGGACAGTGCATTCGTAGATATGGGCAGCGCACCTCAAATTTGGCCCGCGTACAAGCATTTGGTGGCAAGTGCTCTGTCATGCGGGCTCCTATATTTTTATATCTGCGTGCAATCCTGCGCAAATCGTTTTCCAGACGAAATCTGCGCCACTTCCGGTGCAATAACTCCAATCCACAGCTAACACTTGTTTTTCATTTGGGCCTGACAATTGGCGCTGGCGTATTATTTATAAGTCTTGAATGTCCCTATCAAAAGGCGTCATCCAACTGCTAGGCACGGCACAGACCGTTCTCTCGATGCCAGTGGTAATTCTACTGAAGTGCCTGCAAAAGCTAGTTCGGGGCCGCCAGCAGCAGCCAATCAAAACAGAATAAGCAAATGAAGCTGCCCATGTGCTTTTCCTTTTTCTGCTTTTTTTTTATTCCGGCGCCTGGGGTTTGGGTCCCTCTGGCAACCGGTTTTATCTGCATCGGTGCACCCGTCCTTTTTTGAGCAACTACGCACACTAGGGCTTCTCCAGCTTTGCGCGAGAGGGAGGGAGATACGTGGCATGCCCTGTCTGATATTGGTACCTGTCTTACTCGCGTGCAGGCCGGCCATTCTGGGATACGTATTGGTTTAACAATATACACTGTTAGTACATGCACTGCTCCCATGTGGGGTTGTCCTGCAGCACGAGTTGCGGCAAGGTATGTTGCAACTCTTAACCGCCTCCACTCCGCACCATCCCAGGCCCTTTGCCACTGTGCCGAGGGCACTTTGAGACTGCAGGGCAGGTCAGCTGCTTTTGGAGAAACTGTATCTTACGTCGTTTGGCTGTATTGCAGCTTGCGACGGTTCTCTACTATTCTATCCAGGTTCCGCGATCTTCCAGAGGAGCGTCGCGCGCTGCAGTACAGCTGAAATAGTTAAGATAAGACTCCCTAAAAATCATCGAACCTCCAATTCCATCCCCAGGCTTCCTAGGCACAGTGGCCAAGAACTTGGGGGTTGCTTCAGAAAAGAGGCGGCCCGTTATGAGCTGCGCCTCACCTCGCCGCCACTAGTGTTGCAAGGTAGCCCCAGGTGAAAGCACAACCAAGTCCTGCCTCTCTGCAAGCAATAATACTGTAGATAGTTGTTATACAGTTACCTGCCCCTTAGCAGGCAGAGTTCACGCCAGTAAATACAAGTACCAACCTCATGTAGGCCATGCCACTGCAGTGGTCGGAGACTTCGTCACACACTACCTCTGGAGGCTACACTTCGCCGACGGGAGGCACCACCAAGCGTTGTGCTGGGTGTGCCCCCCACCGGCTAAGTGTGTGTGTATGTGTATGTGTGTGTGTTTGTGTGTGCGAGTTGTGCACAAGCATATCAAGGCGAGTCGAATGCGGTTTTAAACTTAACAGACATTCATGCAAATGCCTGGCTCGTGGCACGTGCTTGCAACAGCCATGCAATGATCAAAGACAGATAGTACAACCGACAAATAATTCGGGGAGAATCATACGAGGGAAACGATAAAATAATTTCTATAGGCGAAAACGTTCTGCATCTTCCATCAATACCCGGCAACTTATGGAGCTGCCGGCAACGAGTCACAGGCGGGGCTGGCGTTTTTCCGGCGGCGCGCGTGTCAACGAGCTTGTTAGAAAGCCTTACTCCTACTCGTCATGAGGGCTTTGTTCTTTCTTCTGGGTGGCTTATCTTCAAACACAAACAAGTGCATTCAGTGATATTGCGGGATAGGTGTACTCAGCATGGCAATCAGGGGCAATGCTGAGTAGATGTTTGAGCTGCTGCCCTTACTGCGGTTCTCGCTATGTCTGTGAGTTATAGGAATTTCAAATCCATTGGGGCCACGTTGTGAGTTTTAATCTAAAAATCGATTGATTATAGTCGTCGCCAGTTCTCTCCTCGTTGTTGTGCCACGCGGTGTGATTTTGTATTGGGGGGCGACCACCACTCCATCGGAGCGATCACTGGCAAGTCTTGTCGTTACTTGCATTCAGGCAAAATATCACAGATTTAATATCCTTTCCGGACTCTTAAAATATATAGGGCGGAGGGCATACTACGGGTGTACAGATCCCTGAGGCTTCTACTGGAGCAGCATCATTCGATATTTGCTCCGTTCGCCCACACCAGAAGTACTAGTAACCCGTGCAAAAACCCAAATCTGAACTACCTAATCAGGGCGGCGCTGTGCCCGATTTCTTCTCCCCCGTCCTGCCGTGCAAATATGCCCCGCGGTTTCTTTCGAGTTCGTCTCTCGCGTTGACTGGCGGCAACTTGGGGGCCTAACAAACTAGAATTGGCCTGTTCGGCAACTGTGGTACTGGTGCCATAGAACTAGAAAAATAGGGCACCGTCCAGCCTTGCTGTGCTGACGTTCCTCTGTGACGGCTGCAGACTGTTGGGCTGGTGACGCGTTTCTGCACTCTTCAAGAAGGAGCAAGCACGGCCCCCATATGTGCGTTTTCTGACGGCGTAGTACTCCGACTAGTGTGAAAATGGCCCAAGACGGTGCAGGGAAGAATGAGGGATGCGCCCGCCCTAGGATCCCAACAATGAGTGCCGAGGTTAGGGCGGACAATCCATACTCCCGTCTCATGGCTTTACAACGGTGAGTGCGGCTGGATTAGGTAGGCTTTTGCATTGCTGCATAGGAGTTTAGCTGGAGAGAACCCATGCAATACCATCTTCTCATTACCCTCTACTTCGTTTGCATGCTATTCTCAGGATGGGCGTAGTGCGTGACTACCAAAAAATAACAAAAAAGGCTGTCGTGCTCGTGGGTGTAGGTGGAGTGGGTTCTGTGGCAGCTGAAATGCTCGTTCGCTGCGGCATTGGGAAGCTTATTCTTTTTGATTTCGACTCTGTTGAGCTGTCCAACATGAATCGACTATTCTTTACTCCGAAAGACGTCGGCCTGACCAAAGTAGAGGTACGTTGGGAAGTGGTATCTCTCCTTAAAGGATGTCAGTGGAGTGCATTGATTTTTTTGGGATCCGAAGGAGTGTGTGCTCGACTGGTCTCAAGCAATCTGCGGTTTCTCTTGTATGCTGCTAGGCTGCCAGGCGGACCCTTTCGTTCGTCAATCCGGACGTCGAATTGGAAGCACACAATGCAAACATTTGCCAGGAGTTCGACCTTTTCTTGTCGCGTATTTTGAATGGCAAGGACTCAATGCAGCAGCGACAGAGGGAAGAGCATCGGGAAGCAGAGCATGGCTGTGACGCGCACCGCGGTCTTGATTGCCCAGGCGAATGGCCTGTTGATCTCGTCTTGAGTTGCGTTGATAACTATGCCGCCCGCATCACAATTAGCCAAGCATGCAACGAGGCGGGTGAGCTCAATCATGAAATCACCGCTGTTCAGCCACTTTCCTACCTACACACACACACACACACGGCCTTGCGTCTACGTCCGAGTATGGCATTATCCAATCGGTCCTCGCTAGCAGCCCTTCGCTTTGTTGAGCCCAGTATGGTTTGGAGTACTGCAGCTGTTCTTTCAGCAGGAATGGAAATGCGACCGCAGAAGCTCGACTCCTGTGGGTACCTGCGTGTACTGCTCGCATACACGTAATGCAACGTGCATCCGCAACTCAGCTACTCTTCACTGTACGAGTGAACAATTTGTTTAGGTGTGGATGTTTACATCCATATGCATGCGTGGTTCGATGGGTTGGCGTTCTGCCCTGCTTCGTTCGCTTTTCAGGAGTTCCGTGGTTCAACAGCGGGGTCAGTGAGAACGCAACCAGCGGACAAATACAGCTGTGCCTTCCTGGAGTCCTAGCTTGTTTCCAGGTAAGTTCGAAGCCACGATAAGTCCGCTGACGCAGCTGCCCATTATGGCACGCATTGGCAGGTTTCTAAAGATCGAACGGCAAATGAGACGGGATGAATTGGGATGGTTCGAGGAATTTCCTGTTCAGTGTGCTCCGCCATACGTCGTGGCTACAAAGGAGGACGAGAATTCAATAAAGCGCGAAGGCGTGTGCGCTGCATCGTTGCCGACCACTATGGGTGTCACCGCTGGTAAACGACGATCTCTGGACTGTCCCTCCCTATCGCACACCCGCGCGCTTTGTTCCTTCATTTGCGGTCGCTGGTCCTACCTCCTATCAGTTTCAACTGCCCCGCCAAGAGCTGCACAGCAGCTGTTGCCTACTGCAACGAATTCGCAGTTGTTGCGGCTGCAGGTTTCCTGGTGCAAAATGCTCTTAAGTTCCTGCTGGGGTTCGGTCGGCCGTCGACGTTTGTGGGGTGGGAGTCGCTGCAGGACTACTTCACTTCCCTCTGCCTGCGGCCGAACGATCAGTGCGCAGACGCGTGGTGCTGCAAAAGACAGGTATGTGGAGGGAGCCGTGAAAAATCCGGTGCGCAACGCGCTTTGCAGTCAGTCGTCGTTTGGATAGAAGCCATCTAAAATGCAACCCCGGGGACGACACCAGTAGGCATTTTTGGTCAACCCTCCTGGGCCGTGCCATTTCTCTGCGGCGCAGAAAGAGGTCCAAGGGAAGGGGCTGACACTCGAAGACTACCTTCCTCGTGCGCACGAAGGGAGTGCCAAAGAGGGGCCGCTTCACGAGGACAACCCTTTCGGCATTACTCTAGTTGACGACGGAGAACAGCACGAAAGCGGGAGGGCAGGCAGTCATGCCGGTCCCGAAACGAAGCTTCCTGCTTGTGCGTCCTCTTTAGACGAGTTGGCGGCCAAGTTGAAATCGCTGCAGAGTTGAATCAACCCATCTATCCCTTTTGACCTTGCAGTACCTAACCTAAACAGCCTACTGCAGGGCGCATGTACCTCTCCAAACTAGTGCTGCAGCAGCAGCACACTTAAGACAGTTTTCCACCATACTGGAGTGCAAACTGGCACTGAAACAGAAGTGGACAGTTGGTTCGTCGTACGTTTTTGTTCGAAAGATACACACGCACCAAGGCTTCGCTTGTCACGAGATGACATTTGTAGGCAAACCCCCTACTCTCGTATGCGACAGCGCGCCCCTCCACACTTGCTGCTACAGTTGTACGGTGATGTTCGATGGTGAAGCGCTAGATGACTTGTTTTGCCAACAGCGGACCGTCAGGCAAGTTGGAGCTCCCCCGGTCTCTCCTCTACTTCCCCTTCACATCACCTCCGATACGCAGCCATGTTCACGCAGCCATGTTTCTGGCCGCGCGTCTGCGTAACTGCTTCAAAATCCCTGCCAACTCTAAGCGCAGAAAACCCTTCCCGGGCTCCTAACAATGGGGAGACGTCTTCAGTGCCTACTGTTCCTTTACTACTGCAAGGATGTCTTCTCCTCTGAAGACAAAGAGTTCTTCTTCCTCCAGCTGCACCTTTATGCCTCCGAACTCGGGAACCATCACAGTCTGCCCCACCTGCAGCTTAGACCAATCCTCGCTCACTGCGACGTTCCCCGACGGCTTTGGCGGAGCAACGGCGACGACTTTAGCCATGTGGCACCCTGTCTGCTGGGAAACGCTCGACGGAATATATATTCCCCCCTTGCTCATCGCCGCCGGCTGCACCTTCTGCACGACGCAGCGCCCGAAGATGGGCATGAGGCGAGCTGCAACTCCTGACTGAATTCAACCCCCACCGACACACACACATACGCAACAAGCCACAAAAGCATTATCCTAGCCGACACTCCTGAACGAAATCAGCGTGCACACGGACAACTTAGCAAGCAACAGCATCAGGACTCCACCGTTGCCTAAGGCGCAGTCCTTGTGCAAACCGAGAAGTCAACTGCTAGCAGAAACAACTGCACCTCGATCATGTGGGCTCCCTGAAGAACTAAGAAGTTCCCCTCTGTGTTTCTATGGGACACGCGGAAGACAGCTTCGTGATTGGTGAGTCAAACAAGAAACAGATACGCAGTTCTGACCCTGTGGGGCGGGTCCGATAAACTGTTTAGTTGCAATGAGGCACAGCTGCACATGAGAAGAAGAGCACTCCCCAAGATGACGCATGCAGCAATGGTGAGGATGCCTTCAGTTCAGTTCAAATCAGAAGCGGGAGTATTCGGGGTGTGCTGCCTCGTTGCTGGTGGAAAAGGGGGTCCGGCGGAGTGTTGCGCCTACCATTTTTGTGGGGATAAGCTTATACACGCACAATAATGCTTCTGAAGAACAGAAGTAACGCCCAGAGCTACGATTAAGTGGCAGAAGTCGACCCTACTTCACGGTGCACAGCTAGAAGACCCGAAAAGATCCTTGCCTGTCTAGGGGCTGCTGCCGCGCAGCCCTAAAAGGAGAACAGCCACAGCCGGCCCCGTACTGCGACATACAATCAAAGAAAGATGGAACATGGGATTCGGTAGAGAAAGAGTTCAGATTTTCCCTTCTTTTTGCTTCCTTGGCTCATCGTCGTTCCTCGAGTTGCGCTTTTTGGGCGTGGGGCGCTTGGGCTCTGCTACGGCTCCGGTCACCCCAACAAAACGGCCAAAAGCAGCGTTTTATCTTTCACCAACCCTTCCAACGCGGTTTCCTTCAGTTGTACAGGTTTCCTATATCTATTAAAACGGGGGGGCAGAGAAGTCTGCCGCTGGCAGGGGCGCTGTTCGCCGCGGCTTACCGCAGGTGCGCAGCTCGTATTTACTGAGCCCTCCCTTGTGCTGCGAGACAAAAATAATAAGCCCGTGGGTTTTATCCTTGTATTCCCGTTTCCAAGGCTGAACACAATCTGTAGGGCTCTCAAGTTAGCCCGAACACCCAGCGTCTGCTTCTATAGACACCGAGCCCGGCGCTGGGGCACAGGAACTGTTAGTCTGCCTCCACTGCTTTTTTTCTGGAGGAAGCTTGGTGCTTATCATCAAAATCTTCGGAGCAACCGCATCGCCGTACCCTCTCTGACCGAGAAAGCTTCCATTAGGAAGCCTATTTCGACGCTGAGGATCGTTGATCTCCTTGCTGCCCACGGGAGGCTTTTGAGGGGTAGTTTCTTTGTGGAACTGGAACTTTAGAAGAGATTCATTGACATATTTTCGAGGGCTTGCGCCGCGTCTGCTGTTGCCGGATGGAGGAGAGCGGGGAGGCCTCAGCGGAGGCTTCCGGGGACCGTGCGTCTTCAGACACAAGGCGCCGCTTGCAGCAGCAGCAGCAGCAGAAACAGGCCCAGAGAGGAAGTGCAAAGGACTTTCGTAGCCTCACGGATGAACGAGCAAGTATGTTAGCACTGTAGGCCCCTTGCTCCGATGTTTTTCAGTGGAAAAATCGCTCGACAACACGTCTTGCCTATGCAGTGTTGGCCAGCCGGCCAAACGACTGTGCGTGCTGTTTGCTCTCCCCATGCACTTTCTGCCTAGTTGCTACAGGTAGAGGAGTGACACTAAGAAAGGCTAGGACGAGTAAGTGTGTTCATGTAATTGGGGTCCCGCCGGGTCGTTTGTTTCCGTTGCTGTGCAGAGGCATTGTTGGAATACAGGGCACGGTGCACATCGGCGCGTTTCTGGATCCAAAGCGAGCTGCTAGATCTTCGCGTTGGCGGGTGGCCGCCATGCGCCGGCTGCGCCTTGGGTGACGTTTCTTCTACGAACACCAGAGCAGGCGATTCCGTTGCTCATTCAGATGGCTGCCGGAGCTCTGACCCGGGCGTGGTGGGGGACCTTCCCAACCTTATCCGACAGCACCTCACTTGCCCTTTACTTTCGCGTTTGCTGCAGCAAGATCCCATCCTTAGTGGCAAGTTAGCCACCCTCGATCGCGTGTTGTGGCAGCGTCGTTCGAAGCACGAGACGCAGACGCCTGGCTGGATGAGTCACGAGCCTCTGTGCCCTGATTGTTGCTCATTTGGAGCTCCCCAAGCGGCTGCAGATCTCCTCAGTACAGCTGCCGCCCCTGCAGGGACAAACAACCACGACTCCTCCCGCACGAGCACAATGGACTCGGTTGTCGGGGGAGAAGGAGCGACTGCTGAGGGTGTGCGTCCGTCGAGGACCATTGAAGATGAAAGCCGGCCTGTCACTGCCTGGGTATCTTGCAAGCAATGTATGGAGCACTTCGCTTACATCGTTGCCTCCTTACTGGTATTCCTCAAGCCTTCAGAGCTCCGGGATTTGGCGGTGGAGCGGCAAGAGTCGCAGTGCTGTGGCTTTGTGTTCTGCGGCAGGCGGAACATCTCGACTCCTGAAAAGTGGGACTGCTTTTCGACAAGCATTAATCACTGAGTAGACTGTTGTGCTCACGGTTACAAAGAAATTTGTGTCTAAGTGTTGCGGCGCGATCTTCACGATTTCCAGTGCCACTTTTGGTGTGTGTACTTCAGGCGGCGCGCAGCGTTGTGGCGGTGGACACTAGACTTTGGAGGGAGCAAGGCCCTTTCGGAGGATGAGCTGGTGCAGTTCTGCTGCAGTCGCTGCTGCAACCGCCAGCAGCAGCTGTTGCGTCTTTTGGACGAGGAGCCCATGTACACTCGGCCGGGAATAAAGGAGTGGATTAGTGATGCTCTGCAGCGGAAGGCCGCCTACCGTCCTCACCCGCACGGCTTGCCTGAGGAAGGCCGGGCTAAGCCAACGGGGGAAACTGACCTGCAGGGGCAGCAACAGCAGCAGCTAGGAGGGGCAAGAAGTTCTGATCTCGATATTCCACGCGCTATGGGCCTGCGACCAGCTGTAGATATGGACGAGTTGCTGGGGGACGATGCGGGGAGGCTGATGGAACCTGTGCTGGAGAAACGGCCTTCCTGTGTCTCCTTCTCCACGGAGTCTTCTAGTGCAGAGCTTACCAAGCTGGACGGCAGTCTAGAGTCCGAGGGCTTTAGAGTTCCTCTGACGGTAGACGACGAGAGCAGTGCAGATGAGGCGCCAACGAAAGCTAGTAACAACGGGGACAGCCGTGGATCATGCACAGGTGGGGAGGGGCTCGCAGTGGGGGGTCATGCTGCTGCTGCCACGTTGGGAACACAGGGTGGGGCAGCTGCGACGAATAACACCCTCTTGTTGGAGTACAGCTCCCCATCAATCGCTAATCAAGGGCCCAAGGCCTCCAGTCCTGCCAGCCACACAGGGGACTTCGAGCATTTCGTTGGGACCTGTGTATGCGGGTCCACAAAGGAAGTGCCTCCGACTAGTCCAAAGATTGAAAGGGCCTTAACATCCTCTCCGCCAGGAGGCGCGAGCGTGGGCCTAAGTAGGACGGATGGGACCGCAGCGGCTGAACGGCACGTGGAGCAGCGGGGGGAACCCAGCTCTGCCAACGCTGGGGAAGAGAATTCGCATACCGAGGCCCCGCTGAAGTCTCGTGGGTCCCGCGTTCGGTTTGCAGATGACGACGAGGAAGAAGGGCTAGACGGAGATGGTGATGGGGAGTCGGCGGCTTCTGTCTTCAAGCACTTCTTCAACCTACATGACGAAGATGACGGGCCGGGGTTTTATGCTCGCTTAGACCGGCAGGCAGCAGCAGGTAGTTCACATGCCGCAGGCAGTCAGACGCGAAACGGTACTGGAGAACTCAGAAGTATCCTCAAGCCCCCCACTGAGCCTGTGGAGCCATCCCCTCCCCCTGCTAGCTCCAGTACTGAAGCTCAGATGGGTTACATGCGGCTGTCCGACGTAGTAATTGCATTCGACCTTTTGTCTTCCTGTTGCACCGACGCGTCGGCGAGATTCCTTGCTAACTACCACCGTCGGTTCTGCACGTGCTCCTGTGAGGGTGCTGCTCCAGCATCGGGAGATACGAATGCCCAGAATTCCGACGGCGATGAGTCCCCTAAGCTTGAGACGGCCTCGGATGAGGGCGAGACGAGGAATTTCCACTTGCGCAAAGCGGGGGAAGGGGACGAGTCAGATAACGTCTCGTGCGTGGACGGGGAGTCAGGGGATGATATTGAGCCGACGGAGTTGTGGAAGAGAAGACAACAGCAGCTGCTCAAGGCCATCTTGAGGAGCCTGCCACCCGCCGCCGATAATTTTACGGCGAGCATCACGGAGCTATGCGAAACTCTTCAACCGCTTCAGGTCCACATTTGCCCAGCCTTTTTCCGCTTGTGTCTGTGCAACTTGACAAGTAGATATGCTCATATTTGATGTATTTCTTCACACAGGCTGTGCAGATATAGAAGGGATATCGGCTGCGCTACCATCAGCTTGTTTGTATTTGCTTTTGCTCGTTTGCGTTGCAGCCTCTCCCCACCCTGCGCTGCTCTCTCTGTAGCTGTCTTGCGGCGGTGATCCTGCTGTTGTTGTTGCTGCTTCGCGCTCGCCCGTTGACTTGCTGCTGCTGCTGCGAACGTTGCCGTCCTTGGAGCAATAGCCATACTCGTCATTCTTGTTGTCAGAGACGCCCTCCGCCCTGCTCTATCGAGGGCAGAGCTGAGGGATTCGAAGCTTCGGATGCAGCAGCGTCGTTTTATTTCGATGACGCTCTGACAATTGCCAGGGAAGAAGACGTAGGACTGGAGTTGGTAGACTTTGTTCGGTCTACTATTCACAAGTCTGCCCCTTGCCCTGGTCCAGTGCGTCCCGTCGACACGCCCATAGCAGGGGAGGCAGCGGAGGCACCGATGCAGCAGTATGAAGAGAAAGCTATGCATATGCTGCTAGAGTCAATCTTCTCTCGTATGACACAGCCGATCATGCAATTACAGGAACCACCTCGTCCGTCTGTCCCGACAGCCCCATAGAACGTTCTTGGACTTTCCTTTCCCAAGGACCTATGATTGTGTTATTTTAGATGAGGTACGACGATACAACCCTAGGCACATCATAGAAATGACAGTTTGGGAATGTAAAGCGCGACGCGGAGTAAGTAGGCTCCTCATGTTAGACACTAGCAGATGGCGGCCAAAGGCATCCTGGGACACCGGGTTCCAGGCGATTGCTCCAAACTAGCTTAGCTCGAGCCGGCAGTTCATATCCGTTCTGCTCAACTTTGCAAGGTCTGCATTCTGCTTAGCCGTATGGCTGTGGGAGTACTAAAGGATGCGTGGGGAGCTACGCTTCCAGCGACAATATTGGCCGACTGGGAGGGTTGGGGTCTATTACTTTCTTGTACAGTGCCACAGGCAATATTAGTGTTCAACTAAGGCCACAAGCAGTATTATTGTTTAACGAAGGCCACAGGAAAGCGTGTGCAGCTGTAAAAGGTCCTGCCTTTTTTAACGACGCTACGGTGTTCGCGTTGCTGAGTCAGCATTTGGCTTGGGGGAGTCTTGATTGAACCAGCCGGCGTGGTTGCTTGTGCCTGTACTGGTAGAACTTGAGGTGAAGAGTACGCAGTAACTATATTTGAGGTACGAAACTTTTTTCATGCTGGATCGGTCGCACTCGGGCTGGCGGTGTCCTGACATAGCAGGGATGAGGAAAGGCGGAGACCGGCATGCTCTGTCGTTTGAGAGAAAAGCAGTTAGTTACATATGACAGCTTGGAAATAATAGTTTACATTTTGTACTCTAACTGATGGTAGATAACCTTCGTGCAATTGGCCCCCACATGTATTTCACTAGGTGACCCGCAGGCCGGAGAGGGGGGGAGCCGGGGAGGGGGCTTGGCTAAACAGCCATGAGAGGATTATATGATTGAGTGTCATTCCACGTCTTCTGTAGCTGTAATTCAAGTTATAAGAAATGCATGATATGCATACTTTTGCCAAGCAGCGCGAACACGTAAAGAGCATGGGGCCGCAGTCATACATCTGGGGTGGCGAGCACCGCTGACGCGCGGGATTCTTGTGTTAGCAGTCGGCTGCCTAGCCTGCCATCTCTTGACAGTAATAAACACTTATTGTTTATTGTTTCCAGTGGGCAGGCATCGATGACAAAGGTGGGATATCTCGACTCTGTGAGTGCCACCCAGCGCATCCAACACTGTACATGCTGAGCTACGTGGAATGAAGGCTTCAACAGTGCGATTTCTGTACTCTTTTTGCGTTCACAGATTAGGTAAGTGTGCGCTTTTGCTTATTTCTTGGTGTTGCCAGCAAAATAGTGCCGATGTGCCTGACGCCAACTCGCCGCACACTTGGGAGTTGCTTGCGCATCAACGTGCTTTGAATGCACAGCCCGAAGCTCATCAGGACTCCGTTGAAACTGTTCCCTTCCGCTTAAAAACTGCGCGTTCTGGTCGTTGGAACGATTGAAAATCGCGCTCACAATGGGGAAGGCCTCTAATCGCCTAGCCGTGGAGCGCCGCCTAGAGCGCATGCGGGCAGAGGAACAGCATAACAAGGCCTTAGCAGAAATCGAGGCTGCACGGATTCAAATGATCAACCTTGCACGTAGCGATGCAAGGGTAGAGGCTCTTAGGCTTCAAAATGCGGCCAAAGCTGATGTCGAAGAGCTTTCTCGGGACTTAGAATTTACTTTTGAGGAACAGCGAAGACAGCAGAGTATTAAGGAAAAACAGTTGCACCAGAGAGTCACTGACACTTTAGACCGCAAGCTGCAACAGGAAGAAGCAGCCGCCCTTGAGAGGCAGAAAGTCTGCCAGGAGAGTGAGGAGATCCGCAAGCTAAAAGAGCAGCTGGCAACTGCCAGAGTCAGTCGGGAAAGAACTGCTCAGCTCCTTGAACGACAACTTAGAGAGTAAGCCAATAAACAACCTAAGAATATGTCGCTCTTAGCCTTTCGTAGAGAGCTTCGACAAACTGCATACACTGCTCCCCCTCAAATTCCAGCGAGCGGCGGTGCATCTAGAGGGTAGGCGTGTGCAGCTTGCTACAGTTTGAAAAAGAGCGTTTTGCGTGGACAACTCTGATGTGAGGTTGAGCTCCAGTATTAATGCCTAAAAGCAGGATGTAGGAGCTCATAGGTTTCAACGGGCCCCCGCACCAGCCATGTTATCGATAGGCAGGTTGTTCCTTGTGCAGTGGTTTCGCATCAGCTTGCATTTTTCCTTCTGGTATTTCCTACTCTCCTTGCGTTCATATCTTTCAGATTACCTCTACGGGAGGGTGAAGTACCACCTTCGCTATAATAATAATCATTATTCTTATAATAAATAATAATAATTAATAATAATACTAATAATAATTATTACTATTCTTATGAATAAGTGGTCCTTTTGTTTGTTGAACAAGCCACAAGGTTCACGAGAGGGTGGATGCGCACTCGCCATTCCACAGAATTGGCACCCAAGGTCCGCAAATAAGTCTTCTTTTAGTAATTCTGCACTTTGGGCAGGTTTGCGCTGCAGGGCCGACGCCGCCCTCGAGGACGCGCGACTTGAACTTGCTATGGAAGAAAAACGATTGGCAGAGTGCGAGAATGCGCGCCGCCAGGAACTTGACCGCAATTTGCAAATGCGTCAAGTTGGGCTGGAACTCGCAGCGCAGATAGAAGACAGACAGCGTGTAAAACAGGAGGAAAGAGCCGAGAAGTATGCAATTGAAAAGGAACAGGTAAATGCGGTTGAAAATTTCCGTTCAGGCATCTGAGCTTCTCCCTTCGAAGCATGTCCGTTTGACAGATTGTAGGCAGTCACAAACGAAGGACCTCCCCCTAAAATCGTGGAGCCTAGGCCTCTTTCAAACATCACAGCTTGGGTGTAAACGCCCAGGTGGGAGCAGTCGTTGCAAGGCTGCTTGAAGAAATGGAGAATGAAAAAAGGCAGTCGATGGAACGCCGGCGACTTCATGCAGAAATGGTCGCGGAAGCAACCAAAGAAAGAGCACGGCAGAAGCAGCGCTTACATGAAAATAAGACCAAGGAAGAAAATGAAATCAGGGTGAGGGCAATGTATCACTCAATGGAAGAAACCAGTACACGCGTGGGCTGTTCTTAGCACATTTGAAGGTAAAGGTCTGCGCCGCATCTGTTGCGCTGGGAATGCCCAAAAATTCAGGAATACCTCGAGATGCAAAGAAAGCGAGCTGAAGACTTGGAGAGAGAGAAAGAATTAATACGTAAGGAAAAGGCGAGAATACTAGATGAACTCCTGCAAAAGCAAATACGGAAGCAGCAAGAGGAGACAGACTATGCCCAATTGATAGCAAATCTGTACGAATTCGAGCGCGAGGAACAGGAACGGCAAAAGGAAGAAGCTCAGAAAAAAAAACGGTAGGCTGCAGCGATTTTTGCTGCGTGGTAGAGCCCCCACCAAAATATATGTATAGGCAGCCTCTGGGGACTCAAAATTTGGACTAAACATAATGCTGCAGATAGAAGTTCCGAAGAAGCCTGTGATGGCGCCACAGGACCGTGTGTGCCGTGTTCGCCAATGCAACAGACAACAAGAAAGGGATGCCCTCTCAACCGCATTCAAGGAGCAGATGGAAGAGAAAGAAAGGAGGCGGAGAGAGCAACTAGCTGAGGAGGGCCAGTTCCGGCAAGAGCTATACGCAAAGTTCGCCAGAGAAGCAAAGCTTGAACAGATGACTCTGCAGAGGCGCAAACTCGCACTCTTGGAACATAACAGACAGGTATCTACGGGTTCTAGCAAAGGCAGCCAGTCGTATGCCTAAGTTGCAGTCGGGAAACTGTTCCTGCCTGCATGCTGACGAATCTGGAGAGCTCTTCGGATTCCCAGTGCGGGTTTTTAGGTAGAAGCGCTTATACAAGAACGCCGGCGTCAGCTGACAGAAGAACGTAAACGAGACAAAGAAGAACTCCGCAGGCTCTTCGAAATAGAGGCAGAGAAACAAGCAATTATCCAGCAAGAGAGAGAAAGGCTCCTGCGCGAAAACGCAGAGCTCGCCGATTTCTTGCCAAAAAATACGCTTCATGACAGGCGAGAACACAGCATTGTTAGAAGCGCGAAGGAAAAGCTTGGCAGCATTCATCTGGATTCAATGACGCCATTTCCCAGAACTCTTCGTACGCTTCCAGCAGCGGAGTCCACTGACATCCATAGTTAGTGGCTAGCTTCACCAAGAATTCACTTGAACGTGGAAAACAAAGTGATTGGTACACTTTGTCAATGGGCTACGAACGGTGGTTCGCTACACATCTCCTTGCAGCCCGTTTACCAGGAACAATTTTCTAAATTGCCCAATTCTGCTGATGGAAGGCGTACTAAGTGTTCTCCTAGGGAAAGATTTGGGCGGAGGCATTTACGAGAGGTGCCTACCTGCTTACTTATGTTGGGTGCAACATGTCCAAATATCTGTATTTATTCCTTTGGATTCTACCACTGCCTGCTTACTATCTGTAGCCCGCTGTTGACAATAGTGCATCTTCTCGCACCAGCTACCATGTTCCTTTAATCTGAAATTCAAAGTGTTCTCACTACTGATACCAACGGGCATTCCTGAGCTGTGCTGGTAGAAGCAGGAAGTTAAAATTTCAAAGAACAGATCTTGCACAAAGTTGACAAAAGTTAATTTGATCAACGCAGCTGAACTTAACATTTCCTGGCTTCAGCACCTCGTGGCAACCTATCTTCGAGAAGTTCAATGTAAAAATGGAACCCGCGTCGAAGTGGGTCTTTCGTCGAGGCACCCAGTGCATCGAATGCGCTCAGTCTAAACAAATAAGTCAAAAGTGACTAACAGACCTCCTTCCACTAGCAATATCAATGGCCAGCTAGCTAATCCACTTTTGTACCTGGCTCATGAACCCACCATTGAACCCGGCCCAACCCGATGATGGCGCGGGCGGGCTGCTTGAATCCCCTGCAGCAGCTAGTTCGGCATTCTGACTTTCGTCAGGCTGCCGCTTGTTATCCAACTTGTCCTTTCCGCTAGACCCACGGTGCGTCTTTTGGCGATGGTGAGAAGGATACCGCGACACTTCCACATCCGGATGAGTTGCACTGCTTGACGCACGGCGATATGTGATAGATGCTGCTCCACTGCCTTCCTGCCGCTCTGCTGAAATGGCCTCCGTGGGCCCATATCCAGCGCTACCTGACCCAACTGTGCACGAATGCATCTTCCCCCTCTGCCTTGCGGGATTTGCTTCCGACAAAGTCGAGTGAGGCTGTCTGCTCATTAAAGAGTTAACTGTGCGTCGTGGGCCATAGAGCAACGATTCGCGCCTTGTGCTTACGCCTGAAGAGCGCGCGCTTCGAACGCCTGACTCGTTCTTCGGATGTCCCGGAGCAGGCAAAACTGGACTTTCAGTGCACCGACTGTGTCTGGAACGTTTTGTGCTGCCGGCGTGCGAGCCGCGCGAATCCGTCTGTCGATGACTCGGAATACTCCGTGGAGAAGTCGCCCCCAGGAAATCCGTCGGCGGTGGTGAGCACTGGTTGGGGTTTATTGGCTGCTGCAATAGTCTGGAAGTATGGCCAATTGAAGAGCTTTGGACAGGGAATGCGAGGGAGGACGTGGAGGTAATTGACCTTGTCGATGCCAGCGGCGCGGGCAGCTGGGAATCCCTAGAAGGAAATGCACCCTGCTGACCCCTTGAGATTCCAGACAGGCTGGGGGCTTTCACACTAATGCTACTGCTGCCTAGGAATCGAGCGCTGTCTATGCGCGCCTGCTGTATTGGAATCACTCTTTCAGCCCGCGAAACAGGATGGTTTGCCGATAGTTGGGGCCTACCCGAGCCCAATCCACTCTCCCGAGGTCCAGGTTCCTGGTCTGAGAGGTGGCGAGAACTTCCGGAGCGGTAGCGGAACTCTCCACAAAGCAGCTTCTCCTTAGAAGCTGCCTGACAGCCTCTTGACGGCGTACCTTTCCCGCTACAAAAGTTCGCTGGGGGATCCGCATGCGGTCGTGAACTACTTGAAGTACTACAACAAGCTGCACGCTCCCCCACGCCAGCGGCGTGATTCCTCGACGCTTTGGGGCTCCACAAAGAACCTGTAGAGCTGTTAATGCGCTGTACTACACACGAAGAAAAAAGAGGATCCGCCTGGCCAGAGTTAAGTGAGATGTGCTGGGGAGTAATGGAAACACACTCTGACTGCTGAGGACGCACCAGGTTATGCCTGGCCAGAACGCCTTCCCTACCGTGAGCACCTAAAGACTGAGATAACAAGCGATCGCCCCCAGCAGAGTAAATTTGTCGCTCAACTGGCCCTTCACTAGCAAGGTAATGCCCACGCTGGGAAGGCCTGGACGAGCACACTGCAGGTGTGGCAGACTGGCTAATGAATGAGCTGCTGGTTGTTGTGGGTGCCTCCTCAAATGAACAGCCATGGACCGGCAAGCTGCACTGGCTCCCCATGAGACTGCTGCTAGCACAACTGGATGCGCCATCAGAGTCACTGTGTCGATCATGCGGTTCGCATATGTATCCTGCAGCTTCCGCCAGCGGTTGCCCTCGAGCCTCAGCACCTGCTGTGTGAAGATCCATTCGTCCAGCAGATCCCAGTGGCTCCGTCTCAGCACGGTGCCACGGCATGCAATTCACAGTGTCATCGTCGAGCTTCCCGCTTGACAGCAACTGATTAACACGCTTTGCATTTACGCTAGAAAAATCCTCAGATCCCGTTGTAAACGCATGTACATCCGAAAGTCTCGGGATGGTGTCTTGCTGGGAATGTTGGTGCACCGTCTGTTCATGGCCAATGTTTTCAAATGAGTTGCATCCTCCAGACGTCACGCGCTGGTAGTCTGCCCTCAGTGTGTGGCTAGTTCGAAGGTCTGTGTCTTGGCGGTGCGCGTATGAGACACGAAGGGCATTCAGACCCACAGCACACGAACTGGCTGCTTCTATGTTTGTTCGTCGGGGGGAGCGTCTTAGCTCCTCCAACTTCTTCTGTAACTGCACCTCCAGCTCTTCGTGAAGTTTGCGTTGAGCTTCTTGGAAATCATGTTCTCTTTGCTCTTGACGCCTTTGCAGTTCCTCCAGTTTTGCTTGGAGTGTATGAATCAACTTCTTCTGCTCTTGCTCTCCAGATTCTCGCTGCTCTTCCTTTGCCTTCTGAAGATGTTCAAGTTGTTCCTGCAGCATGTCGATTCTTCGCTGCTGAGCCCTCTGCAGATCTTCGTGGTGTTCCTGCTGACGCTGTATCATCTGCTGTTGCTGCTGGAGAGACGCGTCAACCACTCCCGCCGCGGCAGCTAACAGAGCTGCTGCAGAAGCCGTTTGCTCATCTTGTAGCCTGATGCATTCCTCCTTTAGTTCATGTTGCAGGCTCTGGGGAGACTTCAGCTGGTCGTTCGATCCTCGTTCTTCGCTAGTGGTGCCCTTGCGTAATCCCACTCTATCGCGCATCCCTGGGCTCTCCTGAGGGGTCGCCTGATCTGCCACTAATGGTACTTGCTGCCTCAAGGTCTGAACTTGGCTTTCAAATTCAGTACCTTGAAATGCTCTCGAACAGTCGTGCAACTTCTGCTGTTGCCCCGAAGTTTCTGTGTTACTGGATTCATGCGGCGTCTTCGGCTCATGCGCCTGCTGGTTGGTAGACGTTCCGTGGGAAGACGACGCCTTGCGGGAAGGTGGCTCGGAACTGCTGCTGCGGCTGCGTGATGCCCGTTGGATATTTGCATTCCCTCTGCTTCGGCAGGTTTCCAAAGCTGCGAAGGAGCTTTTTGAGACTCCAGACCGTTTTCGAAGCGAAGAAGTGGGGCTTCCAGACTCCGGCGCAACTTCCTTTTCAATTTCAGCTCCAGAAACTCTCTTCGGAACGGAGTCTATTGCCCTAGAGGCTTTCCGGGAAACCTCGGGAGAGGGATTGGAATCTTGCAGATGGTGTTCCTTCCCGCCTGGGTGCGCGGCACTGCCTGAGGTTGTGAGTGAGGGCTGCCTCTCCTGCTGCTCGGCTACATCACGCGCTTGAATGTTTTCTGCGGTTTCCGTTATTCCCATGGAAACAGTACGTCGTGCTCTTGAACGCCCTGCTTTCGGCGAAGAACTCGGCTTCCTCTGAGCTGACCATTGATCTTCCCCTGTCAAAAGGGACTCGTCTGATGCAGGCTCGCCCCTAAGAGCAGTCACGTCCGCTACCTCAACAGATCCCGAGGTCCGCCTTGTAGTAATATGGTCAGGTGACTCTTCCTCAGGGCGCTCAACGTGATGCACACTTGCTTGACTGACGCGCCGTAGAGACCGAAACTCATTAGCATCCTTTGTTGAGATTGCAGCAGTTGCTGCGGCAGACAACCTGTTGGGCTGCCTATGCTTGGTCTTGGAACTATCTTCCCCGCCACCATCGCGGGTATCCCTCATGGCGTCGTTCCCGATATCCGTCGATGCCACCGCGCGACGTGGTGTATTTCCAGGCAGTGCAGCGCACGCTCCAAGCATGCTGAACATCCCGCTCAATGTGCTTGGGTCCAGAGCTCTAGAAGTCAACTCTACCTTTGAACTCTGGGATCGTTCTTCAATCCTCCGACTGGCAGACGCAGTGGGAGACCTTTTCGCTTCGCCTAGGGCGGTCAACATCAGAAACTTTCCGTCCGAGGTAGTGGAAGCTAACGAATCGCTCAGGATACTCTTTTCACCAGAAGAGCTGATCCCACGGCCTCCCGAAGGAGACCCTGCTACCGGGGATGGCAAAATCGCGGAAGTGTCAATCCTGCCATCCTTCTGTTCATTAGAAGCGTTGCTCTCTGTCGCCCGCGACCTGCATCTCCTTCCTGCAAGTGACAGTTCGACTCCACTAGAGCTTACCGAATGCCCAAAGGACATTTTGGTAGAGCCGCCACTTGGTGGAAGCTCCGATGTACTTGAGCTTTTGACTGTTACACCAGACGAAAGATGGAGCAGAGACGACTCGCCCTTCGAGCTGATCTGTCTGGCCCGATCAGCAGAATGGACTCTCTGTGCTGCACTCGAAGTGCGCGAAAGATGCCTTTTCACTGCAAATCTGAGGATACATAACATTCAAACCTCGAAAGGCTATCCTCCATTTACTCTCTTCGTCGTTGTCAATGGGCGCCTCAAGCAAAGAGGTGATTCGAGTACGTGAAACGGTTACTGCACCTACCTTTCTTGGTTTTCTGCCGCAACTGAGTCCTCAGACTTCAGCAGCTCGAGAGGATCTAAAAGCATGAACAGCACATGAAGCTGATGCACTCTGGAGGTGCTGCTCGAGTCCCGGGAAGTCACACCAGTCCACAAAACAAGGCAGTTAGCCTCCCCCGCAGATGTCCATCTACTGCAATGACAGGCATTTCTAAACCAGGGGAAGCAGGATGCCGTACCAAAAATGTCTTCGGCCTCTGGGAGACTTGCAGAAGTTGGTTCTTTGGAGACAGCATCTATCGTTGACGGCTCAGAGCGCAGCGAGGCAAAAGACCCTGCATTTCCCTGCACCACTCCATAAGAGAAAGTGGACCCCTATACAGAATTGCAGTTTGATTTTGCATGAGCACAGCTGAGGGCAGCTGCTTCGCCGTGGGCAGTACTGTCAGCTTACCGAACTTCCGGTGCATGCTTGGCGTGGAGGTAGCGAGCCAGAACACTCGGCGAAACCAACTTCGCTAGAGGCAGCCTCTTGCCTTTTCACTGTCGCAATTTGTTCCCCGATGCTAAGCTGTTTGGAGAGAGGTGCTTCGATGCTCTCCTCGCTCGCGGCACTTCTAGCTCCACCGCCTGATCCCTCGCAGGCAACCCTCGATTTGTCACAATGCGAAGAAGTGTCGGGTTCTCCAGATGAAGCTCTTTGTGTTGCCCTGCTTTTTCTTTTCCCGAGCTCAGTGCCAGATACCTCGCTGCCATTATTGGGGACGGAAGCAGACCTGGACAGCTCCAGCTCATCCCCAAGGGTTGGAAGCGCCATTAAAGGCCTGCTGCACGGCTCGTCAGTCCGCTTTTTGTGTAGAGGTCGAGCAGAAGAGTCACCTGAGGCTGCGGATACATCATAGCGTGGATGGATCCCTCGACGCTGCTCTCGTCTCCTGAATCCACAGAATCAGGAGAAAACCTCTCGGGCACCCATAATTCCTTGAAATTGCACACAGGTCACTGGCTGCACGCCTGAGCAGGGACCTACATCTCGTCAATGAAAGTCTCCAAATCCTTTATATGCGCCAGAGCAGCTTTCATCCCTGCCTTCAGCTTCACTATCTCAGACTCTCGTCCCGTCGTCATTGCAGAAGCGGTAAAACCACGTTTGTCTACCTCAGTTTCCTTTGACTCCTGAAGAACTTGCATCAAAGAATTTCGCACGCCGCGAACCTGATGCAGCAGGCGAGCTTGCTGCTTGTTCTTCACCTCCAGAATTGTGACCTGTTGGGCGACACAACCGAACAAGAATGCACTACTGATATAGATTCGGTCGGCACTGCATATGCACTGCATGAGATGTAAACTCTCCATTGAATCCAGTGTGCTGCGTTTGGCACTGACAGGAACGAACGGACAGCAACTGCTGCGTGCCCACCTGCTGAACCTTTTCCTCTAGCTGCCCCTGCAGCTGCAGTATAAGACCCTCGTTCTCTTCAGCCTCAGCCTCCTGCCTCTGCTTGTCTTCCTCCAACTCCAATATCCGCTGCCTTAGACTAGTCGCACTGAGATGTGCATCGCCTTGCAACTGTTGGCGAGCAGCTTCTGCAGCCCTGACTCTGTCTTCGGCGGAACGAAACTTTTCCTCCAGCATCTCTTTTTCTCCTGCAGCAAGGCGATCCACAGAATAGTGAATCATCCAAGGGGATGTACATATATTTATTAGATATGAGTGTGTAGCGTAAAAGGCGCCTGGCAGAAGGCGGAGAAAGGCTCACGAATCAACGTTTCCATTCTTCGTCGGTGGTCTTCGCTCAACTCAGCCTTTTCTTTGTGCGCAGCTTCCAAGAGGCGGTTGAAATCATCATTCTGCACAAAATTAGATGGTAGAAGGCACACGAAGCAAGTAATGATAAGGAGAATATGCGGACAGCTCTTGCCTTATACCATCGATCGGCCTCGGAACAAAGGCCATTCTTACTTGTGATGAGATCTTCTCAAGGAGCGCATCTTTCTGGTGAGTCACACCCCTGAGATCCTCCTCTTTATCTGCCCCACAGCAAGCACGAAACGAGCACTCACGATTTATACATATCACAGAGCCACGCGAACACTGCATCGCCAATCCAAGCCGCAAGCGGCCTAGGCTTGCCTACCCCGCAGTAGTCCTTGAAGACGCTCGCGTTCCAGCCGCTCGGAAGCCAAGGCTGCCTCCAGTTTGTCAACTTTGTCGCGTTCGTACAACTGTTGTTCCTGCTGCAGCTGTAACTGATTGTTCTGGTGCTCAACACTCGTCAGACGTTCGACCAGCTGCTGTTTTTCCGTCCTCATCCTTCTCAGCGATAAAACGGCGTCGTTTACCTCCTGAAACAATGTGCCAAACGTCTACGCTCGCGTTCAGAGTAAGTCGTGTTCAGCACTGGAAAAAACTGACGGGGCAGAGTGAAGGAAAAACTCGACGATACCCTGGAGATAAACAACCTCCCGTGCTGAAGACTATGTGCAGCGTCTACTGCAAAAGCATGCAAGACACACCAAACAATCTTGCCCTTTTCTATATATACCTTGGGTTCAGTGTGACTTACTTCATTTCTTTTGTCACGCTCAACAAATATTCGGTCCACGCAGTCGACTGCTGTGGCATTCAAGTGACGGAGTTGTTGCATGTCCTTCTTGGACAAGACCCCACGCTCAACAACTTCCCCGGCAAAGATCAGCAAATGCCGCAGCTGCGAAACTGCACACGGAGACATTATCGCCCAAGCCATCAACTGTTTGGTAACTTAACTACCCCTATTCGTGGGTGCCACAGAGAAACACGTACTGGAGACACGGGAAACTGATTCAATAGCCGCACGACTGCACTGGGAAGCTTACATGGATCGTCAGGATCCACGCCTTTTAAAATGTGCGACACATCAGCGACTTGTGACTCAGAGCCCTCTTGAAACGTCTTTCCCTCCAAGCCTCGTTTATGTCCACCTGCAGTGGAACTGGCTACACTGGAGGTGTTTCCGCTCGCATCATGATCTTCCAGATGCCCCCCTGGATGTTCCAGCTCCCATCCCTTCTGCCACCGCTCATGGATCATTGTGGGCTCGCCACTGTTAACAGGAATTTCACTAGTCTGACTGCGAAGACCAAAGACATGGCTGTGCAGTTCCAGGCCTCTTTGATTGTCGTGAGCGGTCCCCGCAGTAGTGTCAGCAACGGTACGCCCAGCTAGCACCCCGCTTGTATCAGAGACACCGCTCCCGACCCCAGATGTATCAGCCCGCTCAGGTTCTCCGCATTCAACCGACTGTCCAACATTATGTTGAACCGCTTCCGACAGTCTCATCGCTGGGGATTCTTGCCTAAGATAACTCTTCAGAAATCCAAAAACCATCATGGAAAGCTCGGTAATTGAAAGGACAGACGTTGCATCTAGTAGTGCCGTTTCTCTGTACACCTCGTCCCAAAATGGGTTTGAAGAGCACTTTTCGCCTCCTTGGTAGGGTCCACCGTCGCACCGGTTGCCTGCCGCATGACCCTTGCTTTGCCTAGATGTAACTGACTTGTTTGTCTGGCCGATTACGCGGAGAACCTCGTCTCTGGAGAGCAACACGCTGTTAGTGGGTCCTTGGTGCTTGCTCATGGCTTCGGCAAGCAGACCGTCCCTACGAACATGCAGGTAAGCGTTGATCATCATGCTACAGTCGGCTGCGGTAATGACAGCAGTATGGCTGCGAACTCCCCCAACCTAATACACGTTGACGCCTTGCGCGATCGTGGAACAATATACTCAGCTGCCGATATTTCCCACCTGAAGACTTGCAAACCGTAAACCTTGTCATCTACATGCGCGGAGGGCTCTCGGATCCCCAGCAGTTCGAGGAGATTCTCCATCCCTGAGTAGAAAGCCAACCCGTCGTCACAATCAGCAGGGTGCATACTACAAGCACAGACACTCAGAATTAGGCGTTTTACTCAGTGCTATAAGATGCTGACCTGACCAGAAGCTGAGAAAATTAATTTCTCCATTGTTATCTGCTTCAAAACACCTCCTGATTAGGTCTTCAATTTCTTCCTTGTCCATGGGCGCCGCCTGAACACAAAGCGAAAGTAGACATACCTAACCCTAATTCACCCATAATCGTTCCGCAGACTGCCAGTAAATATGGAAGCTCGTGTACCTAGCAGCCGAAAGCAATGCGACAGAGGATGTTACCATCAGGAGGTGCTGCGTCAGCAGCTGCTGCTCCGCTTCTAGGCGCACAAGAGGCCAACCGCTTCCGCGGCAGCTGACGAATAGCTCCAGCACTGCGTGTATTTCGTCCATTTTCTTTGATAGGTCTGCGCGTGCTGGAGCATGCTATTAGAGTGAGTTGTTGTTCATGGCATCCAGCGAACTAACGAAGATGTGAATTTAGAGAAAAGAAGGCGAGGTAATTGCAACGGTCTTCGCTCTGCCGCCCCGAAAAAGTGGATCGTACCACTCAATTCGTCGAGCCCCCTTCGTAGGAGTTAAGATCGCGGCTGGCGGTGCAGGAGTTGTCCTCCAGGCAGAAACAGCTGACGCCCGCCGTCCATCAGGTCGACTCCGTTAGCTGCAGCTTAACGAGATCATGCAGTTATGGCTGAGCTGACACTCCTGTAAGCAGATGAAGACATAGGTTGCATGTGACGCGATGTCTCAAGACGGCACTGGGACAGCTAGGTTGAATGCGATGCAAACTTTGGCCTCGAGTTCTAGAAACATTAGGTCAGAGAGCTAACATGAGAAGAGTCAATCAAGGGTATAAGGAAATGCCGAGGATGGCGGTTGCTTGAGACATTGAAGGACTGCAAGGGGCCCCAGCATTGAGACCGCTGCCACGCGGGGAGACACACAGCAATCATATCAAGGACAGTACTCGTTGTACAGTGTTCCGACACTCGTAAAGCTGAAACATTAATAGAGTATGGGAGCCCTACACTGTGTGTCTCACCTGAAACACTGCAGTAGGTGTGCTACTCTAGTGCTGCTCTGCGGCGGCCCAGTAGCGACCTGCAGCATCTCGGGCCCTCCGCAAGGCAAACTACGGCAAAAATTTTCTCCTCTTCTCCTCCAAACAGTAACTTTAAACTATTTTCTGGCAGTGTATATCATGGTTATGTTTTTGGCAAGAGGCCTACAGACATCCGCAGAAACATGCGTCTGCTTTGTCAAGGGGGCCCTCGTCCCATGGTCGGCCATCGGGTATCCTATGCACTGCTTTTCCTTCCCGAGCCCAACTCACTGAGTGGAACAATTACTAAGGGTTTAATTATCCATAGTTTAATATACTGAGCCGCATATGCGGCGAGTTGACGAAAAGCCCTCTTTTGTAACTTGGGGGTGCAGCTAGACCACTGCGGTTCCTGCAGACAGTCCGCTTGCGCTGAGCTGTTGCGTTCTGCAATACCAATAAAGTACTCAACTGATATTTGGTACATAGAACGGCTCCCCTATCTGCAGTTTGACAGCGTGGCTCTAGCGTCACTGCCCCCTCCGTGCAAACTAGCACGGCCTTTTATCTATCGGCATTGTCTTGCGACTGTAGCTCTTGCCATTGTCTTGCTACCGCAAGACCGAATTCAGGGAGCTGCTACAGTCTGACTATGACACTTATCGATTCTAACTAACTGAGGTCATTACATCCCTTAAGGGGAAGCCTATGCCTCTACGTCTTGGCTACGATCTGAACGTTACCGTTCCCTTCAATACCCTTTTGAGCAACTCTGGAGGAGCTTATAATTTATTGTAGAAGCTTATATTCCACTCGCATCGAGCTCTTCACAACAATTCTCGGAGGTCTGCTTTGGCCCGTTTGATATGTGAGGCTCTTCGTAGCAAGCGGTCAACAGCAACAGTTGAACGGTGCTGCCTGGCGTTGCGAGTGCCCCGGTTGTATTTTTCTGCGGCCTGATAAGTAATAAAATTCGGAATTGCCATACATATGAATCTGGCTGCGTATGTCCATTTTCCAGCCATTTGTAGTACAGATCGCTGCTGTGTACGGTCAACTGTTTCTCCGTGCCCCCGTAAAAGTGCCCAGCGGACCTTAACGATGCAAGCTTCAGCCGCAACATATTTTGACGCCTCCGCTTCGAAATTAACACGTCCCTGCATATTCTTCATAGTTGTAAAGGGCCCGTACTTCTCCAGTGCTAATTCCCGCACCTAGTGGGGAACTATGCAGCCTCGGATCCTCAATCCTTCATCCTAATCCAAGAAAATAGTGGGGCGATGCGCTGAATCTGCACAAACAGCGATATCTATATATCGCTGTTGAGTACAGCACTGCACACTGTCTGCCTCTTACAAAACCCCATCTTCATCTTCAGTGGCTGCCCAGTGCATCTTACGGGCCGTGCTAGGACCATGCCCGAATGCTGCGATCATAATATTGTTACGGATAGACGCTTTGTACAAAATCACATGATTCATGTTGAACCTTTCTGAGAAAATGTGGCTACCTGCACGCAGTTGGCTTTATGCCCCGCTCAGCGCCTGCCTGCTATTTGTCCTGTGCGTCAGGGGAAAGAAAAAACGGGACGCCTGACTAGACAGAAGAGCCGCATAGAACAAGGCCACACCGGAGGTCAAAACAAGGCTCCACAAAAACAGGTGCTGAAACGCACAAAGCATCGAAGTGAATGAAGATGACCGCGAGAATGACAAGAACACGGCGGTAAATGCAGTTGCATCTGAACAAACACTTGAGGACGAAAAAGAATCCAATTGTTCAGATTTTGGATAAGGGGACACTGTATGCTGCAACAGGTAGAAAAGAATGACGGCACCTAGAAGAGGGAGGAGGCCCAAAACGAGATCCAGTGTCAAAGATAGAGCAAACAAGAACCGACAAACTTCGGCAACCGACACCGATTTGCTTCCTGTGTTCCGTCCTGCTCCGTCATCTCCCACCCCTGTTTTTTCCTCCACACCACTGGAAATAGACACAAGGTCGGACACAGGATTGCTGTGTGCGAGCACAGGCCCACGAGGTTTCGGCAAACCGTGTGCAGAACTCCTTCCGGGAAGCCATCGTCCCTTTGTGGAAGCAGGATACCTGCGTGTACCTAATGCCCCTAGGTTGGCAATAGCGGCGCAGGTTATTGGGGGATCCGCTGGCCCTGTGCAAATGTATAGTTGGTCGCCTGCTGTCCCTTCGCCTGCTCCAGCTACCTCAGCCCCGCTTGCTGCTGGAAACTGCAACGTGCAATCAGCCTGCGGTTCTGAAATATGCGGAGGGACCGTCTGCAACGCCTCTTTGCACCAGGAGGAATGCTCTGAAATTGCGTTTGCATAATCCTGGATGCATCCTGGATGGATAGAAGGGCACGGCTCAGCGTTGATCAGGCGGGGGCAGCACTCCTGTGAAAAGTTGCTGATGCCGTCTTCGTCAAGAGCGCTTGCTACCCACAAGGGGCTTTTCCCAAAGTATTGATCTTGGTACAAAAGTAGCCTTTGGAATTCCCGGCACCAAAGTCTGAAAAATGTCTGAGGACAGGCTCGCATAGTAATTTTCAAGTGGAGTGCAGTACATACCTGAAGGAATAGCAATCAGCGAAGTCTCATACAACAAGCCCTTGTACTGGAGTGCTTATCTAAAATCTTTCTTACCTCCCGCAAATGAGGCAACTCAACCATGTCCTTAAATCGGTAGTGAAGCATCGGAGGGGCAGGCTGGTCTGCTCCACTAGCTCCACGCGTGCTACTACCGTCACCTGAAGTGCCAGGACCAGCAGCTTTGCTCCAGTGAAATGACGCGGGCAATCCCATACAGAGAATACCCATTTTATTTCGAGATGAGTAAAGGCCCCGATGGTCCTGGGGTCCCTTGTCACAAAGATATACCCGAGCATCCGGCGCCACTGAATCCTCAACTGGCAGGTCAAATAGATCCTCAGTACGCAGACACGGGACCCTCTTCTCCTTTTCCAGCGTGGACGCAGCCGACGTTCCTTTCACATCATCCACCTGCTTCCTGAACTCACTCTGAGGGAAAAGCGTACTAAAAGTAGCCCACTGAATGCCGCTGTTCACCTGGTCCACAGATGTTGAAAGGCTTACAATAGGTGGCAGAATTTCCTCTGGAGCGCCTCCCGAAGAACGAGACTCTGTTTCAGGAGTTGTGTCACCAACTTTCGTTGCTGCCGAATCGCTCATTGCAGTAATCTCAGCATATCTAATGGCTACGAGCCGGTCAAACCAGTCAAAAATACGCTTCTGCTTCTGGACAAGCAGGGCATCATATTCTGCATTATCAGTATGAAATTTGCGTGGCCCCTGCATGCGTTTCTTTGTAATACGAAAAGCATATAGGGCCTCACGGTTTCGCTGCATACGCTCTTCTCGATTATCGACACATTCAGCGGAAGCTAAGCAACGCGCTGGGCGAGCATCAGTGAAGATGAGCTTGAAGCCCCTCCAACCAGCTTTGAAGCGAGGACCAGCAAAGGGGAAAGCCGCTTTGGGATGGGAGTTGAAATGACTGCTAAGTTTTTCCGAGGTACCAATTCGATTGTCCGAAATATCCGGAAGTGATTCTGCAGCTGCGCGAGATCTGACAGAGGGAGTCCTTGGCGGAGTAACGCGCGCGCGAGCAGCATGCTGTTGCTTCACTTTATGCTGCATCCACCTGTACGGGCTGGAATCGGGCAAATGAGAATCAACACTGTCCTTCGCCATGCTGGCCATGTCAGTCATTCTTGGAGTGGTAGATTCCTTGGGGAAAAGGCGCTCAAAGCCAGGATCAAATGAATGGCAATCCGCGGTAGCCTCCAATTCTGCGCAGGCTTCCTGGAAGTGGCCACCGTATGCAAAAGCCAGAATATCGTGACGCCATGGATTCCTTGTGTTATTATCCAAGGAGCTGCGCATGGCTCGCGATTCATCACAAGCACGGGGACTCATAGTCGACTCGTGCTCAGCATCACCTGACCAGTACATTTCTTTGGCCCCATCGCAAACAACTGATGCGCTTCCGCTATCTTGTGCATATACCTGGTCTTGTGGCGAGTCAGCATACAGCCTGCCCCTGCTCCCTCGATGGATCCAGCTAGCCATATCCGGCAGAACCTGCCTTTGCTCAGCTGGCCCCAGTTCTCTTAGCGACAGAGTGCCGCTCGCACAAGATGAAGAAGTTCCATCCCTTCCATGCTGTTGAATATGAAGCTTCCACTGCCTTACTAAGCACTGCTGTTCTCTGTATGCTTCGAGGTGCTGACGATGTAGTTGTATGGCACCTTGTAAAGAAGGACATGGATGCAGCTTTTGAGGAACAGTACCAAAATGGGTAGCGCCGGCATAGTATGTAGCCCGCGTCAATGGGAAAGTACGTTCTCCGTAATTCGGATCATGCAGACATTCAGTAAGAGTTTCCTTGCCTTGGAGAGCCCCGATGTTGTTAGTTTTTCCATTTGCAAGTGAACGCATGCTGAAAGGCTTGGGTGCCTTTAGCTCTTCGCCAGGAATGAGGGGACTATCACCGAATCTAGAAGAGGAGGAAGGGTCAAAAGGATATACACTTCCTTCATTCACTCCGCAAGTCTCGAACCTATGTTCGGAAACAGGTCTTGCCTGTCCTATTCGATTTTTCGGAAGTTCAGCCGCCCTCGCAGTGCGCGTGTCGCCTTTTTGCTGGGCACTTCCATCAGTAGAATTCATCCACACTGCCGAAGCGTGAGTCAGGCAGTCGAGATACAGCAGAAGCCCTCGCCGGCTGATTAGGAACACTTTAAATGCCGAAATCCACACAAAACTTAGTGCCCCCAAACTCAAAACAGCCAGGGATGCTGCCGCAGTCACGACCACGATTTGGGCCACAAGTAGCAAGCAACACGCAAGTGCAGTAGGCGGCAAAATGCATCCTGCAGCCGCGAACTTTAGCGCAGCATGGTAGTCAGAATGAAGAATCCTGTTGGCGAAGCTCCTCAACACGTTCGCGAGAAGCAAATCTTCTAGTGTCAGACGCCTCGGTTGTAGTGTTGCCTGCCCCTCCTCACGGTCAGAGCCAGCCACAGCATGAACGAACATAGCAGTTCTCCAGGCTACCCAAATCCCCATGCTTTTGAAATGGTCGCTACAACAAATTCCAAGAGCTACACTCGGCATGGCAATAGAACAGCAGGCAAGCACAGTTGCAGCGACGCCCGTCGGGCCCAGACCTTCGACCGTTCGTGTCGCAACTACAAAGAAGGCTGCCATTGAAGCTCTTGAAAGGTAGTCGCAAACAGACATGAAGAGCACAAACCCCCCCAAGATCAAGCGAGCCAACTCACATCCACCCCAATGCGGGTGATACTTTCCTCCTCGCCACCATGCACTCGAATTGAAGGCAGAACAATCATGTTCCACAGGCGGCGTTCGAACGCCTCGTGAGTCCTCTCGGGGCATTCCGTCACCGACATGAGAGCTCTTACTGGCTGACGGCTCAACATGTGGAACGGAAATGTCTATTTTTCCTGTTGGGGACAGTTGCGCTGCATCACAAATTCGACGCAAGCAGCCTACCTGAACAATTATTAGCTGTCGCAAAGCATGCAAACCAGGACACGTCTCACCGTCCAACAGCTTTGCCAAGGGAATGTGGTTGAAGAAGCATGCGACATCTAGTGGCGTCAGAGACCTCTGCATCACAAAGTGGCGCATCGTTTTTTCACTACGAAGTACCACGTTGCGACAGTGTAGAGAGGGAGCAGATGATCTCAAACAAGCGAGCTTCTAGTACCTCATACATCTTCAGTACAAAACAGCGAATGCTTACGAAGTCACGATCTTCAATACTGCCTCCGTAGCTCAATAGAAGGTCTACAACTGGTTTGTGACCCCTTTTGCAGGCCCAGTGAACAGGTGTCCACCCACTCGCATCCACACCTCGAGGGTCCGCCCGCAGCTGCAAGAGGAACTCAACCGTATCCACGTGCCCAGCTTCGGTGGCATAGTGCAGCGGAGTCAGGTAGCCGAAACCTGGACCCAGAATGTCGAGAGAAGGGATTTTTTTCAGCAGTTGCTTCAACAGCCTCGTCTGGCCCAGAGAAGCCAAGATGTGCAGGATTGTGTTTCCCTGCTGTAACCACAAAGCATGCCAAATTCTCCAAGAACCCGGTTTACTGGTTGGCATTCCCTCGTAGCAAAGTCTTCGCTTTGAGCTCCACCGGTGCGCCGTCGACAAACAGAAAAAAGATACACAACATAATGCAGAAGCCCAATGGTTTTGCAAGGGCTGACTAGGGTGGAGTTGGCATACCGCATCAATTACTTCAGCATCCGCTCCTCCATCAAGCAAGAGCATCAGCACGTCTATGTGCTTCTGCGAGTTGGCTGACTTCAGCCTGAACCAAGTGGACAACTGTGCAACTGTGAAGAGATCACTTTGCGCGCAACAACTTAGTCAGAAGCGTCATGCCTATCCCGCGAGAAGTTGATCTGGTATAGCTCACGCAGCTATCATCAGCGGGGTCCAGCCATTGGAAGCTTCTAAAGGATCCACTGTCGCTTCGTGCTGCACCCGGGGAAACGCATGAGCCAGCAAACAACAGGTAAACTTGAAGTGTTTGCCACATCAGAAGGGCGACGGAACGAAGCCAACTAAAATCAACTGAAGATCCGTGCCTCGGGGAACAAGGTGCGCGTACTTGCAGGAGGAGTTTTACTATTTCGACGTGCCCTCCGGTGGCAGCATAATGCAGTGGGTAGCGGCAGCCATTCCCACTCGGTGCGAAGTTTGGGGTGGCTCCGGATGCCAAGAGCTCCTCCACCTCTCTGACGTTTCCACCTTCACATGCTTTGCAGAGTTTAGCTGTCAGCATTGTAGATCGGCTGCAGTGATCAGCGGCTCGGGCCCACCAGGCAGAACGCAGCCTCCACAACTTTGCCTGTGAGTACAAGGCACAGAATGCAACGTTTTTGGAAGCCGGCTTCAAGCCATGTTGAGTCACCTGGATTGTTCGTAACGTATTTGTTGCGAGTTCTACGGCTTCTTTGTCGTAGGTACCGTATCATGGGTGACTTCCAGTGGTGGCCCCCCTTTCGTGCCCTGCTCTACAGGATGGGCCGGCTAACTACTAACGAGTCCACAAAGATGATAAGAAAAAGCCCTTCCAGCTTATGAGCGAGGACTGTATCCCCAGGGCTTGTAGTATTGGCCTGGCTACGGTCCTATTGATCCATTCGTTGGTACCTCCGTGGTACTTGCCCTGCAGCATGTCCTGCCGTGAAAGCACGCAGGAAGGGGTTTCCCAGATTCATTTCTGGATGTTAAACCACATAAATGACAAGTTGAAGGAATATGATACACAAATTTTAACCAAAGAGTCAGGGAAGAGAGTGTGGTCAATGTTGCACAAACCACCTTCCTGGGCAGGTTCATTGAGGAAGACGCAACAAAGCAATTAGCGATAAAGCGCGCATTCCAGGGTGCGCATAGTCTGGAATTTTAAACGTTCCCCAGTAATATTTGAATGAGTAGCACCTGGAGGAGGCACGCGCATGCAGGCTGCTGTAAAGGGGCCCACATTGTGTAGTGAACAGCTCTCACCCACGGCGGTTACTACGTGTTACCCTCTACACACCTATTTATGCGCGCACTCTATATCTATCGCCACACTCAGCGAATCTTCCCTTAACAAATAACGGGCAGAACCCTTAAAAGTACAATCGAGTCTCATAATGTTAAAAGGGAAGACCACGAATAATTGAACTCCCCCCGTGACCCCTTAGCGGGTCGGCGCTGAGGCGGCAGTTCCAAAACAGCCAGCCCCGGACCTCGGGTCCTTGCCGATCAGCCTTATCCTCAAGGCTTCTTTTTCTACCTAATGTTACTTGGTTCATTTCTATTAAGACTTCATTTTTTTACTCTTTCTGCTGGATAGGCAGCTAGAGGACCGATTTAGACGCCGTTGTAGTGCCGGTGTACTACACACTGTGTCGGCCGTGGTAAGTGTCCAGTGATGAGCCACTTGCACTGTACTCGTTTGCTAGCCCAAAGCGCCCGCACCGGAGCTGGCAATTGCCAGGCAACTGTTTGATGGAGAGTGAAGCGAGGCAATCCTCCATTGCCGCTCCACCGCTGAAGGTTTCTTCATCAGTACTGCGACCGCATTGAGTTTTTCGCCGGTTAGGCTGGACTGGTCCTGTGATATGATGCTTGGTGAGAGACCTTATCTACATCACTCCTGCAAAGTAGAGGAGCGAATACACTGACCCTGCGAAGGTGTCGGGGAAAGTGAGATTCAGGGGTGGGTGGGTGGGAACACGCGGAACTTCAGGCAAGGGACTACTCAATACAGTCAAGGTCGAGTGAGACCAGGAAAGACAAATTTGTACGTGCGAAACCTCTGTTTTTCCTGGTCCCCGATCAAGCCTATTTGGGCCATTTTTCTGGATTAGACACATATAGGGACTGCCTAGAGGAAAGTAGTCTACCGGCAGCCGCTCATCACCAAAACTGCAGTGGGGTCCCGGTAGTCCACCGAGTCGCCTCTTGCAACTCTTCCTCTCAGAAAATCGTTGATACCAGCTAATCTGGAGTTGGGAGAGGACGTGTGTCATCGTTTCAGTAAACCCGAGTGGATCTGTATGGAGGCCGCACGCAGGAACACGCCGACTCGATGTGTGCCCCGCCATTCAGTGAGCTTCCTGTAGAGGAAGATGGAGAATGGAGACCGGTAAAGTTCGCCCTTTATTTTCGCCCGCGCCTTTGTTCGCTTTGTAGATTGAAGGGTTCGTAGGAGTCGGATGTTTTCATGGCCATTCACCAGTAAAGATGCCGGAGCAACTGTTTCTGCCGTGGTTGCTCTTCCCTGCAGAGAGAACGCAAAAGCAACAGCCGCCGCCCTCCTTAAGGATGAGAGTTTCATCATTAAGTATCCGGCGCTGGCTCGGGCTCTCAGAGAGTCTGTGGAGCCGGTGGAGGCTGGCTGTGGCGGCGGGACATCCAGCCGTGTACCGACTTGTTCAACGGGGCAACAGGAAGCACCTACTTTACCGCTTCCAACAACGGAAGTGCAATACGATGGAGCCGGATTGCATGCATCAGATGGTCAGGAGTCTGCTGTAAATACCTCCATTACTGCAGTAGACCGGAGCGCTCCGGCGTTACCTGACGCCGGCGCAACCACACAGGTCCCTGTAGAGGCGCATCAGCCTTCCAGTGGGACAAAATTTAACTCAATAGCATTGATACGCAATAGCGGAGGCACTCCTAGTGCGGAGCCGCAATTTGCACAGCAGTCCACACCACAGCCTAAGCCGCAGCCTGCATCTGATAGCACTCGTGAAGCGCCCTGCAAAAGTGGCTTCCCGCAGGAAGTAGGGGATGAGACAAAAGCAGCGGCTACTGGGGGAAGCATACCCACTGTATCTGGCGAAGAAAAGGCCCTGGACCCTCCGTTGCATTACATGAAGCGGTGAGTTTTATAGGTAAATACATCTATGGGCGTAAGTGCGCGAGACCGTCCCGAGATAGCCGGAGCAGAGGCACTTTATTGTGCTGTGTTCAATCGAGTATGCAGGCTAGAGGAATTGCAACAAGGGTACATGCGTATCATGCAACAGCGGAACTCAGTCGAACTACAGTACCATCTTCTGCACAGCACAGGCCGTCCCCTGATAGGCACCCGCCAGCAAGGCCCCTTCTCTCTGAGCTCCTCCCCTTCATTTATGCTTCCAAGCACCTCAGCTCGTCCTCTAGGGCCATTGAACGTGAACGAATGGCAACAGGGCACCAGAGAACAGCAGCAACAGCAACAGGCAATCATGCGACTTCAGAGAGTCCCTCCTGGCATCGCTCCAAAGCGTTCACCGTGGGCACCGACAGAAAGCGCTCTCACAGCACTTCATCCCACCAGTGGTCCAGAGAGCTTAGCTGACCGAACAGCCTTTCTCTACCAACTGCAGCAGCATTTGCACCAAGAGAAGCCACGTCCAACAGTCGATCCTGCAGTTTTGTACGAAAAGACAGGTATGGACCTGGCTGTTCATCACCTAAGAGACGAAGCAGAACGGATGCATGCGCAGAGCCGTGATATAACGAGGGCAATTACCCAGAAGAAACAGCAAGCCGAAATGCAGGCCCTCAGAGAGAAAAATGCACACCCTCTCTTGGCAGAGCTGACGGTGGAGCAACAACGTCTGATCGAAGAGCAACTCCGATGCATAGATGAGGCAGGTTCAGCTTCTGGGACAGCTACCGCACAAGATGATTAGGAATCACACAACTTTTGCGGTCAAGCAGTGGACTACAGCCAGAAACTGCAGCACACCGTATTGGCATCTGCGTCTCAGGCACGCGGAGACATTGCTCTAGCTCAAGCGGAGGCAGCTCGCATTGAACAGAGGAGCCGCGACGCGTTTTACCACGCAGCTTATGCTGAGAAGTACGGACGTTGCACACACAGCATAAGATCTCCCAGGGAGCTTAACCTGCCCGTAGTCTGGACACTCGGTGCGCTAGCCTCGTCCACTTTTTAGGATGCTGCATGAAGCTGCCTTGCTGCTATGTCTTCTTATCTGAGTCAGTGCAGACCCCGAGTTGGTTAGAGTGCACGCTGAGCGTATGAAGGAGATTACCGCCATTCAAGCTACAAACCCGTTGCCAAATCAATCCTTGACGACGCGAGCTGTGGCCGAGGGGCTCGCTGACCCACTGGATGAAATGGCAGACCGCAATGTAGATTTCAGAGAGGTATTGTCGAGGTGCACGACCAGCCAGTGGTGTCCAGGCTGCGGCTTCTCTAATAGGCCTGCCATTGGTGTGTCTGCTCAGTTTGGAAGCATCATGTTTAAGTGATTGTTCTGCTTCGCGTGCGTCCTGTGCACGCAGCAAAGGCTTTCCGCAGCGGCTGCTCAACTTGCCGTCTCACGGATGCTGCGCAACTTGGGCTACAGGCAGGACATAGAGGGTGGTGTACCTGTGCGTCGTGGGGATGGTCCTGCAACATGCAAATCTAAGTGAGTGGCATTGTGGATTCAGCGTTGAGACACCTCAATGGAAGATGATTCACACATCTTCAGTGGAGGCAATCTTGTACTGGCGATTGCTCGTTGAAGATCAGTGTAAACATCTCGTATCTCCTGAAGGTAGCGTGCCGCTTCAGGGCTCGTTGGGCATGCCTTGCCACTCAATTGAGGTAGTTGAATTTTTCCTGTTGCGAAAAACAGGGGCACGACTAAAGTGGATTTTTGCTTGTAGAGCGCTGTATGGTTTCTTCAGGTTCCCCGGTATATATCCAGAGCCCGAGTATGCAAATGCTCTACCTGTAAGTCAGCAAGCTAGACGCGACCTATTCCGCAAAATGCAGCAAGATGATGGAAAGGTATGCGCATTTGGGGACTTTGTGGAGGAGGCCAATAGGAGAGAGGCTGACAGCATGGGCGTGCTGATGGGGGAAGAAGAAAAAATGATGGAACAACAGAAAGAAAAAAGGGAAGAAGATGACGAATGGGCCAGGATCTGCTTAAGCAAACTTCACTCAAAGAACATTGCGCTTCAGGAAGCTGATGAAGCACGGGCGCAGGCAGAGGAGGCCAAAAGGTCCCTGGAAGAGATGCGCAGACGAGAGGAGCAGCTTATAGCTGAGCGGGATGCCATGAGTGAACTAGCCCGGAAGCGTGAGGAGGAAGCAGCTCGTGCAATTGAAGAAGCCGAACGACGAGAAGCAGCTGCTGCAGCTGCAGCAGCGAGCAAAGTTCCAAGCCGTTCCCCTACTCTAACAGTTGAAGCAGCTGCGGGTGGCATGCCACGGCGCGGTGCAACTGGACTGAGCCGGTCTCGCACAGTTTCGCTCTCTCGGGGCCCGCATGCACCTTCCGAGCCTCATGACGGTACCCCTAGCCGAGCTCTTAGCAAGGATATGCCAGCAAGTGATGCAACTCCGCGCCTGAACAAGACAGCACAGGATTCCTTTGAGATAGCCGCACCAAAACGGTTGCATACAGCGATTCCTCAGCAGGGCAGGCGGAAAGGGGAGGTTTTGAACAACGGTGAGAACAAGCTGTAACGGCGGGTGAAACCTAGGTAGCTTTCTCCCTTGCTTCTGTGTCGCATTGATGCATATAGCATGAGGAAGACTGCTACAGAAGAATGCATCTGCAAGGAACTTCTGCTTCGCATGACGTGCCCTCCGCAGCATTAGCAGAGCGACTACCCCCGTACAGATGCGAAGAGTTCGTCTTTCTTTCCCCCCCTGTCGAAGCTACGACTGTCAAGCTAAAATTCCTGTACGGACAGCTGAAGAAGGTTTTCTCTTCTGGAGAGGTGAGGTGAATTTCGTGGTTTCAGCTGAACAACCTACACTGGGACGTTTTATACCACTGCTTCTTCGCGTAGCTTCTCCTCGCATAACTGAATTCCACACCACAGACGGCCGTTTCTTCAGATTTCGTGCATTGAAAGCATGGAACGCCTTCCCGCTGTGTTCTTGTGTTGTGTCTAAATGCGCAGTTGGGCAGTTGTGAACATGTACAGTTGGTGTACGACTTTGCAGTTGGCTGCTGTCAGGAATTCGTTCGAGATGATCCGGCTTCACAGGTAATTCTGTCAGTTGTGTTGCCGCTGACGAAGATGCAGACTCAAGCAGACGGACTTCGGATCTCGATGAATGTGCTTCGCCTTCGCGTGTGAAATGTACAGGAATACGCCAACGCCCTCATACAGTCGCTGCCTTTTTACCCGTACCAGATTGACATCCAGCGTGCAGGGATAATCGGCCTTCTCAACATTTTTGAATGTGCGAATTCTCCCGGATCACCGCTCGACTAGGTTCTGCAGCCGAGGACACCTTTCAGCCTCTTTTTGGTTTTCGAGCAACGGCTACTGAATCCAGCGTGTCACATGTGGTAGCTACAAACTGTTTGTGCGATTTGCTTAGCTTCTAAGTTCCAGGAGCACCTGGCACCTCCAATCTTTGAAACTCTGACCACCCTCATGGCTATAGACGACAAGGAACTGCGATCCGACATCATTGCTGTGATGGCAGCTGTCATTCGTCCCAAGGCAAGCCTTCTTGAGAATCTTATTAGTGAACTATTTTCTCTTTTGTGCTGTAGTGGCACTTTACTGCGCACTTATGCTTTTCTGTAGCAGTCGTTGTGAGTTGAAGCTTTGGGCGTCTGCAGGTTGTCATCAACACAGATCTGGTGGACTTGCTTTTGCAACAGATAGATGAATCATCGGATTGTGAAGTTGTGGCCTTCTGCATCCACATCCTAATTGTAGCCCGATCACCTCATCGAAAGAGCACACAATATTCCTTCTTTCTTAAAGCACTGGGAAAGTGGAAACATGAACCCATCGTCTTAACGAGGTACGTGGAAGCTGCAGTAGCTTGCATGCGCTAACTCAGGGTACTCAGGGACCCTGCATCCCACAGTCGTTCTTTACGCTATTTAGCGTGGCAACCAACCAGTGTTGATCGATCTTGCAAATATGCATAGAGCACAATAATATTCATATGCGGTTCCCTCCTCCATTGCACAGAGCATGTTTGGCCATAGATGCAGCTGGGCAGAGGGCTCAGCTTGAGGGCCTGGCAGCGCATGAGCGGAACAAACATGGGAGCTCCGGACAACGACTAGAGGAAGGTGCGCAGGAGTACACCTTTGTATTGAGTGTATTGGCCTTCATAAGGTCTGGCAAACAATCTTGTGGATCGGAAGATGATATGCCTTGCGCCTTATTGCAGGGTACGAACACCTGCGGAGATCACCCAGTTACGCCGAGGACGTTCAGCTAGGCGAATCTACCACGCCTAAATGGATGCCCGATGATGCCAGCGATGTTGACAAGGTGAGAGAACTTCTTGCCTCGTATGGTTCCAAGGGAGCAATTCCTCTCGCACGAAATCCGATATATTGGCACCTAGCTGGTGTGTACTGGCCAGTTTAGAATTATTTCCTGGCATAAACAAGTGCACCTACAGCGTTGCTGTGCCCCTGTGCGTAAAGGTCTTGGAGGTCATGCAGCTGCACGCGAACAATCGGAAGCTTCAGGGTGCCGCCTGCCAAGCAATTGCTTCACTAGCTCGTGCTTCTCTTGGTCACTGCAAGCATGTGGCTCGAACTGTAATTCTGGCAGCTGCAGTGTCCCAGTGAAAGTCGAAAATTGGGGTTGTCTCACTGCAGGCCGTTGCAGTACGACGAAAATACAATTACTCCAGTAATCTGCTATGCCGTGGCAAGGCGTTGATGCTGTACATTGCAGGCGTTTCCTCTCCTCCTTCTAGCGGCGTCAACTCATCCCGACAGCCAAAGTGTCGCTAGCGGTTTCGCCAATACGATTGCGATTGTTGGAAAAGTGAACAGCTGCAAGTGCGTATATTCTGTAGAGCGCCTGAGTTGATACATCAGGTGGCGTCAGGCGGACATTCACGTGGGTGCGCGTGCGGTGTCCAATGCTACTGCAGAAGCTGCCTTACGCAAGAGATGGTTGAGGAAGTAAACGCAGCCATACAGCGTCATCGTTGTGTTCCGGAGGTCATTAGCGCATGCTGTGCAGCACTAACTGTCCTTGAAGTTTTCTATTCTCCACAGAGCGAGGTACGACTTCCAGCTTCAGGGCTTCTCTGTGGAATCTGGGCGGGCGCACGATACGCTGTCAGGGTCAAAACAATATTAACGACAACGTCAAAACTAAACTACACGAAAATTTAGGTAGAATGATGTCACGCATTTGCTTTTGCGTCCAGATATTTGGTCGACTGACATTAAGCATCATTATCGGCGCCCTAAAGGATAGCAAAGATGCATTCACCCTTTGCACCAACGTGAATGAATTCATTGCGACCTTCAGCTATCACGTGAACTCCTTGGTTAGTTTGTTGCTGTATCTTTGAGAAGCCCTTTAACTGGGAGGTCTCCTCACACTTAGGTTCTGCAGGGTTTTCAGCTTGCCATGCATTAGAAACCAACTCAGAATTGCCGCCGAATGGCAGGGTTGCTGGTCTTTTCGCCACTGGTTCGCGTTTACTACTGGCAATTTCTACTTGGCATCGCTTGCTTCTCTCACTCTCTTATCTCTGATCAGGCTGACGCAAGGCGACGAGCTGTCGAACTAGGGGTAATTGAAGCAATTATCAAGAGCATGACCGCTTGCGCTAACGACGCTTTGGTTAGTCATGGGTTTCATACAGCACAGAAAGTGTTCATTGAAGCGAGTTTTGGTCCCCGGGCACGAGGAATGATGCCTTGCGAACTGCCAAGCGCAATGTTTGCCTACAGGTTTGTGCGTACGGGTGCCGCGCAATATCACGTCTGGTTTACAGGGAACCGGACGACTCCAAGATATATGCAGATCTTATGAGGACAAGAGCAATGACAACTGTCCTCTTCGTAATGTTTAAGCATTCCTCTGAATCGTGCCTTGCAGAAGATGCTCTCAGATGTACGGCGAACTGTGCAGCGAATGAAATGTGCGCAGCTGCCATCCTGGAGCGCGGCGTTAACGTCATTTGCAAGGTGTGTTGCCCATCCCACGAGTGCGTAGACCATTGAGAACGATCCTATCTAGAGTGTCTGGGTTTATCTTAGGGTATGGGGATTTCTGTATGTGTGCACTGCAACCGACCGCAGGTTGTGTCTGCACATTCGGGTAACATCGAAGTTGTGGCGCAGGGATGCCGTTGCCTGTGGCTGCTGTCATCCCAACCTGGCCTCCAGCAGATGACTACGAATCGTGGCGTTTTACTTATTGAACACGCTGCAACGAGATATTCCGCCACGGGTGACTCTAAACGCCTGGTAACGGAATTTCTGTTGCGAATTTTAAAAGGGGAAGGTGTGGCTCGCCAGAGCATTGATCCACTTTGGGACACTGGGCTGGACACCCTTGGCCGAGTCGATGAAGCGCTTTCGCCTCGTGCAGATGTCCCTGCGAAGCAAAGGCATCCACGTGATGGCGCCTCGCTGGCCAGGCAGATGACTGCGGCTGCGAATGTTCCTGTGAGCGCAAGAAGTCCAAACCCTTTCCATATGTAGCCGAAATCGCGTCCTAGGTCGATCGAATGCCGCGCTGCGAACCAGCGATGCACGTGGATTTGCATGTTGGCTAAAGGCGGCAGAACTGCTGAACCTGCGCCATGTGTTGATGAAGTCAGTAACACCGACGTGCAGCGTTCAGGTGAGGCAAGACAGTTGCCTCTGCCATCGTGTCATAGCACAACAGTCGGAATTTTAGAGTGTTCGTCTCCGTACACGATTGCAGTTGTCGCGCGCGTTAGTTGCCAGGGACAGAATTGCAGAATTGCAGGGAAAACTCCCCACAGGCCGTTTTGCTCTGTAGAGTGAAGATGCATTTACTTCCCTGCAGATTCAGCTGCAGGTGGACGTTGCAAATCGGCATTAACAACTCGCTTGTTACGCCTGGCGCCATTTGCATGCTACTGGGCTTCTCTGTGTCCACAAGGGCGTCTTCCCTTTGCATGCATTTCCCGCTCACTTCCGCCTCGCTGCTTCATCTCGGGGTTTCTTGAGAAACACAGTGAATGTATTCAAAGGACCCATCTAGTGAACTTCGGAAAAGGGATGCACGCCTCTTCCTACCGAGCTTTGGATAAGCCAAAACTGCAGCACCTGTTGCAGGGGAGGCGCTGTGTAACCGCACTCCACCTGCTGTGCAACCGCACTCCACCTGCTGCGTAACAGCACTCCACCTGAGCGGCGAAAGGCTCCATCCCGTGGCCAGATGAACGGCGGACCGTTTTTAAGCCATGACTCCAGCAAAATTTCGTTGACTGGCATTGCCCAATGTACTGGTGTAGAGGGAATATTCGACGGAAGTAGAGCGCTACGTCCTTCAGCGCACAGCTAAAGAGAAGATTGGACGATGGTTCGTCAGTATGCGTCAGGCTCACAAGCTAAGCCGACTGTAGGCAATGCAAGCAGCCTGCTGTTGCGGCCATAAGCTAAACGATACATTCCAGCTCTGCTCTGCCATGTCAAAGATACAATCCTTTGCTAGCTGACTACGCTGAACAGCAATTGCTCGTCGCCATAAACCTTCCGTTCTGCAATGCACTCTGCACAATTGTTCACGCATTCACGCATTCTGGATAGGGGGCTGCAAATAAAAAGCAGTAGCAAAAGTGCCATTCAAAATCTGGGTGGCTCAAGTGAGCACCACATTTTCTATAAACCCTGTGGCTATCGCATTGATGCCTCCTAACAGCATAGACGGGCTGAGAACTGCCATAAAAGTTCGTTCATCTGATGGCGAACTACTGCTTTCCTTGTCTGATTCCCTTGCAGTGGTGCAAGTCTTCTTGGTCTCCCATGAGGGGCAAACCAGAAGGCGTGGCGACACTTCTACGGGCTGCAGCGCTCTACAGAGAAGCGCCGCTGGCGGTATCTTCAGAGCTATGGAATCCGGTAAGCCTCCAGCAAGCTGTTGTGCTTGTACAAAATCTAGCCCCAGAACAAAAGTATCGGGAAAAGCCTGAAATAAACGTCTTACGAACCGCAGGAACAAATACCTCCTCGTGCATGCTTTCGAGCCCACAGCTCGCAGCAGCAAGTCGTCCAAGACGGCTGCTGTCTCCGGTGATGTAGGCGAAAGGCGAAGACCTTTTTGGCAAGAATATTGAGGCAATGCTGTAGATGCTCCTCCTTGTAATAGACCACCAAGAACGGATTCTTTTCGGTTGTCTCTTGTGTCGCTGTCGAATGCCAAGTTTGCAAACCTCCTCTTCTTCTGCGAGATAGTATCTTGTGAGCCGCTATTCGGAGCTGCCAGCGGATCCTTGAGTCTTAATATGATGTCAAATTGGCGCCAGTCGGTCAAGAATAAACCCTTCCAAGCGGCGGTCAACCGAGAGGAAGTCATACAGATGGCTCGTATTTTCTGAAAGCAATCTCTGTAAAGAACAGCCCATCCAAACGCAGATCATCAGCATATTGACCCCGAGATATAAGCATGCATGGCAACAAAATTGTCGAACAAGCATAAATGAACGGCCTAGTGCTCTGTAACTCTCTTGCTCGTACCGGGCACATCCCACAAGACGACGAAAAGACGGAGGATCAGGCCGTGGAAGTATGAAGCCATGTGGGTCTAGGACAGAGTGTACAGAAGGAATATGGCCAAAACTGTGGGCGCAAAAGACACGAACCAGACGGGCATGCGCAAATACACACGAAACACACACTCTAGTAGCTCAACAGTGACGCTAAGAGTCTGCAAAATAAAGCCGCCATCTCGTAGCGCCGCGTGCAGCGTTGCGCAGCTCCCCTCTTAGGCAAGGCAAGCTTTCCCGAGGAGTGAAGCATCACACGCGTCCAGATACGTGACAGCATAACTTACTGCTCAAAAGAAACCTGGATATGGCGCCGCTGTTCTTCTGTGAGTGGGGCCGAGGAATCGAACGAAACGAGAAGAGCGTTGTGTTCCCAATCAAAGGAGCTAACAAAGTGAAGGAACCTGCAAGTACGGCAGACACCCAAAAAGCGTGGAGCGCAAGCGCATGCTCAACTACCTCGGGTTCCGTCGTTGCAGAGATACATTCACGCTGTCGAGATCAGAAACGATATTTTTTCTGTCGCTCGCTCTCAGATACAAGCACCTGCCACACTTCTACTGCTACGAGGCGCAAACACCAAGAACCAACCCTACATGCATACCGCAGAAAGGCAACATGCGGGCTTTGGGGCGCATTCCCATAACCCGCCCTCATGTAGTCGACAAAGAGGAAAGCCAGGACATGCTCCGCAAAGTGCACCGCCCCCACAATCAGCTGTTTGCTCAGCCACAAAACTGCCAGTCTCACAGCACCTGCAGAACAACGGTGCAGAAAAAACAGGCACCGAAAGTGCAGGCCACAGTATTCACAGAAACGCCTTGTCACATTAAGCACACTAAGCAAGCCGTATGGTCGAGAGCCATGTGAGTACGACGCGTCAACTCCAAACGCGCTGCATGCGCTTCCCTCACCAGCGAATGCCGTGTGTTTAAGAGCCAAACTATGTACCAAAGCGGCTGCTTGCGGCGCCCACCACAGACTGCGGAGATGCAAAACTTGGTCCGTGTGGTATGGGTTGACGGCGGACAAGAGGGCTACATCTTCTTGAAGCAATACATCGCACACCTGCTTAGCTATCTTCAGTTCGTCTGTTGAACCGCCGGCAAATCTCAAAGTCTCCCTGCCGCTGCTGGCAGGTCCGCTCTGCATCTTCCCAAGATGCGTTGTGATTGGCTTCAGAGAGAAATTCGTGAAAATGTTTGCTTCTTCCATTACCTCGTTAGGATGGAATATTTGAACACGGAAAATGAACGACTGAAAGTGAATGTCCAGAAAAGACTCCATAACATTACTTGAAACAGAGTAATCACGCAGGAGCTCCTCGCTGCACAAGTCGGGAAACGCAGTCGATCCAGAGCGAGCAAAGTGCTACCAGTCGTATAGGGCCCAATTTGCAGAGCAGTTAGACAAATGGGACCAGTACCCTGCGACCTGACCAAAAGGCATGCCCCCTTGGCAAGTGAGCCACAGTGTGGAGATCTTTGCACTGGTCCGTTACGTACTTGTGCAATGTTAAATACCATCATGAAAGCACGAATGCTACTGACGACCTAATTCGAAGTGACATGCTGGTAGGCAACGCGAATAGAAGTGGTATAAAAATGTTTGGCGTACTTCATGGCTACGAGAAACGCAGTCTTGAGTTTGCAAACAGCTTCGGGTTCCACCGGCCACTTGCCCGAGTCTTCAAATTGGACGACGACGGAGTGCACTGTTGCCGCTGAGCCAAATGCACAATACAGTGGCCAATGGAAGTGCGCAGGCCTGGTCTCGGGCGCCGTGTTAGGCTGCTGCGGCGGCGCATACGCAACCGTCTAGAGCCCTAGTATACAAAGTATATTACTAACCAAATGGAGAACTCTCAGCACAGCGCATGCGGCCTTCAAAGAGAGGGCAGACGCACCGTCCGCCTTTTCAGGATCCCAAATGTTTGACGAGAAGACCTCCATGTGCCGTAAGGCAGCGTCCGAGTGCCAAACTTGCTTGATGGTCAGCGGAATAGAACTTAAGGCGCAAAGCAAATTCTTCAGCTCCGCAAATGCCTGTGTATGCACCCAACAATAAACGCGTAGGCAGGAATGTCACGAAAAACGCCGCCCCTTTTAACCACAGCAATCATACGGGAGTCATTGAAAATATGGGAACACGGATGAGATTCTGAAGGGGTGCTAAAAACGCTTGGGAGCTGCACCATCGTGCAAATTGCCAGCCGTTATCCGCAGCTCACTCGAACTAGAGCCTTCTGCCTGTCAGAGAGCGGGCCGTTAGGACCCAGTGGACTGCAGTGAACATTTAGTGCGAGGCGTTGTGCTTGGTTTTTCACAGCTGTGCATGGCTCTTTCTTCGCCCACGAGACTGTGTAACGGCAAATGGTTTCTGCATGCCGCTGCAGAACATATCGTGCGATCTGTTCTGGCGGTGTCTGCGATTGCGCAACTTCTCTCGAAGCTCTAACTGCTTGAGGCCCCTCAAAAATGACGAATTTCTCCCACAGCACGCAATGCAGCATGCGCCCATCTTGAAACCGCCGCACATCGCAACGAGGACCCCAGAATTTCCTGTGCAAAATGGCACACAGTTCATAGCAAAAGGTAAAGCTTCTACTGACAAGCATACGAATGTGGAGCCCTTAAGCTCATATTTCGCCACACAGCAAAAAGGTAAAGGGCGTCGAGCTGCCCCTCTAACTGGAACCGCTTGGTGCGAGCTATGCAAGCAAGTCAGGAAGAACGCACCTAAAGCTGTCAGCAGCGACAGCGCGGGGGGTCTGCGCAGCCGCTTCTGTCGCATCCACCACAGAAGGGCCTCGGTCCAGCAGGCGGGCGGACACCTTCCCGTTTAATGTGATGCAAATCACCACTCCGATGGGGAAGGTATCGACTGCGTTCCCTGAGTATGCCAGCACAACCAGATAATTGCAGCCCAACCCATCTCCGTACTTGTGGGCGACGCCAATGGTATCAACGAGCAAGGGGATGGGGGGATGTACCGCAGCACCAACAAGAATCTTCTGCCTTTTGAATCTCTCCGCATCATGCAAGTACAGTGAAACTCCATTCAACCGCCAATAGAAGAACCAATCGGCAGCCTTACCGTCGCGTGGCGCTGGGTTCGTCGGCCCAGCGAGGGCAAAACGGATGCGGAAGGTCTGCATGCGGTCTCCGAGTCCTCTGACAAGGATGCGTGCGAGCGTGGCAGCGCCTAAGAAAGCTGGAGCCGTCTCCCACTTGGGGGGATCGAAGTGTATGGGGTCGTCTCCAGACAAGCAGCCGTCTTCCTCGTAAGCGGGTCCCTGTGCCACATGACGGCGGTCTGAAGGCGGGGGATTGTAGTTGGCCACGGGAATCGTCGTGTCCAGCATGTAGGCGTCTCCACGGGGAGGCAAGGCAGGGATCTGCACCCATAAGTCCGACTTGAGCAGCAGATGCTCCTGCTGCTCCCCAAACAGGAGGGGAAACGGATCCTCCAGCTTCTGCAGCGCAGCCAGGCTGGTGCGGGCTTCCTGCTGCAGCTCCTGTACAAGCACGCCGCTCGACGCAAAACCCCCAAGCCGCATTAAACCTGCACAATTAAGATTGCCTAAATCCTGTCTTTCCCTCTATGAGTTGTCAGGGAGATACTGCTCTCCAGACTCCGTTCCAGGGGTCCCCACAATTACCTGAATATGCAGTTGGGCTCGCCACAGAATATTGAATGTCTTCTCTTCCGAGTCAAAAAGACAGGCATCCTCTACGAGGCCTACACATAGTTCTCGGCTTCCCCACTGCGGTGCACGAGCAGCCTGTTCCGCCTCATCAGCAGCAGCAGCACCCGGAGCAGTTGAGGCAGCAGCGGCATCTGCTGCGTCGTTGCGCGCAGTGACAGCTGCTTCCAGGTGAGCGTTTGTCTCCACTGGTAGTGTGGGCTTTAGGCGGCCTGTCTCATCCCCTAAGCAGTAGTATCGGCTTTGGAAGTCGGCGCCCCCAAGGAAAGACAGCGCAAGTCGGAAGAGCTGCAGAGGTGAGGCGGCGCGGGCGACATCTCCCGAGGCCAAGCAGACGTGGGCCAGAATCCAAGACAGCGTAAAACCGCAACAGACGCCTGCATGCAGGAGCAACCCGTAGCACACCCCTCTTCAAGCCCCGCCTCGCCATGCACATAGTAGCAGCTTCCCTCCATACTACCCACACGAAGAACACAAGAAAAAACCACGACGCGTCATCTCTAAGCAAACCAAAGAAGAAAAGGCACATAAGCAGACGGACTCAACTCATCTCTAACAAGGAAACGTTGGAGCAGTGCTTGCCTGTTGTGGGGCTGCATGCAGAGGGGCCCGCATCGAGGAGGGACCGCCGCCGAGCCCAGGCCTTCAGGAGACGGAGGCCGCTGCCGAAAGCGCTGAAGTCCGCCGCGCATTTGCGGAGGATCTCCGCGTGCCTGATGAATCTGTAGCGAGGGTAAGCGAGGAGACAGCAAGCAAACAAACAAGCACAAATAAGCCAACGAGCCCAACAAAGCTTGAGGAGAACAATTTGCAGATGGGGAGAAGGGGGTGCTTAGGGACATAAATTAATAAGCGAAATAGCCCGGAAGGACTAAAGCAGCAGCAGAAGCAGCACTGGGAACAGCAGCAGCAGCAGGAGTGGCAACAGTAGCAGCAGCACTCGCAGTTTATTCTCCATCATGTGATAGTGTCGGGCTTCCATGGTTCTTTGCAGCAGCACGCCTTGTGGCACAGCAGCTGCAGCAACAGCAGAAGCAGCAGCAGCAGCAGCGTGCTAGACAGCCTCTTGGATAGAAGCGACTTACTGGCAGTCCTCGAGTACGAGTCCGTTGTAGTAAGGAGTCGGGGGTAGGGCTCTAACTTGTGCGTCTGTGAGGTGAGTCTCCATCGGGCTTTTTGTCTCATTCATGCCTTTGGTGGCGGTTGTTCTGCGCCGCACTGCATTGGCATTGGGCCTCAGAAACTTCTCCTTAAAGAGGCCTCCGCAGCAGGCGACGAACAAACGAAGCTCCCAGTTTTGAAGCTGCCTACAGAGCCGCTGCTGGGCCTTCAGCTCGTCTGCATCTGCTGCCACTGCTGCTGCTGCTGTTGCGGTCCTCTTCGCTGTCTCTGTCTCCTTTTTCAACGGCACAAACCTAAGGCAAACGACTGTCTTCACGCCATCCAGTCTCCAAGGCCTCACTTCCGCATCTACCCTCAAACCGGCTTGCTTGCATGCACTTGCCCATGCCGACTGCTGCTGCTGCTGCTGTTTAGCCAGGGCCTTCTGCAGCTGGCTGTGCAGAAGATCAACGTAAGCCGCGCGTTTCGCGAGGTACCTGTGCATACACCCCAAGTGCCCCAGTAGCCGCATAACGTGGCCAGACACCTGGGGCTTCCCACAGCTACTGGAGCAACAAGCCTTCATGCATGCATGCATGCATGCATGCACGCAAACAGGGCTGTCTGCAGCCCTACACCCCAACACAAGACTCAACTTTCCCGTCTCACCTGTAATTTAAGTAATCTCTTCTGTCAAATGCCTCTTCAGGGAGCTCTAAGGCCAAATCTAAGTTGCGCGAGAAGGCGGGTGGCCCCACACCAACGCCGCAGCTACCCACGACTTCAACTCTAGAAGGCCGCGGAGCTGTCCACACTGGGGATGTCGCCTTGGAGTTGCCGGGGACTTGGCTGAAGATGGCAGCAGCCCTCGGAGAGGTGAAAGCCTGCGGGTCTATTGCTGCTCCTCCTCCTGCTGCAGCAGCAGCAGCAGCAGCGTCGAGCACAATGGGCAAAGGCCGGAATTCATTATGGAAAAAATGCTTCAAGAAGGATACAAAGTCAAAAAGAACAGAAGAAGAAGAACCTTCAACACCTGCCGCAGGGGGGGAAACACGCAGACCACGTTCAAGGGCCTCCAGCTGCAGCTCCAAAAGGCTTGCGGGGCTACCAGAAGGAACCTCTTCTTTTGACCCCGCCTTCTTGGATCCCCCCCGCCTTATCTTTTTTAGGCCATCCATTATTTCAAAGTAGGAAGGCAGATAGGGCCCCCGGCGGCACACCACCGAAAACCCCAATAAGAAAGCCCCCTAAGAGAGAGAGAGGGGAGCAAGCCTTCTTTAAACTACTGTCGCTCTTACACTCAGTAGATCAGCTAGAAAATATTTTACTAAGCAGGAAGGACCGCTGGCCTTGTGCTGGCCCTCACATCTCGAGGCTTCTTGGAACGGAGTAAAATATGGAGGAGGCAGATACTGCTGTTGCGTTGTTGCACATGCTGGGGTCTTGAAAATACCTCCTAGAAAAGTAATAACAGTAAATATTACTCAATATTTAGGGAGATCTAGAGAAAGACCAGGGCCTGCACTACTGTGGGCCTCAAGCCCCATCCATTGCATGCTACTTACTACCCTATACTGCCCGGGGGCCCCCGCTCCCCTCTTAGGCCCCCTACAAACAACGGAAACCGGTGGTCTTCGGCTCCTGTTTTCAATAATTTCTTTACAGTTCACATATAAAAACAAAGAAGAAGACAGGTGCGAGCTCAATACCTCCTTTACTAGTAGCCCCCATTCCGCTCTGCGTCTGTCGCGTCATAAGCCAAACGAAGCGGCATCGTCGAAATGTAGGACGAAGTACAAATTTTCACAGATTATGTTTATGCTCCTGTTTGTATTTATCTATAATTGTTATATATATTATATATCATCTATCTGGATTTTCCCCCAAGCTGTTCAGCAGGGGGTTGCTCGGCGGGCAGCTCGAGCCGTGTGGCAGCGTGGAGTGTCTGTCGCCTGAGATGTAGAGGGAATTGTTATAAATAAGTAAATATATATATATATATATGCATATTTATATGGGGTCTTCTTTGGGAGCTGTAGCCGTTTGCAGCTGTTCGTCTACTAGTGATTCAGCACTTGAACATCGACTTTCTGGCATTGCGACAACTCCTTTGCACGGAGAAGCTCGGGTGTACAGGCTGGTAGATCTCATTGTTGAAGCTTCCTGTGCAACTAAGAACATTAATGCCCCCTCCCCCTTGCACCGTAGCGGTAGATCTGTAATGCTGCGACTCTTCAGCCCACTATAGGATAGGTACTTATACACCAATAAAATAGTCGCATGCACCTTCAGGCATTCAACTCCCAAGCATCTCAGGGAATCTGGAGGGGCATGTAGAAGGCTAGCGTTACACAGAGCCCCACAATTCAGAATTGATGTGGTTGAAGGGCCCTGCAACAAATGGCGGCCCCATTAAACACAAATGTTAAACATACCATAGAGAACAGCTGCTGTGGGTGGGGGGCATTGGTGAGGTGTTGCAGCAACACTTTACAATTTTCGTTGCCGAATGATACAGTAGGGTTCTGTTTACTATCCCTCTGTGCTGGTTGTTCGTGGTGGAGATAAACAAACATCACACATGCTGAACGGGAGACGCGTTTCCTGATGCTGCCTTTCAAAAGATCTTGTACTAAGGCATTACTCTCCCACACAAAAGGGGTATAGTAGGATGCTGAGTAGGCCATAGTGCGACGTGGGTACATCCTAACTTCTTAGATCTGAGCTTAATAAAACTTGGATAAGTCTCGCTTAAGCCACCACTCTGTTTGATACCTCAGAGCCAACGCACGAGTTTACGTCTAGCGTACCTGAAAGCCCCTGAGTCTCAGTTTGAAGGTTCTTCGACTTATTAGGATTTGTTCGATTCCGTATCAATCACCAAATGCTCATTGATGAAAGCTCTACGAACCAGCTAAACTGCACAGAATAGGGAGGGATACAGACACTAGGCAAAAAGGCTAAACACAATAGCTCCTGAAAGCACCCCATAACCTCATTTCAGTTCTCAGAACAGTATAGCGGCCCAAGCGCCTGGGGATATGGGAAAGGGTATGCCTGAGATGACTTGCAGCGCACCTCGTTGTCTTAGTTGCAACTAATGCTGCAGTATGCCTTCTCACGTAAGTACACCCGAACCCGCTATTGGTGTCTGTATCAATACTGTAGGCAATTGTTGTACTTACGATTGCGTTGAGAGCGCTTACTAAGGCATAGTACGTGTTCGTGTACCAACCCGAGTATAGACCACGCCAGTGCAGCTAGATACCTATCTGTGAAGTTGCATATGATCTATTTCGCGCTCTGGGTCTTAGGATGCAGGAGAAAATCTCGAAGAGTACGGAAAGACCTGACCCTATGCTGCAGGTTTCTGACGCTGCCTTGACTTCTTGTTGTGAATTCATCAACCATGCCTTATTTGAATTGCGTGCCGCGCTGTATGCATCTGGACCGCAGGGCCACCAGCTCGGCCTCGCCTCCAGCAACTACTTATTTGCCGCATAATATGCAACATAGCGGAAAGGTTTACGAGTTTATATTGCAAAACATTTTTTTATTCAGAACTCTTCTTGCCAGCCGCTGGCCACCAACCCAACCAGCGCCGAAGGCGGCGCTGTGTAGATAGCACAGAGGCAGCTGGAAGAATGCAGTGGAGCACCATCACAAATAGTTAATTTTCAACTCAGGGTTTAAACCAAAAGCTTTTAATTAAGAAGTAAAGAAAGCTGAACGTTTGTTTGTCTTCCCCACGGGCTGCATGTGTAACCCCCAGACAGCATAGCGGCTTCCCCCCAGCGAGCAACACGCAACCGAGCCATAGGTTGCATGCAAGGCACTTTTTATTACTTATTACATCACTTTCCATACCACTTATACCATTTATTCTCTATTTCCGCTGTTGCATGTGGACATTTTGTGCGAATACGCGAGAGAATATCGGCTTGGCTGCGGTTCACTTCCACGTCGTCGGCAGACTTAATACACTGTGGAAACCTGTCGATTTTGCGGCTCCTTTTGTATTTCTTTCAGATATTTATAATTTAATTGAGCTAAAACAACATTTTACCTTTTTAACGGCGTTGAGACGCCCGAAGAATCCGCCAGAAAGAAGCGTGCCTTCCTCGCTGCATGCCGCCCAAGCTGCAGGCTCAGCTGCCTTCTCCGCTGTGTGTTTCTCGCTAAAGCCGCATACAACCCAGCCAGCATTGCGGCGGAGGCTTTCACTATGACGAAGCCGCTGCCTTCCCCGCACGAGCTGCGGCTGTTGCTGATCCCTGGAGGAGCAACCCCACCCAAAGTACCACCGAAAGATGCAACGGGTTCACGACTTAACGGCCCCACTGGGCCCACCCTTCTCCCTCTTTCTTTGCCGTATCCCTCAGCTCCCGAGGTGATGGTAGATTTTTTCGTCTCTGGGCAATCAATATACGAGTTGAACAGAAGCTGCAGAAGCGTGGGAACCTGCTCCGCGTTGCTGCCTCCCGAGTTGGTCTTGAGCGACGCCTCGTTGCTGCTGGCCACTCCTATAGACCCGTTGCTGCTGCTTCTGCCTCACTTGAAGCAGCATGCTTCTTCTTCTTTTGTTTCGCTGCTCGATGCTGTTGCTTCTCACAAACTTGACCTGCAAATACGTCGCAACCTCCAGGCTGTAGCACAGCACCCAGCAGTGCTGCGGCGTCTGCACTTTGCATGCGACATCCGACTATTGAATGCAACTAAAGTTGAGACAGAGGAGGCGGCAGGGGCTGCTGCTGATCACACGGAAGCAGCACAGCAGGGCCCTGCTGCAGCAGCAACAGCTGTTAGCGCTGAAGAGGGTAAAAAGCGTCTTGAGGCCGCACTGGGGGGCACACTCTTTGTACGCCTTAATATGGATAAGACTTTGGCATTCCTCCTAAGAAAACACGCGAAGCTTGCTGCTGCGATTGCAATGCAGCGCGGTCTCAGCAGCAGCAGCAGCAACAACAGCAGCAGCAGCAACGGCAGCAGCAGCAACAGCAGCAGCGAAAACAGCAATCTTGCTTGCTCCCCCCCTGATTCCAGCAGCAACGCGCTCTCCTTTTCGCTGCTTTCTGCTTACCTAACCGCACAAATTGCAGCATCTCTCGAGCAGCGCCTCAAGAAAGATGGGCTACTGCGCGGTGCTCTTACGGGGGCGCCAGAGAAGACGTGCATACAGAGGCCTACGAAGGACAGCAGCGAGAGCAGCAGCGTCGCTGCTACTGCAGCAGCAGCAGCAGCAGCAAAACCTCAAAACTCGAGTAAAACAGGGACCCGTTTGAAGAGAGCAGCGGGAACGGCTGCGAGTGGAAACACCCGGAAGACGCAGGTTAAGAAGAAAGCACCATAGACAAAGCCAAGCCCCGAGAGAGAAATGTGCTGCATGCGTTTTTGCATGCATGCATGCATGCATGCATGCAAACGGAGAGCGCGGTGAGTCGCCGCATGGTGCTGCTTCTGCATGCATTGCATACACCCCAAATCTTTTAAGTACTTGTTGATTAAACTTCTGCTTCATCTCTGGCGAGACGAACAGCAAACCCAACTGCCCCCAGGCAGTGGTTCTTTTTGTATCTTTCTGTTGCTTCTTCGCTCATTACTTCCGTATACCAATGAAGTGCAGACTCTTGTGAAGGGCGCATGCATTAACTGCAACGGGCCCGTGAGACAACGGTGCGTACGTACACCCCAGGGCCTTGCTAAGTCTTGTTAAGGAGAGGAGAGGGTCAGTAGTTTCTGTTTGATTAGCTGCAGAGACTGTCTGCTGTCTGTCTCCTACATGAGACAAAAGGCTCCGCGTCTCTTTAATAATAAAACCTATAGGGGTTTCCTGTCGCCTCGTGTGGGGCTGCAGCTTTGCATGCACGGAGGCCGATGCATGCGCTAGGGAGGGGGGGAGAAAACTATTTTTTATCTCTTATTAAATCCGTAGGCCACAATAAAGTAGAGAGGGGGCAGTCACTCTTTGGCTCGAGTAGCTTGATATGCATCGTACGCCTCTGTCTCTGTCTCTTCCTCCGTTTATATCTTTGTCTCTGTCTCTCTCTCTCTCTCTCTCTCTCTCTCTCGCTTCCTGGCTCTCTCTGTCTGTCTCTCTCTCCTCCGTTTATGTTTCTTTCTGGCTCTGTCTCTCTTTCCCTGTCTCTGTCTCTCTCTCTGCCCCCCTTCTCTCTCTACCTCTCCCTCTCTGTATCTCTGCCTGTCTCCTTTTGTTTACGAGTGCTGGCGCTGCGAAGTTGCATGCGGCTGCATGCAGGTGAGCGTAGATTGCTTCTTCCAGTCGATTGTCTCCTTAACAAACTGCAGTAGTGTTCACCGTCCTATGGGCGCATGCATGCATGCATGCATGCATGCACGGCGTCAGGAAGTATTAAAAAAGCCCTTCGGGGGGCCCCCTCTCTCGCCTGAGCCTGTGGGGCCCTGTTGCGGTGTCCCCTACTGCTGCTGTCTCCTTTCGGGGGACAGGAGAGGACAAGAGAAGAGGGGCCCCCCTTCTCTGCCTAGCGGAGGGCCCCGCTGCCTGAGGGGCCCCCTCTTCCTGCTGCTAGTGCAGCAGACTGCTGGGGGGTTGGAAGGAAGCCAGGGGGCCCCCCCGCTGTCCCCTGTGAGGAGCTAATACCGAAGAGTTTCCCTATACTTCTTCTTTGTGAGGCCTTTGTCTCTTGTGCTTTCTTTGCTTCATCAAAGCGACGGCCTACGCCTCCGTCTTCTCCTCCACCGTATTTAGCAATACTTACTCGCACGTCTTCTGCACTTAAAGAACAGTGCTTAAGAAAATTCACCAAGTCCCCCAACTCCCGGTCTGCGAGCATCTCGGCAGCTGCAGCAACAGCAGCAAACAGACAAACAAATACACCTCAATACAACAATGCAGCTGCACCAGCAGCAGCAAACAGGCGCACGAATATAACAAGGTAGCTGCAGCAGCAGCAGCAAGCAGACACACAAATACACCTCAGTAGAACCATGCAGCTGCAGCAGCAGCAACAACAGCAACACAACAACACAGACAAGAAAAATAAGCAAGCAAACAAACAAACACATATATCACATACCTGTCCCTTCAAAAGGAGACACCCGAATGAAGTTGGCTCGGAATCGGTCGTCCAGTCCCTCGTCAGTGCACGACACGTAAATTAGACGATCTAACCGCCTCCCCAGTCGTGAAAAGTCCTGAAAAAAATGCATGCAAAGAAAGGCAGCCCCAAAGGTGCATGCAATACCGAGGAAGAAGGGCACTGGAGAGAGCAAACCCCTCTCCCCATAAAGAACTGAAACACCAATAAAAAACAAGGGGTTTATATCAACTTGTGCATGCAACTAATTGGCCGTATGTGCATGCAACACAAAGACATCGTCAACGACTGCAAGGCCACCCGCACAAGCCCCAAGGCGCATGTAACATGCATGCACTATGCGCGCTGCTGCATGCGTTTCAAGCGCAAGAAGCATGCAGTACATATAATGCATGCACTGTATGCAATGCACGAAGTGCATCCACCCCATGCAATAATGCATGCAATACTTGCAATGCATGAAGTGCGCGCAATGCATGCAATGCATGCAGTGGATGCAGCGTGTACGTACCTTAATTCTGCGCCCTTGTCTACGAGACATGTTGTCCGAATTTAAACAAGCAGTGATGGGGAGGCCCCACTGCTGCAACGCAGTCTGTACAACAGGAGGCTGATCTGCATTCCAAACGACAACTTCATAAAAGTGAGAGAGTTGGTTCACCAGCGCCTCGCTGAACGGCCGTTTCCTCAGCTTGTAGCCCCCCGTTCTCTGTACATACACCCCAGAACAAAATCAAAACACCCACATAAATACAACCCCACATGCACGCTAACAACGCACACAATATATACTACAAACGCTGCAAGCACACATGCATAAATTCACTAACGCACTGCATGCACGCATTGCCAAATGCATGCATGCGTGCATGCATGCATGCATTTGGGTCTAGAGAATGCATGCAGCCATGCATTTGAGGCCAGTGCATCCAAGCATGTATGTACGCATTTGGGGCTGGCACATGCATGCATGCATGCGTGCTTTTGGGGGTGTCGCATGGGCTCACATCGTGTCCAATTTTTGCGAGGACTCCGTCAAAGTCGAGCACCAGAGTAGGCAGGAACTCAGGGTAGTTTAAATCTTTAAAGTCGGGTAGAAGTGGCTCGTCTTCTTCAGGGAAAACGTTACAAATAGCCTGAGCCGCACATACACCCCAGAACTCCCCGTACACCGCACACGCTACGCATACACCCCAACAACGCAATTACACTCCAACACTCAACACCCACTACTACACCTGCTAAATGAAGAACGCCACCGCCGCATGTATGACTGTCTAGCTAGCCAGCTAGCTAGCCAGCTAGCTAGCCAGCTAGCTAGCTGTCTAGCTAGCCATAGAAGCCCATCTCCATTCAATCAAACGAGGCAGCAAGAAGACAAGCTAATGCCACGCATGAAAGCAAAATCTCTGCGGACTAGACCTCGGGTGTATTTAAACACATAAAACGAAACAGAAGACACGAAGTCTACAGTGCACTGCTCATTCAATGAAGGGAGCTAGCTAGCTAGCTAGCTGTGTGGCGCGCTAGCAAGAATGGCTAGCCGGCTGGCTAGCCAGCTAGCTAGCTCGCTGGTCTTGCATGCATGCGTACGTCTTCTACTGCGTTTTGAATTCGGTCGTGGGTAGCACTCATTTGGGCGTCTGCTCGTCTCCAGAGATCCTTAATGAAGTCTGAGTGAAGAAAACATACACAAATAATGTAGCTGTATGCTGCTGCTGTTTCCATCTAGAGCTCAGGTGTACATACACCGCACGCAGGACAAACGAGCAGAGCCTACCTGTAAAGCTGAGGTTGTGCTGACGCATGTATTGCACAGCCCAGATGCTGCAGCCTAGAGCCCCGGCGCCCCACACAACAGCCGCCAAAGACAAACCCTTCTTAGAGTCCCCTGAGACACTCCCATCTTGCTGCTGCTGCTGCTGCTGCTGCTGTTTGTGTTGCAGCGCAGAGTCTTGAACAGCACCCTCGGGGGCCCCTTCAGGAAGGCAGGCGGCTGCTTCGCTGCCTCCCTCTGAGGGCCCCGCCTTCAGGGCATGGGGCCCCTTACCAATTGGAACCTGCTGCAGTTCTTCTGCTGCTGCTGCACCTGAAGCCGCCAGTGCTGCAGTCTGTCGCGCTGCAGCAGCAACTGCAGCATGGGCCAAGGGCACAGCTGCTGCTGCAGAGGCGAAGCAGCAGGCAGCTCCAGACACTGTAGCAGCAGGAGAAGGCAGGGGGCCCCTTGTCTTGCTGTTTAGTAACGAGCAACAAACCCCACAAGAGGGCCTCTGTCTACCTCGGCATGCAGCCCCCCAGGGCCCCACCCCACAGTGGCAGGGGAGAGGGCCCCGCAGCAACCCATACGGCTTCTGCGTCGAGAGGCGCCGCTGGTCCTGAGGAAGCCAGGAAGCCGCAGCAGCAGCACCATTAGCAGTTATAGCAGCAGAAGCAGCAGTAGAGGCAGCCAGGACCCCGCGTCTGCATGCGCCGCTGGCGCTGCTACACTGCATGATGTCTGCAGCCAGTACCCCTTGAGGTGTTCTTCTGTCTTCTTTATTGCATAATAATATCGCTACTAGCCGTGTGTAGAGTCGAAGCAGCAGCAGCAGCAGCGGTAACAGCAGCAGCTGCAGCAGTAGTAGCAGCAGCAGCGGCAACAGTAGCAGCAGCAGAAGCCGCAGCAAAGGTCTCGATGAAACTGGGCCTAAATGGGGGTTCCTTTTGCATGCATGCAGCCTCAGTTGTCTTAAATATTAATCAAAATATATTTTATTCTACTAAAAAGAATAAAATAAATAACAATTGAGGCGCCAGCTCTGCGGGGCCTCCATGGGGGCTGAGGGCTGCTGGGCCCGAAGAGAGGCGGGCTCCGCAGCAGCAGCAGCAGCGCAGCAGCAACGAAGACAGAAAAAAGATAAATTAAAATAAGCATAAATGCATCAAAATACGCAAAAGGCAACGAGGAGAAGCAGCAAATAACACTTTGCATGCAGTACTTCGCATGTATGTGTATATGTGTATGTATGCATAAATGTATGAACGCATGCATGCATATATATATATATATATATGTATATATATATATATATACATATATATAGATATATATGTATGAATATATATATATATATGTAAGTATGTATATGTGTATGTATATGTATACATATATGCATATATGTATGTATGTATATGTGTGTAAGTATATAGAGCGCGATCTGTTGGGGGTTTCTATGAAGCCGACAGACAGAAATACTGCAAATGAACGGTAAATGAATATGTTTATAAATATACATATATATATACGTAGGTATAAATATCCTTATAAATTTAGATACGTATGTAAATATAAGTAAAAATATGAATATAAGTATAAGCATAAGCATAAATAGAAAATTAAACCCGAATATTAACTCCAACATAACGACGAAAACAAATAATAAAAAATATATAAAGGCACAAGAAGAAGAGCATGCATGCAAGTAGAGTAACAAAAACACCTCTAAGAATTGCAACTTCTCATTCTTTGTTGTTTTTTTTTGTTTTCTGGTTATACTCCTTCTCCCTATAAAGCTCAATTAAAAGACCTTCATATAAAGTATAAGCAATATGAGGCCCCCTCCAGCAGTATCTGTTCTTTTTGTTTATAATTTCATATGGGGGGCCCACAAAGGCTACATTTAGGCTTTAGTTTGGGGCTGGCGCATGCATGCATTTGTTCTGTATTAAGGGGAATCGCAAAGACGCCAATTCGCAAGACAGGGCGAACTTCTATGACGCATCTATTCTTTTAAAATAAACAGATAAAATAAACAAATATACATGCATGCATACATTATTTAGCCCAAATATATATATATATATATATTATATTCACGGAGCAACATTTCTAGAGTACTTTGGGGCCCTGGTCATTACGCTGGATTTCTCTCTACTGCGTGGTAGCTGTGCCGCGACGGGATGCATGCATGTACGCATGCATGCGTGCAGCTGATGCATGCATGCGTGCATGCATTAATTTATATTGTGGATGCATGCATGCATGCATGCAGGTGAGCGAGGCTTTGAATGGAAGATGAATAAACAGTAAGGTGCTTGGCGTTCGCAGTTTGTTTGTTAATATTTGTCTACTGAATTCTTTTCTTCAAAGATAGACAGCAACAAATATGCTTCTTCTTTCTTAACAGTGTTATGGAAGTGGTTTGTATATACAAAGCGTCTGCTACTGTCTCTGTCTCTCTGTCTCTGTCTCTGTCTCTGTCTATCTCTGTCTCTCTGTCTCTGTCTCTGTCTGTGCCTCTGTCTGTCTCTGTCCCTGTCTCTCTCTCTGTCTCTGTCTGTCTCTGTCTCTGTCTCTGTCTCTCTCTCTCTCCCTCTCTCTCTCTCGTCTGGCAATACAGCACTCAAACGAAGAAGATAAGAGACAAGAAGAAAGGCAACTGCTTCTAGCACAACTTAAAGAGCTCCCAGACGCAAACAAACAAATGCGCCACTTCGAAAAACAAGCAGAAAAATAAACAGAAGAAGAGGGCATCAGTAGGCCCTGCTGCAGCCCCCCTTAGTGCTACTGCTGCTGCTCAGCAGCAGCAGCTGCTGCTGTGCTGCTGCTAGCCATGTGAACAGGAGCAGCAGCAGCAGCAGCAGCAGCAGCGTGCAGCTGCTCATCCGCAGTGCTACCGAGCTGCCTATACACCCCAGGTTGTAAGAACTGAGGAAGCGGCACTCCTTCCCCTTCCTGAGCAAGAGAGACAGTCTGCTGCCCCCCCTCAATAGGGGGGCCCCCCATCAACGCCTTGGGGGCCTCGGGGGGCCCCCCTAAACTCTGAGGAGATGAAGCAAACTGCCACATATTTAAATGGAAATCATACAGCTGACCCACTCTATGCACCACTGCGCGTAACACACAACCACACAAACTCAGTGCATTATTTCGTCTTGTAATTCATTCATATAGTATTATTATTATATTATACTATATTATATTATATTATATTGTATTATATTATATTCTATTATATTATATTATATTATATTATATTATATTATATTATATTATATTATATATACTACATTAAAAACCCTAATTATCAAGGATACTTCCGGCTAGTATTGCTCGGAGACATCTATTTGCTAATTGTTGCATCTATGACACATTCTGACGTTGTACAGATTTAGCTTCTGCAAATAACATCTTTCTAACGAAGGGTAAAGGCAGCAGAGTCTCTAGGGTTGAGGGTTCAGATACCGCAGGTGGCTTGAGGGTTTAGGGTTTAGGATTCAAGTGCTATGAACTGTTGGAGGGTTTAACGCTTAGGGTTTAGGGTTTAGAAGCCACCCGCCATTTGAGGGACTAGGGTTTAGGGTTTATGTGCCACAGGCTGAGTGCAGGATTAGGGATTAGGGTTTAGGGTTCAGGCGCCCTGGGCGGTTTGAGGGTTTAGGGTTTAGGTCTCCCTGGGCGGTTTGAGGGTTTAGGGTTTAGGGTTTAGGGTTAAAGGCTTACAGAGTTCAACTGGTTTATCTAAAGTGTTGCCTTCGAGCTTGCGGTGTACAGACAGTTCATGCACCAACATGCGCTTCGCCAGCAAATAAAAGATAGGCGGCAGCTGCGCTCCCTCGCAGAAGGCTAGCTCCTAAGAAAAACAAAACGATGAGTATAAATAATAATAATAATATTATGCTTATGATTATAATTATTATTATCCTGCCTATAATAGTATATACAGTAATTTTTGAGTACGGCGCATCCAGAAGTGCGTGCAAAACGGAAAGAAAAACAACTAATCACCCGACAGATGCATGCAAACAAACAAATAAACAAACTAATTCTAACTGGTGAACATCATAACACAAGAACAACACAAAAAGAAGCAGACAAAGCACAAACACCCCAGCTCCCCCTGCCTGCATGCAGCCATACAAAAGCCCCGCATGCAGTGCAGCATGTATGCAGTCAAGCCCCGTACCCCCTGCATTGCATGCATGCATGCGCGCAAGCTGCTGGCAGCATAGAAGCCAAGGACTTCAACACTCACCTCTGGCTTGAGGAGTTTCGCCCCAGGGAAATTCTTAATAGGGGTTGGAGGGGCCCCCCCTTGGGGGCCCCCGGGCCCCGGAGTAGCAGCCGAAGTTGCAGAGACAGAGCCTCCCCTCTGGCTTGATCTGCCTTTGGCAGCAGTGGCGAGCTGAGACTTTGCGGAGGAGGCACCTGCTGCTGCTGCTGCTGCTGTTGCTGCTGCTGCTGCTGCTGCTGCATGAATCGTGCCTGGTGGCGCTGTTGAAAGACACAAGTCCGGGGCACGAGTGCGCAGCTGTTCTCTCCATGCCTTCTCTTCCTCATACGCCTGCAGAGATTAATCAATCATAAACAACAAAGGAGACAGTTAACCCCCATATATATATATACAGCTGCAAATATAATATATATAATATATATATATATATATATATATTTGCAGTTAGGCTTGAGTGCGGGTGTTGGGTGTTCTTGCATGAAGTGCGCTGTGAATTTTGTTTAAATGAGTCAAACTGCATAGACATTAAATAACAAACAATAATAATAATAATTATTATTATTATATATGTATATATAATATATATCAACAATATATATTGCATGCATAGACAGATAAACATTGCACAGCTGTTGTTTGTTTGGGTTTGCTGCCTGTGGAGGCGCTTGAAGTGCCCGCAGCATACTAAATATTTATATGAAGCAATACAAATAATATAAAATATATAATAAAAAATATAAAAATATATATTATATGAATTAATTGTCTCCTAATAATGCAATATACAGAATTTCTTATTATATAAACGTCTCGCCTAATAACATCACTACATATATATATATATACATATATATAATTAATATAGTTTATATTATATAAGTGCGTTATCTAATAATATTCCCCGATAATATAAACAATACAATACAAGATTAAAAAGTGCATTTCAAATAACAAACGAAACAAAAGACTAACTTCTACTTCTTTTGCTGTCTTCAGCCCCAAACTACACCACTCATGCAACAGCGCAAGACGGCTACGGATGCGGCGTTCTTCTATTAGCAGCTGCACCAGACGTTCTTGCTGTTCATCTGTTTGAAAGCGAGCCAAAGGCCTGCAGCAGGTGTACATACACCCCAAAAAATAAACAATAAACAGCAGGGATACACCCTAACTAACTAACAAACAGCTGCAACATCGATAGAAGAAGAAAGCATAAACGCAGCAACATAGAAATAAATAGACCCGCCGCTCCTGCTCCTGCTGCTGCTGCTCCTGCTGCCGTACTTCTTGCTGCTGCTGCTGCTGCTGCTGCTGCTGTTTCTTCTGGTTGTTTGGTGATGCTGTGCTCACTTGAAGAGGTTGTGGAGGTCTCTCTCTTCTTTTGTTCTTTTCTTGTCTCGCATGTGGATTGACTTAACATCCAACAAACCCCTAAAAATCAGCACAATCCCGCATGCAGCGCCCAGCCCCAAATAAAGCCGTTGCATGCAACACCAAACAAAAAATGCATGCACCAGCGCATGCAGGGAGTGGCATACGGCATGCGTTCAAGCAACCCTCGCACGCAAACTAGGAAACAAATGCATGCATGCATGCATGCATGCAAACATATGGGGCTTCCGGTGTTGTGCGTGGAGGCAGGCACCTGCTGATGATAGTGTTTTTTCTGTAGATGCGCTCATCAAGTTTGGAGTTGTATATTTCAATAATTTGCAGCTTCAGCTGTCTCTCCTGCACGGCTTCGCCGTCTGTACACCCCAAACGCATGCAGCCGTCCCACGCACATGCATGCGCTGGCCTCTTACGTCTTATACGCGGTGTATGTACACTACAATATGCAATATATACACCCTACAAGCCAGAGACTGCCAGATGAACTTAATAAACAAAACAAAAGGAACATCCAGCCCCATGAATGCATGCAGACGCACATGCGTGCATGCATGCACGCAAACACATTCAGGTAGAAGCATGCATGCACATACAGACGCACGCATGGATGCTTCCAGCCGCACGCATGTATGCATGCAGGCGCATGCATGCATGCATGCATGCATGCGTACCCTTAAACTCCATATCTGCTAAGATGAGTTCTGCGTCATTATCGAATTCAACGTCGAAGTCGCCGCGTAGTGGCCAATAGCCAACGATGGAGTGCGAAGGTTTGGGGCTTTTGCGCGCCAATGGTGTGGGGCTGCTCGTGCCCCCAGAAGGCTCTGCATGCATGCATGCAGACACACGCATGCACAAGTGCATGCAGACCCATGCAATGCATGCAAGCAAACGCATGCATGGATGCATGCATGCGTTTGCTTGCATAGAGGTAAAGGCATAGGGAGAGCGTAGGCTTGAATGCCTAATCTTTCTTGTGTACGATAATGGCTGGGGCGTTGCTGATGCATTTGAGGTGTACGTACAGGTGAGGAGTTTGTTTGTGGGGTTTGTTTACCTGGTTCTGTCTTTGTTTGTTGCTGCGCCTCTCGCATTGTTTTAACCTCTTCTGGTGTGAGTGCTCCTCCGTCTTTGTTTTGAATAAGTGCAGACAAATCAGGAAGAGGAGAAGTAGGTGAATTTAAATAATAAGACAAATAATGTCGTTCACATTGATCAGGGGTCTTCGGCTCCAAAGATGCATGCGACACCAACTCCGCCACTTCCTGGTGTATGCGCAGACACCCCAACACACTAACCACCATATATGCATGCATGCATGCATGCATGCATGCACACACTAAACAGCATATATGCATGCATGCATGCATACACTAAGCAGCATATATGCAAGCATGCATACACTAAGCAGCATATATGCATGCATGCATACACTAAGCAGCATATATGCATGCATGCATATAGAAGCAGCATATAAAAAGAAAGGAGATAAAACAAAGACACCGAAAAACAGAGACAGAGACAGAACTAGAGATGAAGACAGACAAATGAAGCCAAAGAAGAGAGGGAGGCAAAGAGAGAGAGAGAGAGAGAAGCATGAAGACAGAGTTAAAAATATAAAAATAAAAAAAGAGATAAAGACAGAGAGGCTCACCAGCCAATTGCCAAACCCATGCTTACTGACGCCTTCAACTAATAACATTTCTTCTTCTGCTGTCCAATCTAAGCTAAAGACAGGGAACAAGTTGCGCCCCACAGGTATATATGAGTGGGTGTTCTTGTGCTGCTGCTTGCTGCTGCTGCTGCTGCTGCTGCTGTTGGTGCGGCCGCTGCAGAAGCAAGAAAGACACAAGTCAAAGTCTTTGCACTCCGCGCAGCGTATACGAAATGCGCCGCTTATATCAGCCCCACAGACATCGCAATGAAAACGTGCATGCAGAGACAGCACAGAAGAAAGAACACCTGGAGCAAGCTCCCCCTGAGTAGCAGCACCAAGAGTAGCAACGCTCCCCGATGCAGCACCCCCTTGCTGCTGCTGCTGCTGCTGTTGCTGTTGCTGTTGTTGCTGCTGCTGCTGCTGGTCCACGTCCACTGGAGGCAGCGATGCAGAGCATGCATCGTCAGCTCGAAGCCTCTTGGGGCTGCAGCAAGCAATCGCATGCAGTAGACACGCACAAGCACACACATGCACACATATTCCTGCTGCTGCTGCTGCTGCTGCTGCAGCTACTGCTGCTGCTGCCTCGACGTGACAAAGAGATGGCTGCTGTGCAATATGCAGTCTTAATCTATAAATATGAGCCCCAGTGCATGCAAGGAGATCTGCATGTGCATACCTCCTCTCGGCGCGTTCCCGCTGCATTTAAGTTGCAGTTTTGTTTGGTTTGCAGATTAACAAATCAATCAGAGAAAAACAAATACACTTTTTCATTAGCTTCAAGGATTGTCGGCTTAGCATGACAGATGGATGCCTAAACCCTGAACCCTAAACCCTAAACCCTGAAACCTTAGACCCTAGATCCATAACCCTTCACCGCCAGCTGCCGCGTCGCAGCCAAAGAAAGCCATAGGCAATAAACCCTAAACCCTAAACCCTAAACCCTAAACCCCAAGCATTAGGCAGTACAGCCCAGCGGTAAACGGGACAGAGTCTACCAGCAGCGAGAAGGCATAGGCGACGGCGCCGCGAGTTGTACAAGTGTTTATTGCTTTAGGTGTAGAGTAAAGAAAATTTTAAAAAGAAATTTAATTATTTATTTCCATAGAACAAAGACAGAGGCTTGTCGCATCCGAAAGAAACACCAGTGGCCGTCGTTGCATGCATTTTGTTTTGGGGCTTTCTTGATGTGGTAAGTTGAGGCAGTCAGCGGAAAGAATTAAATTAAATTCAATTTAATAGTATTTTATTTTAATATTCTTTTAAATACTTCAAAGAAAGCGGCGCTGCAGCGTATACTCAGTTTTCAATGCCGCAGACCTCAGCTACGCTACGCTGGGGATATTTGTATGGCGACCGAAAGATATATAATTAGTAGATAAAAAACAACAATAAAAACAATTATAATCAATTGCATTAATTTGTCTCCATACAAATGATTATTTTCTTCAATAGCCTGCTCCTTGTTGCTCTCTGCAGTAAGCCAGACCTTTTATAATATTACTTTTACTATAACACAGTGCTTTATTATTCTCGCGAGGCCTTTATTATAATTCTCTTATTATAGAACTCAGGTGTATTATCTTAGCGAGATTCAAGCTATGAGCTACAGGGAGGTGAAGGCTTTTGAGTGAAATATATTAAATATTTAAATATATTTTTATTCTTCGAGGCATCTTTAGTGCAGAGGCACAGTCACAAGAGATGCATGCATGCATTGGGGGGTAAGGCGGCCTTATCTTTTTTGTCTAACGCTTTAGCAACACCCGTTACTACGAATTCTTCTGCAAATGCAACAGCGCATGCATGCATTTACGATCAATGTTTGATGCAGATGCAGGCAAAGGCACTGATGGCAATAGTAGAGCATCTGCTAGTTTATCTAAAGCCATGAGACTGCATCTCTGAGCCCCCCACGCATTCTCTCATATATAAAGGAGTAGAGCCTGCGTCTTAAGAATAAGCCACGGATAAGATCTCATCGAAGTGCAGAGCAGTTGCAAGGGGCTCTTGATAACATAACTAAAACCGCAGTTTTGGGGTACTCAACAAAGGAGACACTCAAGAAACACCAGAAGCATGCAAAGTTTGAGGAATAACTCTCAGATTTCCTAAAAAATAAAAGGGTTTGCCTGGGGCTTCCAGCTAAAGGGCAGCTCTCCGCATGCACGAGACAGCTTATTAAGCACAATGCGGGCCCCGTTCCTAGCTTCTTCCCGAAGTATAGAGGCTGTGATAGCATTTACTTTGATGTGAATAGAGATTCAGCAAGTGCAGCACTTCACCACATACCCTGATAGAGCTCAGTTAAAGCAGAAGAAGTCTACACATAGTCTATTAATAATGCCTGGAAGCTTCACGGTTCGCTTATTGCAGCATTACTAAAAATACACCCCGAAAGTTGTTGCCGCCTTCTAGCACGAATTCATGAAGCGTTTTCATATTCACTGCCACATAAACACCGCAGCAACAGCAGCAGCAGTTGCTGTTGTTGCTGCAGCAGGAGCCGCAGCAGCAGCAGCAGCAGCAGCCACACTACTGCTGCGGACTGCATTAATCTGCGAACTATGCCCGTAGTGCTGCTTGAGCAAACGGTCGAATTGAATGCCTTAGCATCTCTCCCCTTCACCATTTGCCGCTCTGCACTTAAAGCAAATCCATCAAATTTAATTAATTTATTTCCTTATGAGGACCTCACTTCTTTCCTGGTGTCTCCTGCGAGGACCCCGTTCCTTTCTTGATGTCTCCTGCACTCTTCATTCTACATGTAGTTAGCTCGGAGTCCTCGTTGGCAGCTTCTTCTGCTGGCAGCACCTCCTTCTCTCGTAAATATTAATACTACACTGAAGCCGAAAAGCCTTCTCACGCGCTGCTGCATGCTAAGGCTGCCGATCCGTGCTGAGATCAGCAGCAGCCGCAGCAGCAGCAGCAAATAGAACACAGCATTGGTAAATGATACAACCCCTCTTTTTCTTTCTTACTTTTATTTCTAGGCTTTGATGTACTTGCAAGCCTCTTGGGCGCTCTCCTTGTCTTCGATGCCTCCGCTTAAATACACGAGAATGGCTGGGTGATGAAGCTCAAGTATATGTTCAGCAGTTATATCCACTCTTACTGCATGCATCAATAGGGCTTCCGGGTAAACCTGCATCTGCTGCTGCTTGAGCAAGATGTTGTGGGGCTCGTGAAGGGCTGCCTCCTCTCCTATCCCAGGGCCTTGTGCTGGTGTATGCGGACCTTAAAGACTGAAGTATATATCTGCCCCTCTCCTCGATCTCTAAGCTGATTTTTTCGATAAGTTGCAGCATCTGGAGGCCCTTTGCTAAGACCAACTAGCTTCCGAAGTTACAACAAGCATTTTCTACTTGTCTGGCCCCTGGCGGCTGAGGAGAATAAAATAATTATATATATATATTTTAGTCTAATATAGTATAATAAAATATATAATTAATATAATATAACATAATATAATAATATAATATCATATAATATTGTATAATATCATATATAATATAACATACACATGAAACTGAAGACCTTACATAAAGTTTGTACTTTTCTATTGCTAATTGCATGCATCTGGTTAAGCCCCTTTATTTTGCATGCAATACGACAGCTTAGCAGTTTTTTATTAGCCTTAGACAGAAGGCAGAGACGTAAGAATATAAGCAGCAGCCCACACATTTTATATTGGCTTTGTTGCTATAACAATAATAATAATTATTATATTTTATCTATTATCTATTATCTATTATATAGAGCCCTTCGTAAGCTGCAGTCAAACCAGAAGTTCTTAGGAAGCAGCACTTAACCCCTTGTCTCTTTAACTTCTCATTGCTGCAGCTGAAGGCCCTGAAGCTGAGAGAGAGAAGACAGCAAGAAAGGAGCTGCAGCAGACCCTGCATCAATGCATGCAGCAAAACAGCAACGCATGCAAGTACAGCTACCGTCTCTTTTGCTGTCTCCAGAGACACTCCAAACAGCCCTTGTTCTGCTGCTGCTTGCTACTTGCTGCTTGGTGCTTGCTGCTCGCTGCTTGCATGCAAGCTGTCTTTTACTGAGGCTAAAGAATCTTGCAAGTAGTATTAGCCTTATAGATGAAAGCAAACAACCATTCAGCTGTACAGACACCGTAGGGCTCTCTAAGCACTTAACCACTCCCCAAATGCAGCTCTGAAGGGCGAACAACAATTAAAAAGATAATTAATAATAATAAACAAGTTTGAACTATATATAACATCATATTCTTCTCTACTTTCTTATCTGCTGCTGCGGACAGGGGCCCCCCCAAGGGCCTCCTCTATGGGCTTGGGGGCCCCCACGTAAAGTGTGTGAAGCGAGTTGTGTATATTTCTAGCATTTCTTTTTCACTGAAGTTGAGAAAATACTATTAAATAAAAGAAAATAAAATATAAATGCTGCATCTATAAACTCTTTAGACCCTATCACTGACAGCTGCTGCTGCTGCTGCTTCTGCTGCAGTTGCAGCATCTTGCTCTACCCTTTTTAAGAGTTTTTATTTCATCTGTTTTATTTTCTTTTCAACCTTAGCACAAGCAGACAAACCCAAACAAGTCTTCTTGCGCATTACCTGCGATTCCTTAGCCCCAGTCGCCGCTGCAGGAGCAGCAGCAGCAGCAGCAGCAGCAGCAGCTTCTGCTGCTGCTGCTTCTGCTGCTGCTGCTCGGAAGAGAAGGCATTTGTTGTATTACCTCTTATGCAGGGGTTAACTCAAGACATTCGGCAGCGGTTGTTAGGCGGTGTTGTATGCCTGCCGAGTCTGAGGGTTTAGGGTTTAGGGTTTAGGGTTTAGGGTTTAGGGTTTAGGGTTTCGTCTGCTTCAAATAGTTTCTTCGAGTCGGAGCAAACAGGAACAGCGATGTTTGGTTTTTTGTACTTCTCTGACCCTGGAGGGCACTGAGGAGACGTCAATAAAACAGATAGAGCCAGGGGTCTCCTCTTCCCCCCTGCAGGTGAAGCAGCAGCAGCAGCAGCAGCAGCAGCAGCAGCGGCAGCAGCAGCAGCTGCTACAGCAGTTGCTGCAGCAGCAGCAACTGCAGCAGCAGCAGCAGCAAGGGACAGTTGAATTGAGCTTCTGTTGCAGGTTTGCTGAGGTCAAGATGAACAGCTGCAAGGGCCCCCGATGGAGAGGGGCAGCAAAGGCAGCAGCACTTGCTGCTTTTGCTGCTGTAGCAGCTGCTGCACTTCTTCTTCTGATTCTAACTGCAATCTTCCCGCTGCACAAAGCCAGCAGCCAGCCTAGGAACCGCTACCCCTCAGCCTGCTTTGGGGTGGCGGTTGCGATGGAGAGTGCGCAGCTGTCTCTTTATCTGTCTCTTCTCTTGTCTCTTTGTTTCTTATCTTTCTGTCTCTTTATCTCTGTCTTTTTATCTGCTTGTCTCCCTATCTGTCTCTTTATTTGCCTGTCTCTTTTCTCCGTCTCTTTGTATATATGTATATATATACATATATATGCATATATATAAATGCATATATATATATATATATATATATGCATATATATATATATATATGCCTCCTGTCCCTTATTCTGTCTCTTTGTTTGCTTGTCTCTTTATCTC